GTCACCTCGGGGCCCCAAAAAGCCCCAGACTGGGGACAAGGGACACTTTGCTCTCCCAGCTTGACCCAGGAGGAGCACAGCAGCCCCGAGACCCACCTGGAAGGTGACGCGGGACTTCTCCAGCAGGTAGGTTTTGATGGTGGCCCCAGTGACACGGGCTTGGCTGAAGCCAATCTCGATGTACTTCCCAAAGCGGCTGCTGTTGTCGTTCCTGGTCGTCTTCGCGTTCCCAAAGGCCTGGCAGGAGACATCAGGTGGCCTCAGACCTCCAGGTGCTCCGGAGACCTTCAGTCCCCTCCACCCACCCAAGTTACCGGGGGGAATATCAGGGATACAAGGCCACCAGGAGCACAGGGACAGCCTGGGACAGGCAGGGACCCACCTCCATGACAGGGGCTGGAGGCCAGAACCTTCTCCTCCATGCTGGAGTCCCCCAGGCAGCCCCCGACGGTGGTGAAGTACCTCATGGCGTACTTGGCCGACGCCGTCTTCCCTGCGCCTGACTCGCCGCTGATGATGAGGGACTGATTCTTCCCAAACCTACAGGAGGGGGACATGAGCCCGTGCCCCAGGGGGAAGGCTCTCCACAGGCCATATGGGGGCTCCAGCCCTGCCCCACCACAACCCAGGGGGCTGCTCTCACAGCAGGACCCCCCCCCATGGTGCTGCTCTCACCTCACCATCTGCTTGTACGCCTCCTCCGCCAGTGCGAAGATGTGGGGGTCCATGTCCCCCATCTCCCGGCCGCTGTAGGCGTAGATCACCTCCTCCTCGTAGATGGGCAGCGGCTTGTAGGGGTTGATGGCAACCAGGATGATACCTGGAGAAGGGGACGTGCACAGGGAAGGGGCACGAGGGCACCCATCCTGGGTGCAGTGGGGGGGACACGGGGTGCGGGGGGCTCACCGCAGTAGGTGTAGATGGCGTTGGCCTCCAGGAAGCGCACGCGGAGCGAAGTGCAGCACGGCCGGCTCGTGCAGGTAGCTCAGGGCCACCAGGTCGTCCTTGCCCGAGAGGCACTCGGGGTTGCAGAGGGGCGGCAGCTGGGACTCGAGGGGGTAAACCAGCGTCTGCGGGGACGGGGCAGGATGAGTGCCGAGCAGGGACAGGCGGCCCCACTGGTGGCAGCACAGGCAGGGGACAAGCCACCGGGCACATCCACAGCCTCTCTGCTCCCCTGCTGAGGAGCCCAGGGCTGGTTTAGGGGCACAGAGCGAGCCCCAGCACCCAGCTCAGGATGCCTGGCACTGAGCAAAGGGACCCATGGGGCCACGAGGCCCCAGCCTCACCGAGCCATCCTCCAGGCGGAGGTGCAGAACGGCGTCTCCTTCCTTGTAGTCTCTGGTTAGTTCTGCTGCCCTCCAGACCTGGACAGAGTCAGGGATCCAGACCCGGGCACCCTGCGGGGACACAAAAGGGACAAGGTCCCAGCAGATGGCCTCAAACCCAGGACAGGAGATGCAGGCAGCCCTGAGCTGGGCATCGCAGCCCCCTGTGGCTCTCAGAGGCAGCAGCCTGGTGCTCAGCATCACTGCCAGGCACCCCATGGACCTGCTGCAGGATCCTGCCCGGCTGTGCAGGGGGACACTGGGGCTACTGCTGTGGGATCATCAAAGATCAGAGCCTGACACCAGAAACCTTCAGCAAAAAGGGGCTCAAAACCAGCTCCAGCACCCCAGAAACGGAGCCAGGGAGATACCCCAGCCCCAGGTTCCTCGTTCTGACCCAGCCCCGGGGCTCTCCCTCCCCAGCAGGCAGCACCCCCTGCCCTAGTGCTGTAGGGCTGGCCCTGCCCCACTGCAGGATGCGGGGAAATGGGGAACCCACAGCTCCAGGACCCCACTGCAGCAGCTCCGCCAGCCTGCAAGGAGCGAGGGCTGCTGCAGGGGGCCGGTGCCCCCGCTGCTCCGTGCAGGCAGGCACGAGGCCATATTGCAAGCTTAAAAAGGGAAAAAAAAGCTCCTCTAATGGCTGCAGCGCTGCTGCCGGGCTCAGGGAGCACCTCACTGCTTCCACACACCGCCTCGGAGCCCTCTGCTGCTCTCACACCTGCTCCCACCCCAGCCCCTCGCCAGGAGCCAGGGCTGGCGATGCCACCCTGCTGCTGAACCCACAAACCCTGGGGGGGCAGCAGGGCAGCGAACCCCCAGGTCTGGGGAGCACCCACATCACTGCCCTGCTGGAGCCCAGCAGGCTGGGGAGGGGGTGCAAAGGGGGCTGCATTTTGGGTGCCCCCTCACAGGGACCAGCAGCGGTCCCAAAGGTGCTGGGGGGGGGGGCTCAGCATTGCAGCCCTTTCCCCCCACCCCCAGCAGCACCAAGCCTCACCTGCCCGTAGGGCTGCCCTGCTGCCATGGTCCCCCCCACTTCTGCCACACTGCTGCCCCCTCCCCGCCTGTGGTCCCTTTATGGCTGTTAATTGTTGCTAATTGGCTGGGGGGGTCCCCGCCCACTAATTGCTGCTAATTGGGTGTGGGGGGTCCTGCCCTGCTCTGCCACCTGGTCAGCCCCACACACCCTCACCCGCTAGGGGAGATGATGAGGGGCTGTGGCTAGCTTCTCCCCACCCCACAGCTGCAGCACCCTAAGAGACCCCCACCTCATAGGCACCCCCAAGACACCCCCACCTCCCATTTGGGGCACCCCAAACCCCTCCTGGGACCCCCATGAGGAAGGGGACAACCCAAGACCCCTTGAAACACCCCCCTACCTGGGACCATGGAGGGCACCCCAAGCCTGTTCCTATCTAAGACACCCCAAAATTGCCCTCATGCAGGGCAACTTGGGCCACCCGCACCCCGGCCCCCACCCAGGGCACCCCAAGCACCCATGGGTGAGCGATGGAGCGGGGTGCTGCTGAGCCACCCCCAGCTGAGTTCAGCTCAGTCCATGAAGGGATTTTTTTCTCAGCCTTTTTCACTGACTCGTGCCATGGGTGCATGGGGGGGGACCCAATTTGGGACCCTCATCCAGGGCCCCCCTGCCACGTGCAGTCCCTGTGGGGCCCTGACTTCCTTGCCCCAGGTCCCTGGGTTTGGGGGGTGGCACCCTGCACCTGCGGTGTGCTGGTGGGTGTCTGGGGGTGCTGCTGCCCATGGGTGGCCACAGCCCTTGGGGGTAGGTCCCCATGGTCTGTGGGTCCCCATGGCCTGGGGGTGCTATTTTCTGTGGGTCCTTGTGGTCCATGGGTGCCGCTGTCCACGGGTGCCACTGTTTGTGGGTCCTCATGGCCTGTGGGTGCCCTTTTCTGTGGGTCCTCCTGCCCCATGGGTGCCACGTGCCCACGGTGGCCCTGGATGCCGCAAGGAGGTGGCTGATGGCCCCGTGCCGAGGGGCTCAGGGTTGGTGACCAAGATGAGGCCGTGGGGTTGTCCTGGCAGCTGGGGACAGGGGGACGAGGGGCTGCCCAGGCAGGGTAAGAGGTAGGGGACAGCGAGCAGCCCTGGGGACAAAGCGGGGGCGCTGGCCAGGATGGGGACAATTCACCCCAGTGGCAACATCCCCTTGGGACCCCGCTCTTGCCCCAGGCACCTGCCCGGCACCCAGCCTGCTGCGCTCTGAAGCAATCCCACATCCCACGGGGTGCTCTGCTGGGCAGATGGGAGGATGGGAGCCTTGTCCCCCTGTAGGACAGTGCGACGGGGATGTTTTCTGATGCAAAAATTAATCCCCGTTCAACCAAGGGCTGTCAGTGCCACGCAGCTCGTTAACAAATCCCGTAGGTGGGCTCGTGCCACGCGCACCCTACAGGACACCGGCCCAGGCCCCTAAAGCCAGGGAGACAGCAGGTGCTGGGCAACCTTTAGCTGTTTTTTTTCTCCCCAAACTGGTCCCAAATCCCGGCCAAACCACCCCGGGGAACACCGAGTGGGGACAACAGACAGACAGACGGGAGTGGTGTGGGACGGCCGTGCCCGAGGATCCCGGTGCCGAGACGCCGCGGGCAGCGATGCAGTGGAGGCAGCACATGGGTTCGTATATAGTAAAAAGTCTTTATTAAGAAGGCTTTGAAGTCAAAAAATAAAACTCTTGATACAATTTTCATAACCGTCAAGTCAGCTCAGCAAATATATAATCAGTACTTTAGCCATGTAAGGTTAAAGGTCCGTTATTTTCTTTTTAAAATAAAATATATTTTAGTTTTTAAAATTTATTCAATAAAGTACATATTTTCCTATAAATTCCCTACATATACATAAAGAGGTAAAAAATAAAAAAATAAAACTAAAAAAAAAAAAAAACAACACAAAAACGACCGTGAAATAAAAAGGAGATAGAAATCTGTCAGGTTTTTGTGACGTGACGTGTCCACCGTGCCCCCTCCAGCCCCCGCCCGGGACCCCCGGCCTCTCGTAATGCGCGTTTTGGGCAGTTTTCACATTGGCAAAATAGAAGATAAGACCTGTGTTACAAAAAAAATATATATATATTTATAGAACCGTCAAGAATCATCCAAAAAAATAACTACATACAAAAAGAACGACAACAAAAAAATTATAATAATAATAGAATGCTTTTAAAAAAATAAAAGACAACCCTTGCGTGTCCTAAAATAAAAAGTGCAACCGGACCTTTTCTTTCTGTTTATTTAACTTTGCAAACTGAATACTGTTATTTGGAAAGGACTGTTGAAGAACAGCTGGGCTTTCTCCTCCCAGCCGCCACAGCCGGGTTAAGAGTTAAAGCTATTCTGTAAACATTTGATTTTGCTCCTCTCTGCGGTTTTGCGCCCCTCTTCCTCGTCGTCTTCGTCCACCCCTTTTTCTCCCCACCCCTCCCGAACCCCTTTATTTTATTTTTTTCTGTCCGCCCCTCCCTCCCCACGATCCTGCCCTCCGGCTTCCATCCAGCAAGAGAAATAGCATCTCCGTCCCCCACCCCCCGCGCCCCCAGTCTGATCCGTTAAATAAAAAGGTTGATTCCAACAGTTTAAAGTCCTTAAAAAGCTGTGTTGGGGGGGAGGGAGGGGAGGGCTGACCGCCCCGGCTGGCCGGCCCCGGCTAGGAGAAGATGTGGATGGCTTGGGTGGCCGGCGTGTGGCACGCGGGGCACTCGGGCTCGGGTTTGCCGCAGATGCGCATGGCGCACTCCATGCAGAAGAGGTTGTGGCCGCAGGGCACCAGGGCGGCGATCACCTCGCTCTCGAAGCACACCATGCACTCGCGGGAGCTCTTGCGGTGACCGTCGGAGCTGCTCGAGTCGGTGGGCGAGCCCGAAGCGGCCGAGATGCTGCCGGGCAGGGAGGAGGAGGAGGAGTAGCCCGTGCTGGTAGAGAAGGAGGAGAGCGAGCCTTGGGTGGGCAGCCAGGACAAGGTGCTGACGGGGTCGCTCTGGATGCGGCGGGCCAAGGGGTGCTCCAGCGCCCCGCCGGCGCTCTCGGGCAGGGTGGGCGAGTGGCGTGGCGTGGCCGTCCCGCTGCCGCGTCTCTGCGAGCCGCCGACGGAGGAGGAGCAGCCGCTGAAGGCCTGCAGGGGGTTGGCGGCGCGCTCGAAGGGCGACCAGATGGTGGTGGGCGTCGTGAGGTCCAGGGCCAAGAAGTCGAAGCCGAAGTCGCACTCCTCCGAGCCCAGCGAGGCCGGCGGCTCGCTGAAGGCGAAGCCGCTGCTGGTGCTGTAGGGGCTGGTGGGGCTGGCGTCCGCCACCCGCCCGCTGTAGAAGGACTCGGTGGAGGCGCTGCCCAGGGAGCTGAGGCTGTCGTTGCGCAGGGCGGCAGGCAGGGCAGCCGGGCAGGGTGCGGGGCTTTAGGCCCACAAGACGGCTGCGCCGCCCTGCAGGTCGAGGCAGACGTCGGTGCCGTTGGTGTGGAAGTCGTTGTCGGCGTTGACGTCGATGAAGGAGCCTGTCCGCATGGTGATGTGCGCCTCGATCTCCTCCCGGGCCCGGTCCACGTTCTCGGGCATGCCCGTCACCTCGAAGACGGGCTCCTTGTCCCGGCTGGGCGTCACGATGTAGGTGTGCGTCTGCTGCTGGATGCGCTTGATGGTGGCTCCCTTGGGGCCCACCACCAGCCCCACCACGCGGTACGGGACCCTCACCTGGATGGTGGTCTGTCCCGGCAGGTTGGGGGGCCCCTGCATGGCGCCCGTCAGCCCGTTCACTTTGTTGCGCGTCGCCCGGATCATGGAGAAGTGCTCGGCGGCCGAGAGGATCTCCCTCTTGGCCATCTCCACGTCCTCCTTCCTCCCGGTCACGATGAAAACGGGCTCCTCGCCCCTGACCGGCGTCTTGATGTACGTGTTGGTCTTGGCACGCAGGGCTTTGATTTTGCAGCCTGCAGAGCGAGAGTGGAAAAGAAACATCACGTCAAAGGCGAGACCTCACGGGGACCCCTGCTCACCGCCTGGGGGGGGAGATGCAGACCCAGAGGGACCCAGCAGGTCCCAGCAGGTCCCCCAGCTCTGCACAGACACCCCTGGAGGCGGCTCTTGCTGGTTTGCCCGCACCTCGCACCAGCTGCCAACACCAGGGAACAGCCCCGGCCGTGCCCAAAGGCAGCGGGGATGGATGTGGAGGGAAGGGGGAGCCAAGCACCAGCACCCCCTCCTCGCCTCCTCCCGAATTCCTCCCTGAAGGGACACGGGGGACACCAACGCAGGGACACTGCATGCGGGACAGGCTGCCAGCACTCCTGTTTCTGGGAAGACCTGCTCGCCCCGCACCAGGAGCGTGATTCAGCGGGCAGAGCCCGTGCTGGGACGCAGGAACCTGGGGTTTGCTGCCTCGCACAGCCCGGCTGAGCCCCTGCCCCTCTGCTCCCACCCGGCTGAGCCCCTGTCCCCGCAGCACCCTCCCAGCCCCGCTGCTCGCTCCGGCTCTGCCCACGCTTCACCAAGCGCACACGATCCAGGCGCCCGCTGCACATCACGCCCGAAGCAAAGCTGGGAGCCTGTGGGGACGGAGGCTGCAGGAACGGAGCCCGAAGCCCATCCCTGCCCTCCGCCAACTCAGCTGCTGCAGACCCCTGCTGATAACCCACGAAATCGCTGCACGGCACCAGGGAGGGCTCGGCTGCTTGCGGACGCAGACACACTACGAGCACCCGGCTGGCTCAGGGCATCGCTCCTCCTCCAGCCCCGTGGGAGGGCAGGGCTGCTCTGCCAGCAGCGAGGCTGCAAAAAGCAGAGCCCCGGGAGGCTGCCGCGACGCAGCCGGGGCCAGGGCTGCAGCAGGACACCCGGGCAGCCCTGTCCCACGCAGGGGGCACCGACCCACGCTCGGCTCCCTTTTGGCACTGCCGCCAGCGAGCAGAGCCCTGACAGGCTGCGCTGTTCCTGGAGACCAGCGTGCTCACCAGGGGCATTAAGTGTCATGAATAATTGAAAGTTAAAAAGCTGTCAAAATCAGCGAGCAGTTCTGGGTGTCACACCCCGCTCTGTGGCTGCGCTGAGCCCTCTGTTTGCCACATCCAGGGGGAACTGACGGGGTACGAAGCCAGCCTGTCCAGACACCACCTCCAAAAAACTGCGGCTCACAGCAACAGCCCGGCTCTGGGGCAGAGAGAGAAGCGGCCAGGCACAACTGGGGACACAGGAAAGCCACCAGCTACAGGCTGGGACTTCACAAAGACACCAAGTGTCTTTGGAGGCCACCTCCAAGCACTGGTTGCAATCCACCACCTCGAGTCCCTCGTGCCGTGTGTTGCCCCCAGGATTAGCACCCGCCCAGGCTCAGCCTCCACGCAGCCGGGCTCAGCACGGGGCTGCCCGGTCCCACGCCGGCTCCTGGAGATGGGAAAGCCACTGAGCGGCTGCGGGAGCTCGCAGAGGAAGAATGTGGGTGGAGAAGGGTTTGTCTGGGCTTTTCCTAATTTAGGACAACAACTGGAAGGTGTATTTATGGCTGGGGGCAGCACAGGGGTGGGGAAAGCAATGGCCCAGTCACCAGGGCAGGGCAGAAGCAGGGCAGAACAAGCAACCATCAAAGACCCTTTTTTTTTTTTTTTTTTTTTTTTTTTAAAAACAAGCGTGTGTCAGTCCTGGCGAGGCTGCCTGGAGCAGGGAGCCTGGCAGCCCCACGTTGCCCTCCCAGATTTATTCCAGCACCTGCTGCAAGCTCCCTCCCTGCTCCACAGTCTCGGCAGCCATGAGGCCGGCGTCAGCAGCACCAAGCAGGGGGCTCGCTCCCCCGAGGCAACGCTCAGCCCGGTTATGGAGAGGGGCACCTCAAGCCCAGGCCATGCCATAAAGTGGAGCAGAGGGATGCTCACACCCTGCTCTGGGGTACGGCGGGGAAATAAATCTGTGCTAAAACCACCTGGCACCATTTGGGGGGGCTCGGGGTGGGGAGAGCTGCACCAAGCCCGTGGGAGCCCACAGAGACTCTCCCAAAATGCTGGAGGCAGCAGCGAGGCTCTGAGGGTGCCGCTTGCTGCGGGGACAGGTGCTCTGGTTGGGGGCACGCAGCATGTTTGGTGCCCTGAGACCCCACACAGCCACCAGCACCCTCCTTCCAGCCCCCTCTGGGGACACGGTGGCACCGAAGTGACATCCACAGGGGCAGCAGGCACGATTTGCCCCCCTGAGAGCCTGCAGGGCGCTTTGCTGGTCCCCCCCCCAGATGCCATCCCTGCAGCTGAGATCTGAAACTGTTCTTCCGATCGGAAAAGTGAATTCAAGACAAGGAGCTATCAAAAGCTGCCAGCAGTTCTGGGAGCTGCTCGGTGACAACGGCCCCTGGGGGCACGCCGAGAGCTGCTCGCGGAGCCGCACGGGGGTTTCTGAGCGATCGAGCACCCGAGGCAGGGGCTGGCGAAGCTGCTCACCCGCGGCCACCTCCGTGCCTGTGCAGGAACAGCGCTCACACGGCTCCATGCGAGGAGCCTGGCGTGAGGAGCAGACGAGCACTCACAGACGGGTGCCATGGGGATGTCGGAGAAGTGCTCGCTGCTGGGACGGGCACCGGGAGAGCCCCACGGCCCCGAGCGGCTGCAGGGACCGGCTGGGGACTGGCTGCATCCGTCCCTGGTCCCAAAACTCCACCTAAGCCAGAGAAACGGGGCTGGCAGCTGCTGGCCGTGGGGCTGCCCGAGCAGCGGGTGGCAGCTGCGGTGCTCTGAAGGTCATGGCCACCCCCGGCAGATGGGCAGCTTCCCCGGGCTCAGGTTCAGGACCACTTTTAAACCCACGCTGCATGGTGAACCATGGGTCTGCTGGTCCTGGGGACTGGAGAGGACACCCAGCCTTGCACTGGCACAGACCCCAGCAAACCCTCTCCCTGGCGAGGTGGCTGAGCCGATCCTGCTCCTCCCCAGGGGGCTCTGGGAGGTGCCAAAGCGCTCGTGCCGAGCACCCCGCAGCCCGCCTGGGGGACCCCAACTGAGCCCGGCGGCCTCAGAGCGCGCACCACACATGGTTTCACCCGCAACCTGCAACTGGGGGAATGCTCTGTACCAGTACGAGCTATTTTAGATCAGTCTCAACACGCCCCCACCCAAGCGCGCTGCGCAAGCCTCCATCCCAGATGGCCGCATCCATCTCGAGTCCGCGCAGCGCAACCCCAGCGGGTGGGGGCCGTGCGGGACGGGGGCTGCGGGGAGCTCCGGGCGTCCTGTGGTGTCGCCAGCCCTCGCCCCAGACCCAGCACCGAGCCCCAGCCACGTGGCAGCAGTTGGTGTTCCCAGGGTTTAGCTCGTTGGGGTGGCCGACGCGCAGCAGTAATTATGAGGGAGGAGGAAAACAAGGTGCCAGACTTTGCTACGAGTCTATAAATAAGGTGGCTTTAAAAGTGTGTTTCGGATCCAAAAAAAAAAAAAAAACCAACCCAACAAAACAGGGGGGCAGACCCTGGGGAGCTGCAGCCCGCACAGATCCCTTCCCGACACATCCCCGCCAGCCCCAGGAGCTGCTCTGTCTCCAAGCTACGGCTCTTGGGGACAGGCTCGGCGCCCCGTGGGCCCCATTTCACAACAACCCCCGGCCCCGTGATGCTGCCCCTCGCTAGCAGGTTACAAGAACAGAACTCGGGGAATCATCGCCACAGTGGCACCCGCTGAGGGGGGTTTTTCGCTCAGGGCACCCTCGCACGGCACCGCCAACGAGGCCCCGGCACCGCCAGCAGCCCCACGCCGCTCGGGGCTGTGAGCATCGCAGGTGCCCACAAAACCCACGGAGCGGTACGGGAGGCACCTCGCCATCCTCCACACTCCCGGAGTCATCTGGGCAGGAGACAAGAAACCCACCACGGTGCGTGGCACACGGCTTGGCCCCTCCACGTGAGGAGGACAACGCCAGCTGGCTCCCTGGCCGGTGACCAGGCCACGTCTCCGTTTGCACGAGGAGCTTTGGCTTGTGGTGCCCCAACCCTGAGCTACGAAAACCCAGGGGGCACCCAGGCTTCTCTGGAGGAGTCCCCGGTGGCGTTAACCAGCAGGACTGCTGCCTGTGGAGCCTCCAAGAAGACCTCGGCCTTCCTCTTCCCCAGCACTTCCTCGCCTCCGACCCCGCACCACGGAGCCACCGACCCCTTTGGTCCGGGCGAGCAGCACCAGGACCAGACGTGGAGAAGCACACGTTGCTCCCCCGCCGCATCTCTTCTCCCCTCTTGCTGAGCGCTTCTCTCCACCTCTCTGCAAACAGTAATTAATTCTCCCTCACAACAGCTCTGCGGGAGGCGGGCACCTCACACCTTTGTTTCTTCTCCAGACTCCGGGGAAAGCGAGGCAGGGAGGCTGGGCTCCTCGCCACGAGACGGAGAGGAGGGAGCCTGGTGCCAGAGCCAAGATCCAGAGGCAGAGCCTTCAGCGACCAGCCCAACCCGCGCTGCCAACCCCAGGACTTTCTGGCTCTGCTCGGATCAGACGAGGCAGCAGGAGGTGGCCGGGCCAGCCGAAAGGACGTGGCACGGCAGGCGGAGGACGGCGCGGCGAGGGGCTCACCGGCAGGCCCAGCCAAACGCCGCGGGTTGGTTTGCAGACGCTGGGGCTGGCTCAAAAAACAAGGCCCGTGGTCTCTCTGTACATTTTCCAAGCACCGAAACACCCACTGCACTCCGGCCGCATTTCATCCTTCCTGCATCTCCCCTTTGAGCATCCCAGCGTCTCCTATGAACAGCAACTTCCCAAAATCCTGCACAGAGCTGAGAAGTGCCCGCACGTCACAGCGGGGAAGTGGAACCAGGCAGCGAAGCTGCACGGGGCAGAGCCAAAAGCAGAGCCCCAAGCCCTTGGGATGCTCCGGCAGCCCCCAGGACACGCGCTGCTGGGCACGGACCCCCCAGCAATGCCCGCGCGGGGCTTGGGGCTCCAGCAGCCAGCCCGCCCTGTGCCCCAGCCTCCCCTTTCCCCGGCACGGCTTCGATCACCTTCACGTCACCGCCCTACTTCTGCTGGCTGGAAAGAGCAGAACGCGATCAATGCCCACAGCGCTTTTTGGAGACAGTCCCTCCCACGGCAAGAGTCATGAATGGGCTTGCACGCGAAGGCATGACCACGTAATCCTGCCCGGCCACGCTGCCTTTCGGGAGCGGTGTGGGCAGGGACGAGAAGGGCCTCGGATGCGGCGCAGGCACCGCGCCGCCACCGGAGCCGGGCTGGACACGAGGGGCTGCAGCCACAGCCTCTGGCCCAGCCGACACAACACCGAGGTGCTTTACGCAGCAGAGGTTTGCTTCCTGAGCTGCCGCTCCCTTCGGGAAAGGTGTAACTTAGTAGGTCTGGAGGAGAGAAATCAAAGAAAAAGGAGGAATTGGAGAAATCCCGGCCAACGCCCTCCGTCAGGCAGCAGCCCATGGGACAGCCTCGCACCAGCTGGATGGGGACAGCGCTGCCTGCCTACGGGACCTGCCTCCACCCCGATAAGCGGCACGGGCAGAGGCACTGCTGGGCCTTGGGGACAGGAGACGGGTCCCCAAAGCGCCCCGAGAGCTGCTCCAGCACACGAGGTGCCGTCAGGTGCACACACCCACCCGCAGCTCGCAGAGACGCTCAGCACCTGCACCTCACCGCTGGTGACCGCAGCCCTCCCGCTCCAGCCATCGCCTGGCCGGGGACGAGGGGACCCCGCGGGCTCAGCCCCGTAGCCGAGCATCACCCCAGAGCCACCAGCGATGCCCCAGGGCAGCACCTTTGGGACACACGTTTCTGATGGCGCTGCCTCTTTTGTTGCGGCGGAGCTGAGGGGTCGGGAGGCAGGGAGCAGAGCCCGGGTGGCGGGGAGGTGACAAAGCCTCCCGAGCCTTTCAGCCACCAGGGATCCCGGACCCTGCCCACGCGTGGCACCACAAGAGCCCGTTGCAGGCTCTCGGCCGGGCTGGGCGCTCAGGATGGAAGCAGGCACAGGAGAAACGAGAGCGACGGGGACATGGCTTGGTGGGATCCAACCTGAGCCCACAGCACAGCTCACTGCTGGAATGACCACAGACACTGCAAAGCACCCCAGGCTTGGTGCCCCCCCAGGGGACACCCGCAGCACACTGCTGCACCCACAGGGGGACCTGGGGACCCGAGGGACACGGTGCCAGTGCTGACACAGGAGGACGAGGCACAGGAGCCCTGAGGAGGAAGGGCTCTGCTCCGTTTAAAGCCCCCGGTGCTGCAGTGGCCTTGCACTTCCCCGACTTAGAGCAGCTGCCAGTAGCACTGGAGGAAGCAGAGCGCAGCGGGAGCACAGAGACACCCCGGTGATACCCCGGTGACACCCTCGGTGACACCCCGGTGCCCCCACGTGCTGCTGAACCAGCCCCTATATACCACAGCAGCCCCCTGCCAGCAGAAACACAGGGTGCCAAACGCTGACCCCTCCTCACACCAAAACCCCAGCACAAAGGGGCCGCAGCATCCTCGGGGAGCCAAAGGCACCCACGGAGCAAATCCCACGGGGACGGGCGCTGTGGGCGGGCTGGGGCACCCACAGCCCATCGCTGGCATCGTGTCCCCCCCAAGCCCCACAGCAGCACCCCACTCACCCCACCTCGACGTAGCACAAGCATCTCTCCCTGCCTCCTCCTGCAGCCCCAGGGGGCTCCCCGAGCGCCCTGAGCTCCGCGCGAGGTGTGCGGGGCACCCGGGCACACGGCGAGCTCCTCGGGGAGCAGAAGCCACCCCGAGGCCGGGTGCTGCCGGAGGCAGGACACCGGGACAAAGTCGGGTTCACCCAACCCACCCACGAAGACGCTTCCCAGCGGAGGCACAGACCTCACCGTGGGATCGCCAACCACCGAGGGACCCCCGTGGTGCCGCGAGCCCCCCGCCACGCAGCCGAATCCACGCCCGCATCCCGAGCGGAGCGCGCTGCTCTCCCTGCAGCGCTCCTCTCCTCGAGCCGCCGGTGACGTCCCGGGCTCGGCGGTGCCGTTGGGCCGGGCTGGGCCTCCCGGTGATGCCGGTGAGGGGTGCGTGGTGGAAAAGTTGGGGCCGGCCGGGAGCGCGGCTGGCGGGGAGGCAGCGCAGGCCAATGGGAAGCGCAGAGCATGATGTCACCACGCTCATCGCAGCGTGGCTCGGGCTAACAAAGAGAACAATGAGGCTGCCCAGCGCCCCGCTTCCCCCGACGATAAAATGCCCCCCGGGACCCCCTGCACCGAGCCCCTCCGGGAGGGACGGGGCCAGGGCAGTGGGGCTGGGGGCAGTGGGAGCGGCGAGCGGCACCAAAACGCCCCCAGGTCGGGGCGCGAGCAGCCCCAGGACCCAGCTCCACCTGGATCTCTGCGGGAGCAGCTCCCTTCCTTTTTATTTTATTTTTTTACCCCCCTTTCTGTCTTTTTTTAAAAAATCTTACTTTTAATTTCCTTACCAGGGGGGCTTTTTCCTTCAAGGTGCGACTCGGGGAAGCGGCTATTTGGGATTTCCTCGAGACAAAGCCCCCGCCTGGCACACACACGCCCAGGGCTGAGGCGTGCCCGGGTGTCCTTTTGTGACAGATCCCAGCGAGCTGGGCTCCCCCCCACCCCAAACTGCTCCAAATTTGGGGACTTTCACCTATTCCCACCAGCGGATCCATCCGATGGGCGCCCTTTGGCCGAGGGCTCCGAAACGCCCGGCGTTAGCGCAGGGCGAAGGGGGGAGAGACGGGAGGGTGTGGTGGGGAGGGGGGGGGAGGTTTTTGGGCTAAAATAAAATCAGGGCTCTCCCCTGCAGGCCGTGCCCGTCCCTACCCACCCCGCTGCCACCGACTTGCGGGCAGTCCGGCCATCCCGAGAACTTTCCCTACGCGCCAGGCGTTCATTCCGCCCGTGCCTGGCCTACGTGCGTTAATTCAGATTTACCCTTGCTTTTATTATTTATTATTTTTTTTAATTTTTCCCCCCTCCCATAAAAATCGCAGCTCGCTCATAAAAGCCCCGAGGCGAGCGGGTGCCGCCAGGAAGAGGTTTTTTTTTGGGGGGTTTTGTTGTTTTTTTTTTTTTGGGGGGGGGGGGGCAGGGATTTCTCGCCGTCAAGTTTCCGCCTCCGCGCCGCTTCGAGGGGGGAAAAAAAAGAGACAAAGCCCGAAAAGTGACCCAAATCCGAGGGGAGGGGAGAAAGCGAGAATTAAAGAAAAACCCAAACGGGGAGGGGGGGGGGGGGGGCTCCGGGCATCCCCCGGGGCCGGTCCCCGAGGGTGGGAGCGGGGTCAGGGGGGGGGTGTCCCATTGGGGGGGGGGGTCCCGGGGCCGTTACCTTGGCGTCCCACGATCTCGGCGACGTGCTCGGAGCTGGGCACGGGCACGCACTCGGTCATGTTGACGCTTTTCTTCCTGCCGCCCAGGATGCTCATCTGCTCGGGCAGCGGCAGCGGCGGGGCGAAGGGCCCGAAAACACCGGGATGGGGGGGGGGCGGGTGGGGGTGGGGGGGGTGCGGGTGAGGAGGAGGAGGAGGAGGAGGGGGGGGGGGGGAGGAAGAGCAGCAGCAGCGGGAGGAGGAGGAGGAGGAGGAGGAGGAGGGGGGGGGGGGGGAGGCGGTGCCGGTAAGCTGGGGGCTGCCCCCGCTCCCCCGGTGGCCTCCCCGAGCCTCGCCGGGCTCCGCTTCCTCCAGAGCCTCCCCCGCCGCCTCGTCCAGCCCCAGCAGCGACAGCTGCGACAGGGCGAACCGCAGGGCGGCCGCTTCGTCCGCCGGTGCTGCTGCCGCTGCCGGCTGCTGCTCCTCCCGCTCCGCCTCGGGCTCCGGTTCCTGCCCGGTGGGCGGCGGTGGTGGTGGCGGCGGGGGGCTGAGCAGCGCCAGGCAGCGGGGCGGGCCGCGGGCAGCCTGCCCGCCGTCGGGCTGGTAGATGGAGCCGGGCATGGCGGCGGGAGGAGCGGCCGGGGCGGTGCCGGTGCCGCTGCCGCTTCCCGGGGCCCGGTGCCCGCCGCACGCCGCCGCCGCTCTGCGCCCCCTCCCCCCCCCCCCTCACAGCCACCGCCCCCCCCCCCCCGGGCCCCGCCCCGCCCCGCCCCGACAATGGGCCGCGCCCCGCCGTGCGCATGCGCGTGCAAAGCGGGAGGCGGGGTTTAATGTAGCCACGCCCCCTCTCGCGCGCTCCGCCTCGCTGCTCGGCCACGCCCCCTCCGCGTGGCTCCGCCCCCTCGTCCCAAGGCCACGCCCACTCCCATCGTGGCTCCGCCCCCCCCCCCCGGATCCGGGAGCTGAGCCCCGGGGCCACGGCCACGGCCCCGCGGGGACCCCCCCCGGGGGCTGGAGGGAGCCGGAGCCCGGCCCCGCATGGGGAGGGTCCGGAACACGATGTAAGAATGGGGGAGGTGGGCGGGGGGGGGGGCTGCGGGACCCCCGGGGATGGGGCACGAGGCTCCGGGACCGCCAGGCTGGGGGGCTGCCTGCGGGACCCCCAATGCGGGACCCCCAATGCGGGACCCCCAATGCGGGACCCCCAATGCGGGACCCCCAATGAGGGACCCCCAATGAGGGACCCCCAATGAGGGACCCCCAGTGCTCCAGGGCTGCAGGATTCTCAAGCTTGGGGGCTGCCTTCAGGACCCCCAGGCTCCAGGGGCTGCCTTCAGACCCCCCAGGCTCTCCCCAGCCCCCCCAGTCCCAGCCCTGCCCGCCCCCAGGACCCCCCAGCAGTGACAGCAGGGACGCAGCATGTCCGGCTCTGCACAGCCCTTTATTTGCTGGGGTGCCTCTCCCCCAGGACGGAGGACACAGCAATAAAGGGTCAGCCACTGCCCACCTGGCCCCCCCAAACACAGGCAGCCAGCCCAGGTCAAGCCCCCATGTTCACCAATTCAAGGGTCTGAGCTCCCGGCCCAGCTGCTCTTCCAGCCCTACAGCCCCTGACCCCCACAGAGGTCCCCAAAGGTCTGGCTGCAGGCATAAAACACCTCCTGTCCGTCCCCCCCCCAGGCTAACTCACAGCTTTCCTTTCCAGCCCCTTTCCTCCCTGCCAGCCGAGGGGTGCAGCGTGGGGGCTCCCCAGCTGTGCCCCCCAGTTCTGGGAGCTCCCCTGGCCGCCACCTCTGTAGGAGCTGTTCCGCAGCAGGCTTTGGTTAGAGAAAGAAATTTCCTTCTTCCCCAGGTACTCAACAAGAGTTTGTTGGATCCCCGTTATTTTCCAACATGTTCTGCTGCCCACCACGCTGTCGCTGTAGGGCTGCTCCCCACCGACCAGCTCCCTGCAGAACAACTTCCCCCAAATCATTTTCTCCACCTGGGCCATGGGGTTATAGGGAATTTCCACAGACGGAGCTTTAAGGAACCCTTCCTGGCAGTGAGGACACGCTATCTCACCCTAATGCACCAATTATTAGGTCACCCACTACCTCACATGCCCAGATTCCCTGCTCAGATTCCACAGGTCCAATTCTCAAGCTTCATTTTCCCCATTCTCACGTAACTGCCTTCCCAAAGCGCTGTCTTTGGGACTAATTCAGCCAGTCAGCTTGGGGTTGTTTTTAATTGCGAGCACCACCACCTGTGTCTGGTCCAGAAACCCCCCTTCCAAACAGCCGCGCTCTGTTTGCGTTTCACAGAGCCCTGTAAACATTAACTCCTGCCAGCCAGCAGCCCAAACACACGGGCAGTCCCTCGGCTTCCACATTTTGCCCTTCAGTTGGTGACTGTGCTACAGGGACGGACTTTCACCCCGTACTTCTGCCACTCGGGATGGTTCAGCTTGTATGTCATCTCAGCGAGATAACAGCCATGGGGAACTGCCCCCGTCCTTCCTTCCAGTCCTCTTACCTACCCATCTAAATGTAAAATGTTTCCATGAAGGATTTTCAGCAGCTGGAAAATACGTGAAGTTTCCTCCTTTCACCTCAGAGCTCTTGGTTTAGGGCTGACCGGCTCTTGGGTGGCTGCAACAAGGAGACGGCTGCAACTTCTCCTTCCCCAGGCATTCCCAGCTCCGTTCCACCAGGATCAGGCCGCGTCTGCCCAACCTCCTCAGCTCCTGCAGAGATCCATGAGCACATCTTGCTTCCTCCTACCTCAGCCTCCTCTTCCCCTTTTCCATCCCCGTGCCACGGGCTGGCAGCTCCCGGCGCGTTAGGGCCAGCTCGCCCTGCTGCAGGCTGAGGCTTCTCCTCGAGGGACAGATGTGGCCAAACCAGCAGATCTCAGCCACGCAGGCTGGCTGAGAGACATCTCCTCCTCTCACTTCCCAAAATATTGAATGCACTAAGTTGAAACACCCCGCTGAACTACTAAAAATAGTGGGTTTTCCATTACTTGCGGTTAAACGGTACGTCCCCCTTCCGAGCTTCTCCGATATACAGAAATTGGAAACTCATCAACGACCAACTAACCCCATGCCTCTCACAACTTCTGCGGGCAGCTGCACCAAGGCAGGAGCCTCCCCCTGCGCTGTGAACCTGCCTGAACCAACCCTTATGTCCTCGCAAGGCAAACCCTGCGGCACGCTGACCACCACGGGCCACCAGCCCGGCACCTTGCGAGCCCCACCAGGAGCGCTGCACGTGGGCTCTCTCACCCCAGCAGCTACACCACCAGCTCCCAACGCTGTCAGTTTTGCCTACACTGTGCTCTCTCAGTCCTCTTGGGAATTCACTACGTCAAGTCCAACAACACTTAGAGACGCTGCCAGTTCTTAAAGTGCTTTTGGCAAACCTGGTTCGTAGATGCTCTGCCTATGATCTGTTCCATTTTCAGCAGAACTAGCTCACGCTTTCTTCTTTCCTTAGATTCTTAATTTCATTCGTGACCCTAAATTGCCTTTTTTCTTAACCTGAGTAATGAGCAAGTCTTTAAAAGCCTTGCCTTTGTTAACAAAGAATTTGTCTATGTAATCCATTTCTCTAGCACAGCTCCAGTTCTTTAACTGAGCAAAAAAAAAAAAAGCAACCATACAGATTGAACTTCCCTAAACACAACTGAAAAGAGAAGGCCCTCACTTGCTGCTTCCAAGCCCACCTCTACAGTCCACGCCAGAAGGTTTCCCCATTTCCTATCCGGTCCCATTCACTCTCTCCTCTGCTGCTTTGCACTGCCTGTAATCCTCTGCCAGGCAGTCCCAGTTACCACAACCGATCCTGGAGGTGCTCTCCGGGTCACAAACCTCCTTTGCTCACTTTCCACGTGGCACCACACTTACAGAACAGGCATTTTTTGTCCACAGCTTTCACGTGAGGAGAGACTTACTGCACTTTCTGTGTAGCTTGGAAGTGGGGTGCAGGCGTCATCATCAGCTGAAGCAGGTCCCCGACCAGCACAGAACAAGGACATCGCTCAGAGTGACCTGTACAGCCCCCTGTGTACGTACAGGGAGTTAAAGAATGCTGTACTAAAGCACAGCAAAGGTGTAACAGCACATTGAGCCATTTTCTGCACGGCGAAATAGATCAATATAGCTACAGCAAAGTTATTATTACCACCACAGCTATGCAAGTAAAACTCCCTCAAGTGTGATTCTGTGACAGCCACGTCTATTTCAGGTCAAGTGTGCAAATGTAGAAGTTAAAATGCCCTAGCTAGAATATTTATTGTGCTATAAAGACCAAGCCCTAAAAGAGGAGATACTGAACATAGAGGGGTGGGGAGGAAAAACCCCACACTTGTTTCCTTTCCTTTTAATCACAGCACATTAGCCAAATGCGATAAACGGGACCCAAGGTTTAGGTGGGGAAAGTACTTCTGGAGGATGACTGCAAGTGGTTCCTCTAACTCTTTAGGAGATCAAACTCGACTTTCTGCACTGTTCTTCAAGCACATGCAAACATCATGCAAAAAATACACGCTCTGAGCGGTGCAGAAGAGGTGGTGCAGCTTGGAGAAGAACTATAAAAAAGTCCTCACTTGTGTGTGGGAAGGCTTATGGGAATATTTCAGCACATCAGGAGCTGAATCACTGCATGTAGGTGGAGCCAGACAGATTGACAAGATCTGCAACTTGAAAAATGACCTAAGTCTGAGATCAATCATCTCAAAAGTAGCTGACTGAGGGAACAACATATGGAGACGGATCAAGGTGACGAGGCTGAATGTCAGCACGGCAGGGAAAAACTGCATTAGATGCACATGCTACAACTGACCGAGCATTGTGCAACTCAAAGCACGGACAACTGCATTCCTCCCGGCATAACAGGCTGAGCGCTCTTTTCTTCTGTTGCCTTTCAGTGTCACCACAACTTTATCTCAACAGACTCTTGTCTACTACAGCAGCACGTAAAAAAGGCACTCTGGGGGAAGCCATTAGCAAACGTCTCTTTTTCATGCATTAGATTAATGAAGAATCTGGCTTTCAGGTAACGACTTCTGAAAAGTTGTGGAGCAGCCACTCGATGCAAAACTAAGAATTAATTGTACATCAGATAAAAGCATGAAAAAATAAAAAGACTGTGCACCCAGCTTTCAAGTTTCACAGCCCTTCAGATCACTGAATCCCAGGAAGATCTGCTCTAGAGGTTAACCCAGGACATAAAACCGGACTCAAATTACAAACAAACCCAAGTAATAACTTAGTATTCAACTCTTTCAGAAACTTGGGAGCCGATTCGTCAGAAGACCTGTATTTTACACATGCAAACACACAGATTTCTACAGCTAAGCAGTTCCTGACTTCTGCCACTGGAGACAAAGAATTTATGAGGTCATTCAGTGCCCCACTATTCCAATTCAGCATGAGCTCAGAATATTTCCATTTGTGCCTCTGTAAGGTAAGAATAGACTAAACATAAAAAAATTAATTTACCATCAGTATCATCAATACTGAATTAGAATGCTCACTGATCACCCTGACAAGCATTTCAAATACAATTTGGTAGGTCATTCTGAAGTTCAACATGTTTTTTTCTTCATCATTCTCACAAGTGCCCTATCACTGTAAAACAGGCTTTAGCAAATGCTGTCCTGTGCCGTTGGGATCAAACTGAAGGGTAATGGTTTTCCCTCATTAGTTCAAGGGAAATTGCCACCCCTGGAAGTGTTCAAGGCCAGGCTGGACGGGGCTTTGAGCAACCTGGTCTAGCAAGAGGTGTTCCTGCCCCTGGTGGAGGGGTGGAATTAGATGATTTTTAAGGTCCCTTCCAATCCAAATCATTCCATGATTCTGTGAACACAGTTGATCTCTGCTCATCTGAGAATAAATCCAAGTTTTAAGCTTGCTATATCCTCTACAGGACACCATTTTCCATGCCGTGGAATGGATTCTGACCGCGGGCAGGCAGGAGGCAGTACGCCACCACCTCAGGTCTGTGTGTCTGCTTCCAGCAGGAGCTGAGATGCACAACGCAGGTACCATCGAGTTTATGCTCAGTGACAACAGCTAAGAATACGCACTCCATTTGATAGGGGATAACTGGCATCATCCAAAGACTCACATGCACAGCAATCACAAATAAACAGGACTGACTTGATAGTTAATGCTGAAAAACTTTTTCTTCATTAGACACATTCTTCCCATTCCCTCCCTCCACTTGTTTCAAGCCCTTTAAACACGTTATCCTACCTGCTTTCTGAGGACTGGGAGAATCAGGCTACATTGAACAGGCTTTCTTTAAAGCAAGACAAAAAGGACGTGACTCAGAGGTGCTGAAAGACTTAGTTACCCTTTTGTATGTTCTGCTGTATCTACCTCCTGCAAAGTAGTACGGAGTAGGAGTGAAGGGAAAAAAAAATACAGTAAGCAACTAGACAGAGTCAGAAGGAAGAGCTGAGCCTGTAGGTAGGTTATCAGACCCAAGGAACAGACCTGAACAGAAGGTAGGGAGGGATCTGGATGGAGGTGAGATGGCTTCGCCCCCTCTCAGGGCAGGACGCAGCCTGGGAGGCCCCCGGCCCTCACTGCCTGCAGCGCTGCACCCAGCCCGACCTGGGCCTTGGGATGGGTCTGGGGGACATGGGGATGCTTGGGGGTCAGGGCAGCTCTGCTACGAGGACAGGCTGGGGGAACTGGGGGTGTTCAACCTGGAGAAGAGAAGGCTCTGGGGAAACCTTCCAGCGGCCTGCCAGTACCTAAAGGGGCTGCAGGAATCAGAGAATCACAGAATTGGAGGGGTTGGAAGGGCCCTCAAGAGATCACCGGGTCCAGCCCCCCTGCCAAAGCAGTTCCCTGAGCAGGCTGCCCATGCAGGCATCCAGACGGGCCTTGAGTATCTCCAGAGGAGCCCCCCCAGCCTCCCTGGGCAGCCTGTCCCAGCGCTCCGGCACCCTCCCCGGGAAGAAGTTCTTTGGTGTGTTGGTGCAGAACTGCCTGGGCTCCATTTGGTGGCCACTGCCCCTTGTCCTGTCCCCACAAACCACTGACAACAGGTTGGCCATGTCCCTCTGTCTCCCACACCTCAGGTATTTGTAAACATTGATAAGATCCCCTCTCAGCCTTCTTTTCTTGAGGCTGAACAGACCAGGTCCCTCAGCCTTTCCTCACAGGGGAAATGCTCCAGGTCCCGTATCATCTTTGTAGCCCTCTGCTGGTCTCTTTGCAGGAGATCCCTGTCTTTTTTTGTACTGGGGAGCCCAGAACTGGAACTGGGAAAGCTGGGGAGGGGCTCTTTGTTGGGGGGGGGGACAGTGACTGAACAAGGGGCAATGGCTTTAAGCTATAAGAGAGTAGGTTTAGATTCAATATTAGGAGGAAATTCTTCCCCCTGAGGGCAGTGTGGCCCTGGCTGAGGCTGCCCCGAGGAGCTGTGGGTGCCCCATCCCTGGCAGTGCCCAAGGCCAGGCTGGATGGGGCTGGGGGCAGCCTGGGCTGCTGGGGGGGTCGTGCCCATGGCGGGGTGGGATGGGGTGGGCTTCGAGGTCCCTTCCAACTCAAACCACTCCATGGTTCTGTGATTTTAACTGCTGGCAGGGAGCCTGGAGAGCCGCCTGTTGGGCGCATTGTGCGCTTTCACAGAAAGAACTGGGAACCCGTTAATTTTCTAAAATGCTCTCCCACACACAGAACTGTTGCAGTTGCCACAGAGGTAACATTCAATGGCAAACAGGAGGGAAGAAAGGCAAGAGTATGTTTGGTAATGATACTAAAAGAACAATTAAAAGTTGATGAGAAACAGCCAAGACAAAGTTAGACAGAGATGAGTAAGCAGTAGTCCTGAAAAACTAAGGATGAAGGATTAGGTGTAATATCCAAGGCCTTAAAAATGAAATAAGCAGGCCTGGAAAGAAAATTTGATTACCAGCTTGTGTGTTTCAAAGGAGAAAGTCTTAAACCATGGACATACCAACTACAAAATACTTACTACAGAGAAACACAGTTATGCAGCAGCTCTGCAGAAGGTACAGCAGCATCAGTGGATTTTAACTCTTTTAAAAATCTGTGGGTGCAGTCCTCAGTTGTGCAACTTGGTGCCTTTCACAGGATTGGCACAAATACTAGTTTGAACCAAGGAAACTTTAACAGGACAGCCTGCTGCCTCTTCCCTCTGTTCCTCCAATTGCTACAGTCAGCCTGTGAAAGATTAGTTTTCAGCAAGACAGCTGCAAAATACATTTAACCTTCATTTACATTCCCATTCAACGTTTTCTTAGTTTATAGAAAGGAGCAACGGGACAGTCTCCTATAGCTATAAAGAAGCTGAATTACCTCCACCAGTAGCTGATAAACTAGCACCGATGAAAAGGTTTCATTCAGCACAGTTTGTCTCGCACAAAGTGAATGCTTTTAGCTTCCACTGCAACTAAAATGCGTTTTACTGATGGAAACACATGTTTCTGATTTGCAAAGTTCATTTCAGCAAGCCTGTTTTCACACAGGAAGCAGAACAGAATAGTGCATTTATCAGTGAATTCTAATTTAAAATATTTTTGCTTTAATACTATCACTAATAATTCACAGCCCTGAAACAAAGGACTCCGTATGTCAGGCTTAACATACCTACATTTTAACAGTCCAGCCATGTCACTCATGCCTGTTTTCCCTTCCTAAGGTGCTCAGGTTACAAGCAAGACAACTCCTCCCTTTTCTTGCTCAACAGGCAGTTCAGCAAGTTCAACTTCGGATGCGAATCAAGCTAACTTTTTCTCGGGCAGAACCACCTACAAAAGGTCTGCAGGATAAATCTAAACTACACCAATACCCATGCAAATTCATTTACGTTTATTGATTGCCCAAAATTTTATCCAACTAGAATTCAGTAAAAATAATACTGGTAATAAACAAGCAGGGAGAATTAAATTCCCTTAACTTTGTTAGTTTTAAAAAACACAGCAGAGAAAAAAACCTGAGTCATCTTAACGGAACAGCTCCAACACACTTTGCGCAAGATAAAATCAGAAGTCTTAAACAACCAGGAGTCTCTTTCACTTTTGCACAGTAAAACTGTGTTTTGAGGGTTTTTGCCCTATCTACCAACATCAAGCAAACCAATTTCCCTCATCTCCTCCAGCCAGTGTGCTCTAGAACTGGGCAAGCTGCTGTTTCGAGGTGAAACAAGAAAAATCTGAGCATGCCACAGGATAAGTACAGTTTTTGTGAATGCAGATAGTACATATCCGACGTTACATTGCCTACAGAAAAAGATGAAAAACTTCAACTGTATTGGACAAGTTCCTACCCTTCCCAGTGAAGATGCACAAAGACCACTAAAATCTGCTTATATGTCACTTCCAAAAAGGATTAAACTAGCTGAATATAACTACCCGCAGAGCTTGGTGTAATTATTTTTATAGAAAACAGCCAACCAGAATAGATTACTGGTGCAACCAGTGCGCAGAACAAACCTAAGGCTATTTTGCACTGCTGCTTTGTATTACATATATTTATAATCTTTGGAGACAACAGGAAGGTGCCGTTACCACTCATCGAAATAATTACTGTTTTCAAAAGCATTCTCACAACTGCTTCTCCAAGCAGAGGAACCTGGTCTCAGACAGAACCACTGTAACTACATTCACATGTAACAACTGCTGTATATTATGAAAAGTTAAAGATTTTGCTGAACTCCATTCAATTACTTTTCCTACACGTCTTATTAACTAATCATCTGCTTCAAAAGCTCTACCTCAAATAGCAACTACTTTCTCCACCTTGGGGATATATTTGACGAAGGCAGACAACTATGTGCCCCTTGGTCATGTCCATGGCAGTAGGCTGTGGCAAGACAAACTAACCCAGCTGTTGGTGCAGCACCATGAGAAAGACAACAGGCTCATTTAAAAGGAACATTTCATTCACTTACCTGTCTCACTAAGCAGGTAAAGTTATTCCCTGGGATGTGACAGGAAACCTGGGCCCCTTTTTGTTGCTTTGAACAATCAACTCCATATGAGTGAAAACAAACTTTTTAAAGGGCTGACAGGGAAAAAAAGAGCTCAGCAAGGAAAATAGAGGTATGAAAACAAAAGAGCTGGCACACAAGTTAGCAACAATTTAAACTTAATTCTTCTTAATGAATCTTCAATGCATCAAAAGACTAGTATCAACTTCTTAATCATCTGAGTCCTGGTGCTTACATATGTTTAAAATTTATTTTGATTAAAATAAAAAGTAAAAGACATCACTAGATATTTAAAAAGTTTTTAAAAAGTCAAAAGAAATAGTGTCAGAACAAGATGGCCATGTTCAAGAAACCCCCTCCAGGATGGATTGTAAACTGCTAGAGTTGAGATTCAGACGACCACATCAGCAACTCGCCCGTTACACAGGACATCCTGGTAGCCTCTTCCTCAGTGAGGACACAGAGGACTCTGCAGCAAGAAGGAACTGGCTTTCCACAAGTTTCATCCATTCTCCTCTTCTGGGTCTCAAACGTCAAGATCCAAATGTCAGAACAGAGCCCACCACAGAAACGCAAGAGCTTTTCTGGAAGGGGCACAGCACAAAAACTCCAAGCAGGGGCTTGAGGGAGACCAGAAGAATCTCTACTTTGTGAGAAACATTTAATTCAACACAATGAATTACAAGAGGACAGATTTACAGAATAATAACCGTAACAGACTGTTCAAAAAGGAAAGTAATTTTCACTGGCTGCAGTAGCAGGTAAAGTTCCCCAAAGGAATACCTGGTAGAGCAGCAGCAAAGTACAATTCAGTCTTCTTGCAGTACTCCAAATGAGCAGTATCAAAGAATTTTGTATTCTCACTTCTTTAAGAAAAGAGTTAATATAGTATCAGTCACTTTGGCATGGGATATTTTTCAAGGAGCTTAAACCTATTCAGATCACTACACTGAACTACTCCCAAAGGCTATTACTCGCCAGGCAATTCCCCTGGTCCCTTGCTGTTCCTGCTAATCATTCTTACATGATAAAGGCTCTGGGAGCTACTTTCTTCCCCAAGTTTTGGGATACCAACAACTTGTACAATTGGTTAGTGGCACAATATTTCATCCACCACTTTATACTGTACTTTCAGCTGAGACATCCATGCACAAATTATGCAATGGATACCCTAAGACTAAAATAACTTCTGCAACCTAGTCAACGCATTCTCCAAGCTACACACACATCTTTCTCCCATCTCTCTATCCGCCCTCCCCAGATAAATCCCTTTTTAGCCACAAGTTACCCCAATATGCTCACAGTTGTACTAGAAGAGACTGATGAATCAATCAAGGTACCCATGGTGAAGCCAAATACTTATAAACACATTAAGGCAGGTTTCACATCATTTCATTTTTTGGACACAAAATGCTGGTCACTTCACTGCACATGCAAATAAGAAAGATTTAATACTTAATAAAAAGCTTTAGATTCATTTAGATATCAATTATAGAAAAATCAACCTTTTGCCTTTCTTGTTTTTAAAAGAGGTCAGAACATTACTGCACATGAAAGCAGATGTGTAGACACACCTATTGGAATGGATCCCCTTCCCTCCACACACACAGAAACAGAGGTCAGGGTTCTTGGCACCAGAAGAGAAAAGAGGAAGTCTTCCTCATTGTCAGTCAGAAATGAGTCATCCTTCCATTCTGAGTTGAGAAGGTCCTTCTGACCAGACCTAAACCAAAGCAAAATATACCACAGAGCGGGTATATTTATCTTCAAAACTCTGTTCTGCTATGCTTGGACATACACAGAACTCTGTATCTAAAATGTGCACAGTAGTGCATTCGGTGTGGTGTTGGAACTCGCTAAAAACCAGATTGCCATTGACCAGCTCCTCACGTGTAACTTCCCCTACTCATCAAAACCTCAGGTGGAAGAGGCACTGGTAGTTCATCTCTGAGACTACGCTTTCAAGACCAATGTGGTCTTGCGAGGAAAATGAAATTCACTGACCCAAATAGACACATGGAATGACAATCCACAACATAAAATGACCTCCCTACAGTCTGGTACAAACAGGTAGCCTACAGCAGAGTAGCCAAGGAGTGAAAACAGCATCTCTCTCACTTGCATTAGAGAGAAAATGGCTTTGATGGGTCATTGTTAAAGATACTTTGCTAGAAAAGCTTGAAAAATCACTGACCCACAAAAAAAAAAAAAAAAAAAGGACAGGAAGTTTGGTTCCTATTATATTCCCTCCCACTCTTTTATATTCCTTTATCCCCTCCCATTTTTGTCTTCCTGATTACCCTACCCCTTTAGAAAAAGAAGGGGGAGTAGAGTTTAGTCAAGTTCCATCTTCAAAACTACCCAGCAATTAATGAACCATCAGCTTCTCAACTTTTCCTGAAGTGTACATCAAAATGCTCATAGGTACAGTCGGATTGTTGGTGCAATTTACTCTGCAGACACTCTTGGCTTTGTAAATAGTTGTGCTGACCCTGCTGATAGGGTTTATACTGGGAATTCTTAGATGGAACTCCCTAGAAGAAAAAGAAAAAAGACCTTGTAAGTTAGTAGACACTTTTAAACACCTTTGTAGCAAGCACACTCTTAAAAGAATAAATAAAGCACCATTGGCAAAACACAGCCGTTTCTTTATCTCCTGTTTTTCACCTTCAGCAGACAGTTTGTTCTGGTTCTTTGCTGCTGCCAGACCTTTGTAGTAGAAAGGAATGCAAGATATTCACTGTCCAAATAAAGCTACTGTTAGTCATGTGGTAAAACAGGAAAACATAAAGAGCCCAGATAGAAGATGGTATCTCCCAAACGCCAAACAGATTTCACAGTATAATCAACCTTCCAGCATGAAGGATCGCTTAACATAAAATCATTCTTCATTCTACCTGACACTGAAATACAGCTGCCACTCCCTCCGAAGGGGGTTTTCTTTTCTTCTGCTCTTCATCCTAAAGATTCCTTTCTTCCTCCACATTCTCCACTCTTGCCTCACAGGCTCACACAACCGGAGTCTGCATAATGAAGCGCCCTGGGTATTGGCTATCCTATCCCAGCGACACAGCACTAATTGCTTTTCTCAGGCTAAAACTTAAAATGATCAAAAATTAAAACCAGTGAGCTCTGTTTTTATCTCGTTGCACGAGCTCCACTGATGAAACACACAGGCAAGGGTTACATCAAACAACACAGCAAGGAAACACTTTGCTTCACAGGATGGTGCTCTGTCCCTGCCTAGTGCAACAGGCAACGCTTAAGGAACAGTTGGTGTACCTTGGCTTGGCTTTATAAAACTGCCTCCCCCCCACCCCATTACTACACAGTGAGGATTTATTATTCAGAGCTATTTTGGTTTATAAGACAACAAAAAAAAATCCATTTGCACCTTTAAAGAGGTCCACTGCACAAGTGGGAGTCAGAGAGGGACTTGAAAACAAGGAGCAAGCCCATTATAATTGTTTTAAGGGATACACAGTGTAAAGGCACACTTCTGGGAATCCTGCAGGTACCAGTGTTAACCATTTTTTTCAGTTATTTACAAATTTTGAATACATACATTCTTCTGTTACTTTCGGTTTGCTAATTCCTGCCACAAAGTATTTTAGCAACTTCCTTCTTTTGATGGTCAGGTCGCCCTTTCTGACTTCTAAAATGTTAGTTAAAATTTCCACTCCTCTGCCCTCTAATACACCCTGCAAGAAAATGCTTACTAAAAAAGCAAAGGTTAGCCAAAAATGGAGGGAGGGGAACTAAATCCATAAGATGGCAGCTGCCCTTCCTGCCCACAGTATCCTCTTCCCTGTCATAGGTAGTAATAAATAAACTGGGGAAAAAAATGACCACAAAACAGGTGAACGTTTAGGAACTGACCCAGTTTCAAGACAGAACCCTTCAAGTGCTTACACACACATTCTGGTTATGCTTTTAGCCCATCTGACATAAACATAAAGCCCCAAACATTTGATGACAATAAAAACTCACCAGCCATCATACCCCTCAAAACATTTGATTTTTTTGGTGAAAAGAGCACTTTTGAAAATGTGTGCTAAGAAGCAAAGATTTGTTGATATATGCCAGGATTCCCTCTGAAACCATTTCTGTCTTCAGAACTATTCGGTACAATTTAAGGAGAAAAGAAAGTTGTCATACTACCTGGACTATACATTCTCCATCTCCTGGTCGTGATCCTGTTCCTCTTCCTCCTCCTCCTCTTCTCCTTCTTCCTCACCTCCTTCTTTCTCTGAAGGAGCTTCCCCATCTCTTGCAATTTCCTCTACGTGCGCAAGCATGTCAGCCATCAGGGCTTCCTCCAGCCTCTTTCGCACCTGCTGCACCAGCTCCTCTTGCTTCCTGCCCCAAATCAATGAACACTTGAGTTAATTCTCAAAGCTAACTATTTCAAGGGAAAGAAATCTTACATTGCTCATCCATGAGGCTGAGCAGAGAAGCACAGTTTTGAAAGAGCCCTCAGTAAGAACTGCACTGCAAAAAAACCCGCCTGGCATTACACTTTAAGTGAAGCTGAGAAACACTTTATAAAAGTTGCCCATTCTTTCTATTGTGAGTCCTTACTACTGATAGTACAATTTATTAATTCTGGCTGAAATTTGCAGCTGGTTCAAGATTTTATTTTTATTTTTTAATCACAAATATTAATTTAAGCAAGAAAAAGTCAGCCTACCCTGCTCAGATTTCCAAAAACGAATGGATTTTTTTTTTTGACTATTTCATTTTTTTCCCTTCATTCTCCTTTTGAGTAACAATCTTAAATTTTACAGCTTCTTTTATCTCAAAGTCACAGTGATGTAAAGAAGCGGTCAACAATTTGTGGCTCATGGGACTCCTATTTCATCTCAGCCACAGGAAATCAGAAAGTTATAAACAGACCTTTTTTCCTGGTCATTCATGTATAAATCACACGGAAGGAGTCATCCTGTAGTTCAAAAAGATTTACCAGCTGAACAGTCAAAACAATTACTGCCTTTGTACACTGTTAATGAATGTGAAGTAGTGTGATTTCAGGTTGAGAATGGAATATACCAAGGACATTATCAAGTGCTTAAAGCTGAATTTGACCAATTTTGATTCACTGAAAGCAAGCTATACCTACATAAATGGCATCCGTATTTGCTGCCACAGCAGTGGTTAATGCTTTTATTTGATCTTGTGCTGTCACAAAGGAGTAAGATGGTGAAAGTCTAATTTTTAGCATTTCCCCAATCCCTCCTTTGCTTAAGAGTTGCCTTAGTCAAGGTTACTCAAATTCAGATACTCCTTTTCAGTAACAGGAGACATACTGACATGGAGAACAAATATGAACCTGAAACCTCAGAGTAAGCAAGCATGGGTTAAAATAAAAAATAATATGCTTTAAGTACATCCATGAGAGCTGCTTTGTGTAACAACTCTTTCTACTCTTCTAATAAAGACATTCAAATTAACTCAGCAAGCCCTAGTGCTCTATCAAACATTTCAACTCGCCAGTGAAAAAGATGTGGTGCTGTTTTACCACAAGAAAACACGTTCCAAGGCAGTATCTGCTATTTCTAGGTAATACCTAATATCTTCATCTGTCACCATAAATGCTTTGCAAAGCGGCTGCGAAGTGTTTAGCCAAACTCCAGGATTCTTCTCGACGGCTGCAGACAGCTGGCCAGTGATGGGCATAGTGCTGGTGTGCAGAGCACTAGCGATAGCAGAGAGAAGGGTTTCATCAGTGCAACCAGGTCCAACCCCTGCAAGCCGGAGGAAAAGCAACAATCAGCATGGCACGCGACAACATGGCACATCAAGACAACAGCAGTAATTTCAGATTTAACGGCAAAGCACGCGCTCTCATTTAGAAAATCAACACAACAAATCTCAGACCTCAACACTTCCAACGGCACCTGTGCTCCCAAGGTTATGTAAAGCTAGATCAATTCCTCATTATGTTACATAAAAAACAACCTGGGAATGGAAGCTCTTTAAACAAGCACTGCTGCTGGAAAACAAACCAACAAAGTCAAGAAACTTTGCCACTTCCTCTCATTATGCTTCAGCATCCCCTGAGGAGTACTAAGGGCTCCTGCTGAAGCGGGAGCGGTCCCCAGCACCGAGGAGCAGGAGGAGGTTGACACAATACCTTCAGATCACCGCTGCCTGGGATCAAAACGCCACCCCTGGAGCTGAGGGCAGACTCTGATTACCTTGTAAACCTTTTGGAAGGTCCATTGTTTTCACCAGCTCCTCCGCAATGTCAAAAGCATTCAGTCCACTTAATTTCTTCTCCCAGAAGAGCTGACATCAAAGAAAGTGTTTATTGGTACAAAGCAGGGAAATGGAATCGACAACCACACAAAGCACCTGCTTACAAGCAGAAAGGGAAGGGCACTGCTGCAGACAGTTTTATATTGGATTTACTGCAGAAGTAGTCTGAAGGCGGGGAGCAATCCTCATTACCAATCTCACATCTCTGTCCTGATTTACTGCCTGGAAAAAGACTCTCCTTTCCTCCAGGGACCGGTACTCACTGCTTCTGAACGGGAACAGCAAGGCAATGCTCGCTTGCTTTCACCCCAGTGCACACACAGTATGGGACAGATGTTTTTTTTTTTACACTACTGTTCCTCTTTTGCTGCCTCGCATATGCCACAGAACTGAAGTTAAGGAATGCAGAACTCGTCCAAGCTATTTATGAGGTCAGACATTGTTTTATTCCTCTCTAGGCGTTTCTCATGGGAAGGATCACCGCGAGACCTTCGAAGAATTTTGAACTACGGGTTCTCCTCAGACCTAAACAGAAGTGAACCCATGGTTTGGTGGGAAGTCAGATACTAAAACTAGATAAACTTTCAACTCTCAATCTACGTGTATAGGGATGACCAATGCATAGCTGGAGTATATTTTTTCTTACAACAAAGCAATTTTATTGAGGCTTTGAAAAATGGAAAATTTTACCCTATACAGTCCAGACACATCCCCTTTCCACACCTGTCAAAATCTGAGCGTAACTGAACCCACACTACTTTTCCAATTACAAGCTCCTAAAACGAGGAAGGAGGGCAGTCAAAGCCAAAACACATAGGCTGGATGCTCGTTAGCTACGACTTTCAAATAGGCAAATATAAAGCCAGCACATGATGGGACTTTGTAGTGCTTTACAATTCTGAGGAAACATCTGGAGTCAATTGAGCAGAGGTTTCACTATACTATATTCTGGTAAAATAAGTAAGAAAAACCCAGACTGAGCCTACAAAGCTGCATTGCAACAAGTAGTAACGTGAGCAGGAAACTACAGAGGCTGGCTTACCTCGCTGCACTGGGCCTGATATCTGCTGTCTAATGACTGTATTCACGTAACAATCTCTCCCTCAACAGGACACAAATCTCTATTCAGCTCAGGTTTTTTTGCACATCAACTTCTTACTTATAGTGTCTTATTGTCATACCTAGCCAAGGAGTTTATAGGAGGAGCAACACTACAAACACACGTGTCCTACCTCTTTAGGAAACAAAGCTAAAAGCCCAGAAGCCTTGTTTAAAAAAAAAAAAAAAAGAATTAAAAAAAGCCACTCCATTTCAAATAGAATCTAAATCACACTTCAGAAAGATAAGTTCTTAAGTTTGCATAAAAAGTTTTCAGCACAAGAGGTTATTTTATAAGGTAAATCACTTTCCTCTTCAAACGATGCATTTTAATTCCACCAGACCTGCCAGAGTTTAAGGTATACCAGTAATTGACACCATTGACAGTGCATGAGCAGACTAATGAAGCTGAACATCTAGTTTCCAAAAGGTATAAAGACAGACGCGCCACAGGAAAGGATTCACAGAATCCCTGGTGTGAGCTCTGCGGAGGCAACAGGCTGTCAGCTCTACCTAACACTAATGAAAGGAGAACGCCTTCCAAAGGCTGCTTTGAACACGTAAGCCTCATTTGAACCAATGCCCAGCTTCAAAGGTACATTTGCCCTAAGCACACTTTTTGCATCTTTCACGAGATGAAATTAAGCTGAAAGATTTCCTTTACTTCTGGTGTATTCTCTTGTTTGAAAATATACAGTGCGAGAAGAAAAACAACAACTTTACATTAATGACGTTCCAAGGGAATTTCTAACCATACTCATCCAGGCAGAGTTAACTGCTAATGATACACCCATCCGAAAAAAGGCCCATGCAGGGGGTACAAGCCCTTGCAGCACATCACAAGCACCACGCTGCAGTCTGCACACGGAACAGGGATTTCTTGAAACACAGAATTCTAACACACTTGGAACATTTTATAATGATTACAATGTAAATTTCCTCTAAATTGTTTGACTTCTGTCTACATTTGTAGATAGGTCTTAAAGAAGTTTTTAACTAAAATAGAACTGTGACCTTAACAAAGGTTGGAGTCTAGTCATAAAACAGTGCAGATAGAATATTAGCTGTATACTAGAAATGTTTTCTGCTCTGATTTTAAAAGCTGGAAGCACTATAAGCTACTGTTTCCAAGATCTCAAATTGCCACGGACATTTCTTCAGTGTTAAAAAATGAAAGTGTTTTCTTTTGGGACCTTCTCAGCAGCAAAACCAAAAGTTTCCTAGCTCTGGAAAAATAGTTTCTAAGCTCCAAGCCTTACCTGCCGGGGTTGGTCCACAGCTTTCTGAGGATCACTCTTCACCTTATTGCTGGGATGGTTTGTGATCTTTGTGACGGGCTGTTTGAATATGGAGGCTGTCTGTCTGACAGGCAACGCTGTATTCAAATCAGGCTTGCCCTACAAATTTCAAAACAAAAGGAAGGGAAAATCCCATAAAACATTTCCAATTTACCAAAATGCTATTACAGCTATAAAGATGCGCTGTGGGCAAGAGAGACGTTATGGACTTGAAAACTTGCCTGATCTTAAGCTGTATCAGTGGGACTGTTGAAGATGGTTGTGCATTTTTAAATCTTGCCCAAGAACTTAAGAATGTAACCAAGTTTTTCACTCTCACATTCTACTTAAGATACCAGCCACCTCCCATTCTAGTTTATACACGTTGGTTTTATTCCAATTTTGACAAAAGTCAGGAGTCAGAACAGTGGATTTTAAGATGACAAGCCACTTTTGAACCACTAACCCTGAAGGTTTTGACACGGTGTTTGTAATAATTAAAAAGTTTATTGTGCAGGATTTAGAGGCCAGTTTGCAAATCCAGAAGCCATTCTAACACCTTCTGCTGGAATTCATCTGTGTATGCCAATAAATAAAACAATACAGCTGGAATCTTGATCACTTTTTTACCTTCAGTTCCTCATAGAATTCAGTTTTTAACGGGCCTGATAACTACCAAGCATTCACAACATGACTGTATCTCACACTGCTTGCAAAACGGGAAGCATGTTCCTCATTCCTGAGATCTACTGTGCTAATCTTGAAATGGCTGTAGGACATACTTTGTTCTCGAGGATGCAGACACAGTATCTGCTTAACATATTTATTCATGAGATGTAGAAAACTATTCAAGACAAATACCACCCTGAATCATCCTGTGCACTAATCCATTCGTAAACTAATGATAACTAGACATTTATTGAAAGGTTTGGGCAGAATTTATAGCCTAAGAGAGGTGTTGGCTACTGGTCTGACTGAGGCAAGGCATTTTTCTTTTAAAGCATCACTACAGCACCTCGTGCTGCATGTAAATCTTCCTATCACTTAGATCAGAGTACTGTTCTTGATTCTTTACCAGTTGACAGAATTAGAAAATCAGCATTATGCTGTTTTCCATATTTAACATTTAGGTGCAGAGACACAGCTTTTAGGTTCTGAAAAGCATTCCCCCATTCATTACAAAATGCTCCCTATTTGTGTTATCCCACATATTGCTCTGAGAAGCAGCCTGGCCAGCACAACAGGTGGACGGGCAGAAAGCTTCCACTGCATCTTACTCTTACTTTGGCTTGGTTGGAACAGTCGTAGCGCATCCTCTGTCTGTTCTTGTTCATTTTACTCATCAACATCTTTCCCGTGCGGAAGTCGAAAGTGCTGAGGTCCATGGAGCTCCCCAGGTAGCGAGCCAGCTGGGGCTTGCTTCGGAACTTTTTACCGCTTGGGCTGAAAAAACGTAGAAAAGAAACACGGAGGGAAATTAAAACCCTTTGGACTCCAATACCAGTGCTTGTGACAAGTTTTATTTCCTTCACGAACTTCCAGAAGCGAAGTTCACACTCAACACAAGATGGGTATTGCTGCATTCATGTCAGCTCCCTGTGCTTATTGTGCAAGAGACAGACCAACTGCAGGACTCGTGAGAGTGTTTTTGTACATAAAGAGCAGAATTCAGACCAGGTGTAAATTAACAGGGTGTAGTTCACACCAGAACTGAAGTGGAAGACAATGACACAGAAGTACTTAGTGCTCAATTGTCTCAAATAATAAATGCCTGTTTTCAAGGATAATTTCTTCTCACAGGAGCAGTGTCTGACTGGCACCATAAACTGCTCGGGTTCCCACCTCCCCCTCGAGCTGTGCATTTGGGTTGGATTACAAGTCTTTGGTAGCACTTGGAGCACCAGGATTGCGCAGTATCAAGTACTCAGGGAGGACAGAAGTTAACTGCTGACAAGGTGCAAAGTAAAGAATTACAAAGCTTAATTAATGCAAGAATAAAGGCCAAAACCTTACAAAAGTTTCCATTAATGGCAAAGCAGAAGAGATTCTTTTTAAATACATGATTTTCCATGAAAGACTACAATCTGGCAAGCACACGCAAATTACTCCTGTTTTATTTTAATAAGAACTCAGCCTTTTGCACTACTACAAAAAGCACTAATTGAACCCTTTTGTATTTCATGCACAAAGCAAAAATAAATCAATGCACTGCGACTGCAGTGTCAGACCTACACAGAGATTGAGCACAAAATAATCCTTCATGTTCTCGCTTAGCATCACAATGCCACTTTATTCTCTTAATTTCTCTCATTTCAGTTATTTTGCATCTTTAACACGTCAAGTCCTCCATTTTTTGGCAAGCAGAGGACACCACTACCTATGAAGCAGGCAACCTGCACATTCAGCCTCAGTGCCAGCCTGGTAAAAGCTGACTCCGCGTTGCGCTAAGCACAGGTTAGCTAGCAGGTATTTAAGACCAAGAGATGCCAGCCTCATCTTCTCCCCCCACCCCACATTTATCTATTTTCTTCTATCACAAGGCAGTTAGCGTTAGACCATGTTTTCAGCCATATCACAGGGAAGCAGGATTATCTCCTCACCACCCTACAAACACTCTCTGCTCTCGATCTACCGGCGATCTCGTTAGGAAATGCGAGGTCACGTCCAGGCAGACCCCAGGAGCAGCCTGCCCCCACACAACGTGGTGACATCCATGAGCTTGGAAATTCAGAGCAACTTCCAAATATCCAAGCACTGAACTTCAGGCGGCTCGAAGCAGCACCTACATGTTATAGACCCCGATTTTCTATGGAGGAGGGACACGATCCCAGCACGACTCAAACCTGCTGGAGATGAATTAATGCCGATGAGGTTCCTCCTGGAGACAGACCAAGTCACCTGCTGATACTCCTGAAGCCAGAACCACAAGCACCTTGTTCCGAGACTTATACTAGAAGGCCAAGAATAACTTGAAATAATAAAGCTGTCAGAGGCTGAGCAAAGCAGCATTACTAACTAGTCCAGCAATGCAGACCCCACTCCGCCAGTGTTGCTGCGGGAAGATACTAACAACCTCTCTAGGGTTTTCTTTCAGGGTAGCTCAAAGGAAAAAGCCTTTTTTCACCACATTATCTGCTTCTTTGAAACCTTTATAGGAGTAAAGTCTGAAAAAAAATAGTGCGAGCGTGGAATTTCTAGTCCCGCGGCAGTGACTAGCAGTGGCAAGTCAATTAGTCCAAGTCTTAAGACTCTCTACTGGAAAAATTAAGATTAAAAAAAGAGAAAAGCAGAAAGCCAGAATGAATCAAAGCATTAAAAATTCTCAAAAAAAACCAACTGTGAGGCAAAGACAGTATGAATTATATTAAAAATGTTACAAGCCTATCAAAGGACCGATGATGCACATGGCAGCACTCGCCTGGGAAGCTCCTGGCCCTGGCTGCCCCGTGCCACTTATCCTGCCCCACAGCTGCCCCGCGTGCTGCTCGCACACACGCAGAGGTATCCAGACAGGGAGAATCATCATCTGCAGAGGGCAGGGAGAAGAGGAGGAAGCACTTCATCACCAGCCGTTCTTCAGCAGCACCAGCACGCTGCGGAGCTGCCCAAAGACTCAGGCATAAGGGCAGGAGTAAGCTGACAGAAACAGACTGGGACTGGACACCAAATCTGAAAACAGTGCTTAAAAATATAGAGGGAGTTGCGTGCCTTGACCCCAAAAGAGGAACACCCAACTCCAGTACCCAAACTCTGTTAGGACAGGGCCATTGCTGCTGGTGGTGAAGTCAAAAGGGAAAACTGGACACTGCCTCTTCCAGGATCTGCAGCTCCAGTTTACGGCATCTTAACAGAAATCCACCAGAGGGAATTTTGGAAATAACGCGGTAGGCTGGATGGTGCTGAGGTGGCGAGTGCCTTGTTCTGTCACTTACAATGAGGGCACTTCCAGAACGGCAGAGCCAGGTACGCCCGGAGGCAGCGTGCTGCAGCCCCTCGGCTTTTTGCTCGGTACGCGTCCTGGTAGCTCTGCAAGGCATCTGAAAAGCTGCTCAAAGTCAAGTTACAACTAAAAAAAATCTGAAATGGCTCAGACTCCTGTCCCTTCCTCGGGACACTGCCCACAACAAAAGCACTGAAGTGCAAAGAAGGCAAACTTTTATTCTGATTACACACTGAGAAAGGCAGCTGGGTCCTGAGCCGTCCTGCAGCGACAGCAGAGAGGGAACAAAGCTCCTGCAGAAAGCCAGCAGCGAACTCACGGGGTGAGCGCAGCACGAGCAGGCAGCTGCAGCCAGACCCTGCTCGGTGGGGCACGGCTGCTGGCCACCTACAGGCTCCCAGCAAGCCCAAATCCGAGCAGCAGCCCCCCAGAGCCCCCCTACAAAGCAGGAGCAAGTTTTTGCTTTGCGGTGGAGCAGCGGTTAGGGAACCCCAGTGTAACTGGAAGGCTGGCGTGCCTCTTGATCCACAGAACTGGGAATTTCTTTCTGCTCCAGAGCCTCTATTTTTTTGTTCGTTTGTGTTACAGAGAGTCTGCAGAGGCCCAGAAGAAGGAAATTCTGATACAAAAATCACAGAAATCGACCTCTTCCAGATGGTACTGCAGGCACCAGTACTGAATTACTGCCTGCCACGCTTCACCCCAAGCAGGGTGGCCACAAAGCTGCGAGGGATTCCCCTGCCTGCCCATTATCTGCCCCGCACCAACAAACAGAGCCAGGCAGAAATGCGGGGTGGTGTTGGCAAGCCCGAGGAGCCCTCCTTCGTCGTGCAGGGGCTTTGGGGGTGCGGACGGGGCCGAGGGCAGGCAGCCTATTGAGGGCGAGCCGCCGCCAGGTGCCCGCTGTCCCCGCGCGGCTCTGCCTTTGTCTCCTCGCCTCCCGCGCCCAGGCAGCGGCTGCCAGCCCCGGCTGCTCCCCTCCTCCTGCCGCGCTCAAGAAGTCTCCTCCCCTCCGCTCTCCCCATTTAGCGTCCGCCAGATCCACACAACTTGGAGAGCAAGGGACAAAAGACCAAAAAAAAAAACAACCCCAAACCACCAACCCAGCCCAGATGTTGTCTGCCTTTGAACGAAATGGAGACGGCCGCAACCGAGGGGAAACGGGCGATGGGAAGCGTGTGCTTAGAGCCTGGCTCCCGGCACGGGGCGGTGGTGTAGCACAATGTGTTTCCTCCCCTGCTCAAACCCTGCTGCCTCCTGCGCCGCCGCCGCACGCGCGGCTCCTCCCAGCCCACCCCGGGACCTCGGCACGCACCCGGGGGCGCGCGGCTCCCCGAGGAGGCACCTCCTGCACGCTGCCACCCACTCCCCCGGCACCTGCACGGTATTCGTGGCAGCGGGATCCGTACCGAGCCCTCGATCTGCCTCGGTGCTGACCTCAAGAAGCGGGTCCTGGAGCGGGACAGCACCGACACAGCATGGGTACGAGAGCAGGCAAGCACTGCAGCCACCGTAACCCATCTCCTGTCCTCGCACCTCATCGGCATCTCCCCATAACCTCCGCTCTGCCTGTCCTGAGCTGTCCTCCAGCACCCCAAAACCACCCCGTGGCAGAGGAACAGCCCCAATACAGAGCCGACGATCCTGAGGCTCACCTCACCTCCCGCACCAGGGCAGCTTTGCTGGGGGAGCTTGGGATAAAGCTGAGGAACTGAGAACGAGCAGAGCGTGCTCTCAGGGAAAGCATCCTCCTCTGCAGCTTCGGGGGGGAGGTAATTCTTTGCAGGATGGCATCATGAACATTTTCTTGAACTTTTTACTTAGGTGCTGCAAAGGTAACAAATTCACACCAAAATAAGCTTCACCTAAGAGACTTAAGTTTTCCAGAGCAGAGATGCCAACTGCTTCCTGAAGCAGAGACAAACAAGCCCAAACTTCTCAAGACACTTTGCCATCAAACCCGCAACAGAAAACAGCACGAAGAGAAGCCGCGCAAAGCAGCCAGCAACCTCCTTTCCCCAGGTGGGGACACAGAGCCTGGGGAGAGCCCTCGCAGCAAACTGTCTTTGAGAGCCCTGGCTGCCTCGCATAGCTCCCAACATGCTCCCCTGGCCGATGCCAGTGCAAGCCCTCCGTCCCCACACATCTCCTGCTCACTCAGGACGTGGCCCACGAGCCCCACCGCATCAGCCAGATGCCTGCTGGGCTCTCCCAGCTCTCACATCACAGACAAAAGAACACACAAAAAACTAAAAAGGTGAAACACTTCTGCACTGTCAGCAGCTGGTAAGCACGAGGTTGGAGGACTGCTCCTAACAGCCTGCTCGTGGACTGCACCTCGAGGAGGGCACCGCCAGCAACACACCGCTGGGCAGACGCACGGTGTGCGGAGCACACTCAGCCCGCGAGATGCATTCACCTCCCAAAGCAGAATTCACATTCGGCAGAAGGCAAGCTTACACGTGGAAAGCATTTGCTGCTGGCATTTAGGGCTACAGAAGGAAATCTCCAAATGTACAGCACAGCAGCCCTAAAGGAGGCTTCAGGAAAGCAGGACGTGCCGCCCGCCGCTGCTCACCTCGGACTGGTGTTAATTCCCAAGGCTGGCGATCGCACACGAGAGCGCTTGTTTCCGGACAATTCTGACGTGAAACCGTGCACGCAGTTATCCACGCTTACTGCATCTGTATGCTCGGAGCAGCTGGGCAAAAAAAAAAAAATAAATCAGCCAGGTAAACAACAGGCAGAAATAGCAGAGGTATTAATAAATTGCCACTCGCATATTTTCCACTCTGAGGTAATGCAAAATGCAACAGTAACCAAAAATTAGTGCAGCAGGGCCGTGCTATACCTTTGATCTCTGTCCAAATTGATATAAAGGGAAAATCCATTATACCTTGGGAATAAAAATATGCTACTTATCTGCTCCCCCCGCTCTTTTTATAACCGCGGCTCCGAGACCGCAACTTTACAGATAAAGCCCTTGGACAACCAGGGATCTCCGGGGCTGTCAGCTGCGCTGCCCTGCCTGCTACAGGTGGTCCTTTCTTCTCCCCGCAGGCTGGGAGCTCAGCTCAGGGGCTGGCACTTCAGCTTCGTGCTCTCGGCCGTTTGCTGCTGTGCTTACGGCTCAGCGCCGCTCGCTGCCCTCGCAATCGCAGTGTGATTTCCCAGATGAAACCCTGCACGTGCAGCAGCTGATAGCGCGCGTCTCTCCGATTAGAAAGGCCAGGTGAGGACACCCGGGGAGCCTGGGCTCCGCTCCCACAGCTCCCCACGGGCCTGAGCTCCGCACACCGCCTGCGGGCAGCCCCACAGGGACGCGGGAGGGATCCCCGCAGCCCCCCGGCACCCACAGCTCGCAGGGTGAGCGGCTCCCGGCCGTTTGCTGCCCCGGCAGCGCCGTGCTCGGGTTGGGGCACCCGCACTGAGCCCCCTGCCCCGACACCCACCCACAGCCGGCACCCAACGCTGCCCCCTGCCCCCTGCCCCAAATTCCTGCTGCATAGGGAAAACGAAGCGGGCAGGGCTCTGAGGGGGCTGCACACCCCACAGACACCCCCAACCCCACGGACACCCACCCGGGGAAGCCGAGCGGCACCAGGGCAGGCCCAGAAAAGCCGGGGGGGCCCCGGGGAGCTCAATTCCCGGCCATGGGGTGTCCCGCAGCCCCCCCAGGAGACCCCCGGTGGCCGAGCCCAGCCCCGCCACCACCCCGGGCCCTCCCTGGAGCAGGGTCCCGGAACCCCTCGGCCCTTCACCCCCGGGTTTCACCCCCAGGGTCCCGGCCTCGCCCCCCCCCCCCACAGCCCCGGTACCGCCGCCGGCCGCCCCCCCGCTCCCACCTTTTCCGCTCCATCTCTGCCGCCGCGGCCTCCGCTCGCCGCCTGCCCGGGCCCCGCGGGGCCTCCCCCGGCTCCTGCCTCCCGCTGCTGCCGCCCCCCCCTCCCTCCGTCCCTCCCGCCGGGCCACCGAGCAACGGCCTCGCCTCGCCCCCCCCCCCGCCCCTCGGCCACGCCGCGGCTCCGCTCGGCTCCGCTCCGGGCCCGGCCGCTCCGCTCCGCGCCCGCCCCCGCGGTTCCGCTCCCGCCCCTTCCCCCGCCGCCGCCGCCGCCGCCGCTCCCCGCGCTCCGCCTCCCGCCAGGGCCGGGGGCGGCCGCATCGGATCCCTCCGCCCGGGCACGCCGCGGGATATAGTCCCAAGCGGGGGGGCAACGGGGGGCGGCGGGGGGGTTCTCACCGAGCCTCCCCCGGGACCCCCCGGGCTCTCTCGGAGCCCCCCCGGTGTGCTCAGAGCCCCCCCAGGGACCCCCCCGCCTCAGCCTCCGCGTGGAGCCGCTCCAGAGCCCCGCGGCGACGCCACAGAGACCCCCCCCCCGAGAACCCACCCCCAAGCTCCCCGGAGACCCCCCCCGGCCGCCCACAGCCAGCCCTCCGCGTCCACATGGACCCCCCCCGGCTCCACTGAGACGCCCCTGGCTCCACATGGACACCCCCCCCCCACCACAAAGACCCCCCCGGCTCCCCGGAGACCCCGCCCAGCTTCACAGAGACCCCCCCCCGGCCGCCCATGCCCACCCCTCCGCCTCCATATGGACCCCCCACGAGCTCCACAGCGACCCCCCCGAGCTTCACAGAGACCCCCACTTCCACGGAGACCCCCCCCCGGCCGCCCATGCCCACCCCTCCACCTCCATATGGACCCCCCCGAGCTCCACATCGACCCCCCCCGAGCTCCACACGGACTCCCCCGACCTCCTCGGAGACCCCCCCGGCTCCCCGGAGACCCCCAAAGCCGCCCATACCCAGCACATGGCCCCCCCCCGGCTCCGCATGGACCCCCCCCCCGAGCTCCACGGAGACCCCTGCCCACCCCTCACCCCCAAATTGGCCCCCCCCTGTCCCGGGCTCACCCCGGCGCCCTCCGCCGCGCCCCCCCGCGCTGTCCCGGCGGCGCCGCCTTGGGCATCCTCCTTCCCCCGCGCCCCGCTCCGCGGCCCCGGCCCGGCCCCGCGCCCCCCGCCCCGCCCGCTCGCGCCCCCTGCAGCCCCGGCCCCGCGCCGCAGCCCCGGGGGCACCGGGAGGGGGGAGAAAGGGGGAAGCGGGGGGGCACGGACGGGGCGCCCGGGGCGTGGGGATGGGCACCAAGGATGGGGGGCACGGATGGGGCAGCAAGGACATGGAGCCACGGATGGGGCACAAAGGACACAGGGCATGGATGGGGCACAAAGGACATAGGGCCGTGAACAAGCCGTGCAGGACACGGCCCGAGGATGGGCCACCAAGGACATGGGGCCATGGACAGACCACCCAGGACATAGGGACATGGACGGGCCACCCAGGACATCAGGTATGGATGGGCCATGCAGCCAGGACATGACCCCATGGATGGCCCACCAAGGACTTGGGGCATGTAGGGGCCAACCAGGACATTGCCAGGCCACCAAGGACATCAGGACATGCGGGACACGGTCCCATGGATGGGCCACCAAGGACCTGGGGCCATGAATGGGTCATGCAGGACATGTCCCATGGATGTGGCATGTCCCACCAGGGATGTGGCCCCATGGGCAGACCATCCAGGACACAGGGCGAGGATGGGCCACCCGGGACATCGCCCACAGATGAGCCACCCAAGATATGGCCCTATGAATGGGCCACCCAGTTCATAGGGCATGGATGAGCCACCCAGAACGTGGCCCCATGGACTGGCCACCGCAGAGCTGGCCCTATGGATGGGCCACGCAGAACATAGGACATAGATGAGCCAGCCAGGACGTGGCCCCATGGACGGGCCACTGGGGCCATGCCAGTGGCAGCCCCACGGTCTGGTGTTGTGGGCACGTGGGCAGGGCTGTGCCAGCGCCATGGGTGCTCAGTGGGGCCATGGGGCACGAGAACCCCCAGTCTCTGCTTCTGCAGGGTGCGGTGGCATGGTCCCAGCACGGGGGGCTTCTCCTCGGCCACGTGCCCAACCGGGGGACCCACACAGCTCACCGTGCCCAGCCTGCTGCACCCAAAAGTGCCCTGACACAACGCCCGCTGCCTCCTGCAGTGCCTGGACATTGGAAGAAGAGGGCTGGTCTGCTGCATGGCCCTCCTGGAGGCTTTTTCTGGGATGGATGGATTTGGACATTTTACAGGTCTTTTCCAACCCAAATGATTCCATGATTCTGTGGTTTTGCTGGGTTCGTTCAGCAGGGTCAGTAGCACCAACATCCATTCTCCTGGGATAAAGCCCAAAAAGAGATCCATATAAAAAACACAAGTGGGAAGAAAATCCGCTGTGGAGGAGATGGTGAGAAGACAAAGCAATGAGAAGCGTTTTAGGAAACAAAACAGCAACCAACTGCCTACTGGGTGCATAACGAGACCGCGTCCACGCACCGGGGAAAGCCCAGCCCAGGGGGGCATCGCCACGATGGTGGCCACGGGCACGAGCCCCAAGGAAACAAACACAAGTCACTATGTGCCGCCAAGCCACCGAGTGCAGTACCCCAGCAGAGAGGTTTCTGCCTTTGGCTGCCGGTGAACGACGTCTACCTGGAACCCCGTGGTTTGATAATCACGACCGAGCAGCTGCGTTTTGGCAGCCGGGCGTATCACAGCAATACCCACCTCCCGAAAAGCACCGAGCCATTTGTCTAGGAAGCACCGCGCAGCAGCAAGCTCCGCAAGGCAGCCTGCTGTCGAAAACATCTCGGAGCAATTAATTTTTCTTTAATGAACAAGTGACACACTAGGCTTTCGTTAAGAACCTCGCACAGACCGGCAGTCCTGAAGCGACCGCGATTGGAGGTGCAAAATAACATCGCCTCCCGGCGTGTGCCTGGGTCCTGCTGGCATCGGCAGGGCTCAGCGCCCTCCTGGAGACGAGCACGGCCCCGCCACCGCTCAGTTCTCCCGACACTGAACTTCTTCAGTCTGCTTGAACTTCCAGTACTTCCTCCAGCTTGCATCTGTGCAAGAAGCTGTTGTAGTTTTACTGATTTTTTTAAAAACACGTCTCACTCACTTGTTTCAAACTCCCTTATTTGGAAAGCAGCCGGGAGCGCGAGGAAGGATGTGAGACGTGTGTCGGGGATGAGAGGAAACCCAGTCCCACACACATGGGGCATGAGTTGTCCAGGCATGGGTAAAAGTTCAAAACAACTTCAAAGAGGTGGGTGCACTCCTAGGTGCAGGGTTGCATTTGCTTGTACAGGAAGAATTTTATATTTCTGATACCTGACAGAGGAGATTGTGTCTTTACTTTAATCAATACAGAGCTTTCTGTTGCCCTAAAGGCATTCCATCTCTCTAGGGTTGTTTTTGGTTTTGTTGGTTTGTGTTTAACATCCTCTCCTTCTGGACTAACGCTTATGAAATGTCTCGCTTTGCTATCGCTGTTATTTCCTGCAATCTTGAACACGCAGACCAGAAAAGCTCTAATTGCCGGTATTGATCAAAACCACATTATTTTTCACAAACATGCTTTCCCTTTTTCTGTGTTGCTGATTTGGGGGGATAAAAAATAGACCAACTAAAGTCATAGCATTCCAATCGAACCCTCGTGCTGAAATGCAGCTTCCTGATGAATAAGAAAGGTCCATGGAGCGAGAGGGCAGAGGGGAACTGAGGCAGTTACCCCGCTGCAGGCACAGAATCCTGCACGTTCCTTGTCCCCCTGCTCCGAAACACTCCTCAGCACCTGGGCTGGAAACTCAGTAGCCGTGTGTTTCACACCAACCATTCCTCTTTCACTGACTAAATTCAAAGCCATGAAAAGGAGACAACATTTCACTGAACAAGATCATACAAGACACAGCATCCACATTGGAACACCGCATTTTGAGGAAGACACTCTGGGAGAGCAGCCAAGAGGAGAGCGATGAAAATCATCAGCTGTCTCCAAACTGACCTACCAGGCACGAGGGAAGAGCTGGATTTGTTTAGTCTCAAGAAAACATCTGAGATCTGATAACAGCCTTCAAATATGTAAGAGTGAAAGAATTACTGTGCAGGAGGGGAGAGAATTTCTTTTTTTCCAAGCATAAGCATAGAAACGGACCATGTGCAGGGACCAGCAGCTCTCCCTCAGTGGCACTTTTTAAGAACAAACTGGACAAACTGGAAAAGCTTGGGAGTGGATCCTGCTGTGGGGTGGGGATGGAGGAGCTGACCTGTTAAGTGTCCGCTGAACCTCAGGCACAGGGTAACAGTAGTTAGAAAACTGGTTTTCACTGACAGCGGGTGCAGGCAACAGGCTGCAAAAAAAAGATGATGTTTACTGTAAGAGTACATGGAAATTTGGGCAGGAACTCTTGAGCCCAAGGGAAAATGTTCCTGTGTTCCTTTGGGAACGCTGCTGAGGTGATAAGGTACTTGTAGACACTGATACCAGCTGGGTGCACTTGGGTGCCAGGCAGCCTGCGTTGCTCCAGGACTAGCAGATAATCCAAAATCACCCAAATCAGCTGCTGCCAGACATAGAAGCCAGCATAGACTGTCCAGACAGAAAAACCTCTTCCACTGAGCTCTGCGGGTAGCTCTCCCTTCTGCTCTGCAGCGGAGCATCCCAGCCCCAACAGAGGAGCTCGTTTCAGAGCAGGATTCGCCAGGGAGCAGCCAGCCCACCACAGGGGCTGGAGCTGAGGCTGATCCGAAGGCTGCAGCAGTCAGGAGAGCGGCGAGGTCTCTAGAGCTGAATGCAACAGACTGCATGGGGCTGTGGTGGGCGTGATAACGGCTCCGTGTTCCCACTCCACCTCCCGACACCCTACACAAGGAAAGTGAAGCGTCCGGACCAAGCATTCAAAAAAAACCCAAACATTCAAAAAAAAAAAAAAAAGCATGCTGGAACACAAGTCTTACTGTTTTTAGAGCTTGCTTTTAAGTTACGCGCAGCTGACACCAAGCTCAAGGCGCTTTTTGATTTCTGCAAACGCTCAGCCCTGCGGCTGAGCCACCGCTGTGCCCTCTAGTGGATCTCTCCGGCTGGGAAAGGGCAGCTACTCCTCTATCAGCTCCTGGTCTTTAATTAATTTATTCACATATGTAATGTATGTGACGTTTTGTCAGCTCATTCTGAAAAAAATATTTAACTATTAGAAAAGAGGTAATGCTAGAATATTAAAAACTAGAAGGATCACCCCTGGCACCTGGAGAGTAATTACTCAGATTTTAACAGAAATTTGCCCAAGAATGCAAAGCCACTTCTAATGGCGTATTTCTGAAGAATGCTTGCTCTTGTGGAAGGAATACTAGAAATTAAATTAGTTATAGGCTAATCCTAGGGTTAATTAGAGACAAAAACATCACTTGAAATGCAGCAGAAAACACAAGCAGCTGAACAATCGCCAAAGGGTAAACAAATCCAAAGTCCATATATTCCTTACGGTGCCTGCCTGTGCAGGCAGCTGGTGTTTGGAATATGTTTTTGAAGTATCTGCTGATCCAATCTGCTGTGCACAACGCTATCACTGGGCCCTTGCTGACAACCCTCACTCAGGAGAGCTGCAGGCTGAGAACACGGGAAGACCACGGCCCTCTGAGGAGCGGGCAACAGAGGCAGATCCCGGGCCTGAGGCCTCCTGGAGACTTCCCTGAGCAGTGGGAGCAGAGGCTCAGCCGCCCACGGGAACACACCAAAATTAGGTCATCTCTGAAGTCAGCAGCACGTTGTGCCCGTCCTGTCTAGACATGTTGAACAGGTAAGAGAGAGCACAGACTAACTGTTCAAGCCTGATCTTACGATCTTGATGGCATGTGAACGTAAGCTAGCACAATGCCCACTTTCACGGCATGCCTCAGATGAAGATGGGTTGATATCCGTGCACACGCTCAGGGCTGTTGTCGTCAGCATTTCCACGCACAGGTTCAGCCCTCCAGGAGCCAGCCCAGAGCTCAGGAGCAGCTGGCGAGGGGACAGACTGCAGAAGTAACACGATTAGCCCATTATGCTTCTGTACTGCCTGATTGGAGTGAGTTTTGCATAGGAAAATAATTTGTTTTCCCCACACAACTAATTACTGATGATGCTGCACTAATGCTGAAGCAGTTATTGTTAAGGAGTTCAAGTGTCCTGCCAGATTTTACAAATTTTCTGCAGAAACATCACTGAGGAGCCTTCAACCCTGAGTGTAACTCCCAAGCAGCACAGCTACTGCAACTGAGGTAAAGTTTTCCTTAAAAAAGATTCAAGTATTAATGAAATGCCAAAACTTCTAACTAGGTAGGAATTTGGCACTGAACAGAGAGAAAGCAGCGATCCTGTTATCACTCAGACACATTTGTTTGCAAATTTTGGCCTTTGGGGAAAAGGGCTGAACTTCCCCCCAGGTCTGAGTTGTCTGCTGTGGCTTCATGGCTGAGACTATGTCAAGACCAATCCCCACGCTTCATCTAACAGCTACAGACTTTCATGTAAAGTGCTCTGCTGTGGGCTGTTTTGTCCCTAATTTACATTTTGATAGATACACCTAAGAAATACAGATGTGGGTGTTGAGTAGGAAAATAATATACATTAAAAAACTAACCCTGAAGCTCTCTAAGCCACCGAGTTTCATCTTGTGTACTGAAAGTCTCCCAGGGTTTGCAGACTACCTTCCTCGAGCCCCTAGACAAGAAAAGCTAGCCTATTTTTAGCTAGCAGAAAAAGCCAGCCTATTTTTAGACAAGCCTACAGCTTTAAAAAGGTGTTGACCTCTTAACCTATCTGTTTGGATGCAGAAGTTGATGTTAAAAAAACAAAAAACCACAAAGCCTCACACCAAACGCCAGCGATCTGTGTTACAGCAGAACTCTGCAGCACTGGCTATGGGAAGTTAACTGGAAGCAAGAGCCCACAGATGTGATCGAGCTAGGAAGGACCAGCTTACCATCAACACATCACTAAGAACAGTTCAAAGACCACAGCAGCTTTAAAGTGATGAGCAACAACTACCCCGGGACAAACCAAAGGCTCAGCAAGCCCAGCCCTAACAGCAGGCACTTGTTGATGCCTGAGGAAACTGCACAGGAAAGGAGGCGAACACGTGGCACACTCCTTAGGACACACACTCAAACAAGCTGAAGACACACCACAGAACCAGAACAGGGATCTGGTTTAAAGAACGCAGGCAAAGAAGATAACAGCACCACCAAAACATCATTCATGTGGTTTATTTTGTACATCAGCTTTACAAATCACTTGCATTAGGCCAAGACCAGCTGTGGAAGTGATGAGAAGAGCACTAGGCAGGCTGGTACGTGAAGTAAAACCCCCTCACAACCAAGTGGCCACAACTGCTCATGGCAGAGAGCGGGATGTGACAGCCCACCGCAGAATCTGTACCAGGCATTTCAAGTTCACCTCAAAGCAGGTCTCAGCGGACGGATGGCTCCAACACACTCAATCCAGTGATAAATTTCCTACAATAAACACAAAGCAGTCATTAAGCACTGCGTCCCGCAACGTGCTACAGCAGTCAGCATTACAGAGAGGTTTCCAAACCCTCCGGTATTCACACAAGACATTTCTGTTACAGATACACAAACACCAGGAGGCTTTTAAGTCTCTTTGGAAGGAGCCGTAGGCCACCACAGAAGCATCCTCTTCCTCTACAGCACTGAGCGTCTTCCAGATAATTTGTGCACGCTGACACATCAGTGCTCTTATGTGAGGAGAGAGAACGTAGGCTGTGGGCTCGGGAAGGCAGCCATGTTCCTACTACTGACCAGGACAGTTGTTATGTACAGAAAGCCCTTTCTGCTTAATTTAATTGTTCCTACATCACCTGAGAGCTTTTCCGCTGACTTCTCCACAAACTTCCACAGTCACCTGAGATACTACGAGCACAGCTGAGTTTCATGAAAAATTTCTTTCATCCTTTGATTACGCTGAGGAATAAATAACCTGTTTGATGCACACTTTGAAAACAGGGAAGACACAGTAAAACATCTACAATCCAACAGGTACCTCTGCAACAAGCCTTACAGAAGCACTGGTTTCTCTATGAAGTTCTGTGTAGCTTGAAGGCAAGCCCCTCACTTTCATTTACCAACATTTACACATAAGTTATTCTGAGAACCAGCAGCAAATATAGAGGGGCACACAGCTTCCTGACAGCCTCTCCCTGTCAGCGTCCTTTAATGTAAGGCAAAGTCTTCATAACTTGTACATCTGCAGCAAGGAATGAACTAGATCTGTGCCTGTTTACTTCACGTGTGTGTATTCAGAGGCCCAACAGCAGGCACTGCAATTGCTGCTCTAGCTTTATGGATGGTCACTCTTACAAAAAACAGTGTATTTCATATGCAGTTAGAAAGGGAGAGGAAAAAACACCTTGAGAAAGCCAATTTTCAAATGAGTTTTTTATATATAGTAACCAGCACAGAACACGTAGCTTATTTTTAGTAACTCCATGGAAAGGAAAGGCATCCAAATTTGCCTGACAGCAAAACCAGTCTTGAGCTTGAAGCCATTCTAACTAAGATTATAAGTGGATGCCTTAGAAGTTCCGAATGACCACAAAAGACTTTATTTGGCTTATCAAGAATCTCAGTAAATTGTAAAAAAAATCCACTGCTTACAACATAATCACTCGAGAATAATGCTCTTAGTAATACTTCATCCTTTGGCACTCCGAGAAGCCCTGCCCCTAACACAAAACAAGACAGAGCAATAAACACTGAATAACCAGATTAAGCAGCGCTGTTTTGGCCCACCAATTTGGCTGTGCCCTGGAGAAACAAGGCAGGCCAACTGCCACATCCACACACCTCCGCTATGTAAGCTGCCAGGTGCACAAACCAAACTCACCGTTAGAGGGAAGCTTAGTCTTCAGTTTTATACTTGCCACCGATGTAGGGCACATACTGCAGGACGAGCTTCCAGTCTGTGATCCATATTACACCGACACCGGCTACACCACCCCACGTGAAAAGGGTGGGAGTCCTAAAGAAGAGAGGCAGACACACAACACACGGGTAAACAACCAAGCCTCCAGTCAGAGGGCTGGCAGACACTCACCCTGAGGTACCCGGGAAACTCATTTTAATCAAGAAAGCAGCTTGACAGAAATTTGGAGAGAATCCCGTGCACAAAGGAGCTGATTTCCAAGATAACCAAGATGTTTTACGGGAAAAGGTTGATATGCTTTTATTTAAGAGAGGTGCTACTAAGTTTAGAAAATGCATACGGACTGGCTTATTACCCTAACTCTCCAGCTCGTGTCTCCTTTATTCTTGCCTGTGGCTACCACATCCTTCCTCGCCATGAACTGGCAACCTCAAGTGCTGCAGCAAGCACCTCTGAAATGCTCTGAGGTGAGCCAGGACAACACGCAGGCCACACACACGGCTGTCAAACCATGGTAGGATAAAATCTAACCTCAACAGCCACTTCTCAGTGCTGCAAACCCCACCCGAACCAAGAGAGAACCATGGAGAGGTTTGAGTTGGAAGGGACCTCGAAGCCCACCCCATCCCACCCCTGCCATGGGCACGACCCCCCCAGCAGCCCAGGCTGCCCCCAGCCCCATCCAGCCTGGCCTTGGGCACTGCCAGGGATGGGGCACCCACAGCTCCTCGGGGCAGCCTCAGCCAGGGCCTCACCGCCCTCAGAGGGAAGAATTTCCTCCTAATATTGAATTTAAACCTACTCTCTTATAGCTTAAAGCCATTGCCCCTTGTTCTGTCACTGCCCTCCCCGACAAAGAGCCCCTCCCCAGCTTTCCCAGTTCCAGTTCTGGGCTCCCCAGTACAAAAAAAGACAGGGATCTCCTGCAAAGAGACCAGCAGAGGGCTACAAAGATGATACGGGGCCTGGAGCATCTCCTCTGTGAGGAAAGGCTGAGGGACCTGGGTCTTAAAGCCATTACTCCTTGTCCTATCACCTGCCCCCCCGACAAGGAGTCCCTCCCAGCTTTCCTGCAGGCCCCACAGCCCGCTGTCAGGTCTCCCGGGACCCTTCTCTCTCCCTGAGCACCCCCAGCGCCCCTCAGGGTTCCCCCGGCTCCTGCAGCAGCCCCCAGCGGGGCGGGGGCGCCCCAAAGCTCCCTGAGGGGAGGGGAACAGGGCCCAGAGGGGGAGCTGAGGGCCGGCTGCGGCCCCCCAGGACCCCATAAGCCCCCCCAGGGCCCCATAACCCCCCCCCCAGGGCCCCATAACCCCCCCAGGCCCCCCCAGCCCCCCGCCCCTCACCAGTTCTGCAGCAGCTGCGCGTAGCGCGGCCCCAGCACCCTGCTCAACATGGCGCCGCCTCAATGTCACCCTCGCCCCGCGCATGCGCCGCCGCCCCGCGCCGCGCAGAGGAAGGCCCCCGGCCCCCCCCCGGGGCTGCCCGCGGCGCTGCCTGAGCGCGGCGGTGTTGTCATGGCAACGGGGCTCCGTGCCCATGATGGGGGGGGGTGAGGGGACGGGGCCTGGCCCCATAGCAGGGCAGGGACACGGGGGGCAGAGCCATAAATCATCGTTAGGGTTGGGAAACACCTCCAAGATCACCTGGTCCAACTGTCCCCCTGTCACCACTGTCACCCCCTGAGCCGTGTCCCCAAGCACCATGTCCAGCCCCCAAAACACCCCCAGGGACAGGGACACTGGCAGGGACTGGCCCTGACCCCACACAGGGCAAGGGACACAAGCCCTCAGGGCATGTCCCCGTCCCTACAACAGAGAGCCCTGAGGGGACTGTCCCTGTCACCCCAAGGGAGAGGGGTGACAAGCCCTGAGGGGCTGGTTCTGCCCCTGGACAAGGGCAGAGATGTGGGGTGAGGCCCCTGTCCCCATGCTGGAGCAGGAATGTGACTGCTGGGGATCCGGTGCTGTCCCCAGGCTGTCCCCAGCTCAGCTTCTCGCCCTTGGTGCTGGGGGAGGCTGGCATCTGCCCAGAGCCATTTCTCCAGCGCCTGCCTGTGCCTCTGCAAACCCTCCTTGCTGCTGTCACTCAGGAGAGGGAGTTTGGAGCCAGATTTTTTTTCATAAAACATCCCTAAATCCACCAACTGGTTTCATAAAGTTCCTCAGACTCCCCAAAGCCAGCTCAGCTTCTTGGTAATCTGCAGGTCCCAAAAAGTCTAGGGGGACACTGGAGCCCGATGACTCAGCCTTGGGGCTGCAAACCCCATCCGCGCCAGTGTCCAGGAGTGATGCCAGCAGCCAGCACCTCCCTTCACACCCTGCGCTGCATGTGCAAGTTTCACAGAGCCCAGACCCACAGAGCTGAATCTCTTGCAAAAATCCAGCCTGTTTTTTTATTTTTTTTTTTTCCTTCTCACCAGGACACAGAACAACTATTTTATCAGCTCTTTGCATGATCAACTTCACCACCACATTTTGACGGTTTGAGTTTTTCTCTGCCTAGATACCAGCGGGGCGATGCAGGTTACTGAACCGTGCAGGCTTTTGGGTTCATTTCTGTGAGTTTTTTCTCCGTTGCCCACGCACCAGCTGGTGCATGAGGAAGTCAGACGGCGCTGCATGGTGTGTGTTCCTGCAGGAAACCAGTGCCTTTGCCACCGCCGCTGTGGGTATGGAGGGGGAGTGAGCCTGGTGGGCAGGCTCTGCACAGGTTTGGCTTTTTTAATGACATTTCAACTGTGTCTTGAAGTCATGCAAATGCAGGACAGTCTCGGCTTTCAATTTGCAATGAGAGTTTCCTAGATGACCAAAAAAAAAAAAAAAAAAAAAGCGAAATAACTCCAAACTTTAGAAGCAATGAAAAACATCTCAACGTGTATCTTCAGAAAAGCCGTGGGGCTTTCAAGGCAATTCTGAGGGCATTTCCTCCTGCTTTTCCACAGTCCTGGCAGACACTGGAAGACGCAATAATACTACCAATTTCCTGGTTAAAACAACAGCAGTATTATCTTATTCCAAGGTATTTTACTGTCATCTACAGTTCAAGTGCTGCACAAGGGGATCTGCTGGCTGCTCTGGACACCACACTGTGACACCACGCTTGCTCGTTCCTTGCAGAAACTCATTTCAGCTGCTGGGAGGAGAACATGGCTCAGACTGCAGCAGGGAGTTGAAGCCTACCTCCTAGCTGTAAGAGGCCACCAAGCTGAGGGACACTTTCTTCCCTCTCTGGCTTCTGTGGCACAGCTGTCCCTTTAGGTTTGGAAGCAGGAGAGAGGGCAGCAAGCCTGGTTGCCCAGAGCTGCCTTAGGTACACCACAGTGAAGCCTGGAGTGAACTACAGGTATTTGCTCTTGGCCACTGTGCAGCACCTCCTTTGTTTCTCCTGCCCTCAGCTCCCAGCCCAGACGCATGGCCTGCTTTACGTTCCGCATGGTGCATCTCCGAGCATCTGTCTTCCAAGCTGCAGTCTTGTTCCCAGGCATGGGTTTCTCTCACGTCTAGATTTGGTACAACCTTGGTTTCTCAGTCCTCACCCTTCCTTGTACCGATAGGGGTAGACGGCTCCATCCTCACCCTGGGAGTGCTCTTGACTCCCTGGCCTGGCAGATCACATCTCAAATTTCTTAATAACCAAAGTATTTGGTGTCCTGAAGCAGTTTGGCTTCTGTGGACCTGTCCTAGCACTTAGCCAGCTCTAGGGAGGAAAGCAAGTAGGCTGGGCACACGGCCATGCAACTCACAGGGCCGAGCAAGCGAGGAACAATGCAGGGTAAAACCAAGCCCTGCGAGGAGGCAGTGAAGGCAAAGAGGACGAGGCAAAGCGTATCAGTGGGGACAAGGAGATGCTGAATTGAAAGGACAGTCATTTGATTCACTCACTGTGGCTCGGGAAGAGCAGTGCACTACCTCAAAGAGAGCTTGCTTACTGCTGAGAGAAGGGAGACAGGGCTTAATGACATTTAACTAATTACTGCAAGAGTCACTGCTTAGTTAATTTGGTCGGTTTTTCCTTCATGGTGCTGTGTGGACAAGCCCTGGGCAGGAGCAGCGCAGCAGAAATGCCAGCAGCAAGCCTGAGGAAGGAGCTGCTGTCAGGCAGCATCACGACACCAGGGCCTCAGAGGGGGTCCGCTGGGGCTCGGTGCTCCTGGCTGCAGCTGCCACGGCTCCGTTTCCCCCTGAAGTAGCCTGATGTGATCAGCAAACTGGCAGCAGGGGGCTGACCCAACCACTGAAACCACAAGGATTAACGTGGTGACGAGCTGGGGGAAATGCCCGTTGATCGGAGGGGCAATGCACGGGGGAGCTGCCCAGTGAGGGCTGGGGGACCAGGGAAGGGAGAGCCCAGCCAGGCAGTGCAGCAGTGGGCTGCAGATGCAGGAGGTGATGGAGTGAGACCAACCATCACGCCTGATGCAGCTTGGCCAGGGCACTGCCTCACCCCTGCGATGCACTTGTGAGGCTGGGCAACCTCCTGCTACTGGCTCCAGCCCGCTCCTGCTGGCTTTCAGCCCTCCCGAACCCCTCTGCCAGGTCATCTCCCCCCTCCCCAGGCTGTGCTGGGCTCCTGGCAGGGGCTGGCCACATTTATCCCAAGTGCCTGCTTGCACCGACCTCACTGGGTGCTCCCCAGGCAGGGCAGAGGCAGAGAAGCAGCAACGCCCTGGGGAGGAGGCCCAGGACCTTTTTGACCATGGCACAGCCAAGGGAGAAGCTGTGCCAGAGACCCCAGGTCTGCCACAGCCCCCTGAGCCCAGCAGCAGCTCAGGCTGCCCCACGGTGGGCAGGAGGAACAGAGAGCGAGGGGACAGCAGCTGGAAACGTGCTGTGGCTCGTCTTTTCCTTCTTCTCTCTCTCTCTGTTTTTTTTTTTTTTTTTTTTTTTTTTTTTTTTTTTGTACAAGGTAAAACCTTTATTACAACTTTTCATTCATAGGTATACAACATCTGAAAGACAGATATGGGGAAAAAAGGTAATATTGTTATAAAATGTCACATTTATTGCTACATTACTGTTATATACAGGACAGTTCTCAAAATCTACTTTAAAAAAGTTAGGATTATTTAAAAATTCCAAATAATCCAGCCAGCTGTTTTGACACTTGTATAAAATTATTTAAAAAAATGAAAACAATTCTTATCTTGAGGCACTCAGAAACACAATTTAATCCCCCAATTGTGATTCATTTCAGAGAACAACGCATTTCCCCACCCCCAAATACTTTATTTTTCTATTTTTTTATTTTTGCTGGGTTAGGCATATATATATATATATTTACTATATATATAGTTCAAAACTATAATGTGTATCTGATTTAAGAACAAGGATTTCAGCCACTTAAGTACATCTGGATTTACAGGTAGGCAGCATAAACATCAAAAGCAAGGACCAATTTTTTATTTTTTTTTTAAAGGCCAAAAAACCAAAACCAACCCAAAACCTTCTACGGGGTTAAAAATAAACAACTTCCGCAGGCATCTCCCGTCTGCTCTCCCACCCCCCCTCCCCCTCCTACAAAAATATATATGAAGAGCAACCGAGTGATGCTTCATTTTCTCAGAGGGCTCCTTAGAAATTGGTTCCTTCCCCGCACACCGCGAGGCCGTCCCCGCTCGGCCTCCCTGGGTGCCTCCTTCCCCTCCCACAGCTCCTACGCCCCTGGCAGGGGAGCCCACGGCCACGCACGGCCCCGTCCCTCCCCGAGCCCCCGCGTTACGAGGTCTGCTCAGACGCTGGTGGGTTTCAAGTGATTTGGCCTCGGCACCCGGGCCCCCCCGTTTTACAGCACAAGCTCTGCTCCCCCCCAGTGCCCGGTGCAGCCGTGCGGTGCCCACAGCAGGGATGCACAAAGCCCGAGGAGCAGGAGGTGAACAGCAGGGGAATGGCAATACTGGCACGGAGCCCCACGGCGGGGCTGCCTCTCACCCCCCTGGGGGGGGACGCAGGACGGGAACACAAGTTTTAGCAGAAGGGATCCCAGACCCGCTGCAGCACCCATCTCCCAAATCCTCCTAGCCCAGCGGACGGGCTGGAGCCACCTCGGGGCTGGAGGTGGATGAAGGGAGCCCAGCCCAGCAAGGAGGTGGGATGAAGCTGCTCCACGCGGAGGTGCTGGGGAAGAGGGGGCGAGATGAAGGATGCTGGCAGCGAGCTGCTGAGCAGCGAGCAGAAGGCACGGGAGGGTGAAGCGTGCGTGGAAGAGCCCCAGGACAGGCCCTGCCCCTACAATTCAGCGCTCAGCTCCCACAGCACGAGCTGGGGGGGGTGTTCCTGTGCTCTCATCACTCATCCACGCCCCTGGTTCCGGGGCGCCGGCCTGAAAATAGTTTTGGAGCTGCTAGAAATGAAGCTGGACCCTGAGAGCAGCAGGGAGCAGGGGCTCAGCAGTCATGGACGAGAGCGGAGAGAAGGGGCTGGGCTGGGACCTGCAGAGCCCTGGGGGAGAGGAGAGGGGGTTGCATAGGATTTCACAGGGCAAAGTCCTCGTGCAAGCTTGTGGTGCCGAGAACAGGTCTTGCTATTGCTGGTGTTAAGCAGGAACGGGGGAATCCAGCAGCCACGGCTTGCTCCAGGTCAGCCAGCCCCGTGTCTGGGGCTCGCTGCCTGTCCCAGCCCAGCTCCAGCACCAGCTCTGCGTCACCTCCCCGTCCCCAGCTCTTTGCTAAAGCCCCAGGCCGGGGGCTGGCTGCACCTGGAGCTGGCCCCGATTCACCAGCACGGCACACAGCAGGGCCTGCAGGGCCATGGGCTCTGCTGGGACATCAGTTGGCGGCCATCCCGTGAAAGCAAAGCTCAGGGATGGAGAGGAAGGGGGATGGGGGTTGGAAGCCTCCTGTTTCTCGAGGGCCCCTCTCCTCTGTGGGCTGAGGGGAGGGAGCAGTGAATCACCCAGCCAGGGCCCAGGCCCCAGAGGCTCGGCCGGCTTCAGCGTGCGTGAGACACAAAGGACCTCTGAGAGAAGCTTCTGCACTGAACCTGAAATTGCAGACTCCTGGGGAAATCCCAGCCTGCTTCTGCCCTTCCTGTTCGATCAGCACCGGGCGGCAAGTGCAAAACCTCGAGGAAACCGGCGCATCGCCAACGCACCGACTGCCCACTGAAGTCACGGCTGGGGAGCTCGCACATCACGCTTCTGCATTTCTCATCTGGACAGGGCAAAAACCCCAACTGCCAGGCACAGACCAGGGCCCCGAGCAGCGGGCAGGCAGAGCACATCCCTGCACTGCACACAGCCTGCATCCCTCGCACCCAGGCTGGAGCTCGGTGCAGGAGGTGGCACGGGCTGCGACCCACACGTCGCGGGTCCTGTCCCCTCCTGCCGGCACAGCACCTTAGGAAACCAGCGCGAGATGTAAAAGCAGGGGGCAGAGAGCCCGAGGAGATGCTGGCAAAGAGCAGGAGCTGAACGGCAGCCAGGCAGGTTGGCTCGGCTGCGAATGGGTCTGGCGGTGGGTCACAGGCAGGGGAGCGGCTCCCTAAGGAGCTGGAGCTGGAATTGGGCTCTCCAGGGAGCGCTGGCAGCAGGCGGGGGCTGCCACCACGAGACCATCGAGGTGCGGTCTCGGGGAGGCTGCAGCTGTTTCGCTCTGGGGCAAAAGCAGGTGAAGGTGAAGCGAGGGAGAAAGAACAAAAGTCTGCGAGTTTTGCAGTTACCAAAGCCGATCCCAGGCACTCCCCAGCACCTGGCGGCACGCTCGGCTCTGGAAGCGGGGCCGGGGGAGGAAGCACAGCACCGAGTCCACCTTGCAGCGCATCACCCGCCCGCGGCACCTCCCTGGGCAGGGCCACCGACACGAGGGACACAGACAGGGAAGAGAAAGGGGCAGAAAAGAGATCTCCGAGTTCAGCAGCAGAGTTCTCTGGCCACTCCACCTGAAGAGCTTCACTGCAACAGGCTGGTGCTTCGCGGACAGCACCTGGCTGATTGTTTTTAGGAAAGCCACTGTCCCTGCAGGTTACAGGCACCACGTTCACTCCAAGCCCAGCACACCAGGCAATCCAGTCAATTTTCCTTGCTACACTCCTGTAAAAGAGGCAGCTCCTGGGCACAGCAGTGCCAGGCCCCCGCCTCATGCTTCCCTGCTGGAGAACAGAGGACCCAAACCCTCCCCAAGCCCTGGCACGGTGGGGTTTATGCTCCAGGACTCAATGCCACACCTTTGTCCAAGCCCTGCCAAGGAAGCTGGCCAGTTTTGCTACAAACAAAAGATTGAAACCACCTAAACACGGATGGAAAGCCCCTTCCCTGTGGGAATGCCTGGCATTGGGGGGGCTGGGAAAGGCGCGGTGTCAGCCAGAGCCCCCTGGGCCTGCGCAGAGTCAGGCAGCACTCGGAGGGGATGAAGCATTCAGTGAAATTTTGACCAAATCATAAATTTTCACACGTTCTTTGCTGACAGTTTCTGCATTATTTTTTTTTTACAGGACCTTTTCTTTCAATCCACCTGTACACACGACCACCTTCTCAAATTCTTGTTGCTAAATCAAAATGTCGGGGAAGCACTTGAAAGTCTTTTTGTATGGTTTCAAGCTTGCCAGGCTAGGACATCGCTGCATCTCCCCCGGTACTGGGGCAGCCGCACTGAGCCTGCAGAAAGCCCCAAACAACGAGTGCAGCTGACTCCCCACTCCCTACCCCAAAAGAGCACCCAAAAGAGCTAGGGCTGGACCAGCAGGGAGAGAGGGGCCCATCCTGCTCCAGCAACCGCACCCGGCTCCTGTCTGGGATGCCTGAGGGGAGACGAGCGATGTCCTGAGTGTTTCCAACACGTTTTGCTAGAGCACAAAGCATGGCTACAAAAAAAGAGCACCAGGTTACGCTAAGGAAATGCTGCGGGGGACCTAATCCTGTTCACCAGCCCTTCCCTTTCTCTATGCTGAAGCAATGCAGCTCCCCGAGAAACACAGGCCAGAGAAGCAAAGAGGAGAGGGACGGCCCTGCTGCTGGAGCTCCAGCTGTGCTCGCTGTCCCCATGTGCCCCCGGCCAGCCCTGCACCCCCCGACTGTCCCGCTCAGCCCGGCCCCGCCAGGCAGAGCCAGGCAGCAGCCGGCCCCGGGCATCAGAGGCACTGCCGAGCTGGGGCTTCACCTCGCCCTGGGGTGCTGACCCCGTCTGCTGGGAAGATCCGGGCACAAAACACTTCGGAAGTGATTCTGGAGAAGGGAAAGGAGAGGGAAGAAACAAAAAAATCCCGGTGGATGCTGTTCCGTTGCCAACTGCTGCTGGGCTGCTGCAGCTCAGCACCATCGTGGCCCTGCTGAGCTCCCCGTGCTGGCTCCTGTGCCGGCGGGGCCCCCGCCGTGTGCTGGGGCTTCCTCCTGCTGGGTGCACTGGAGCCATCCGCAGCGGCCCCGGTGAGCCTCGGAGTGAAGGGGTCGTTGGCACAGCTCGGCTACCGGAGCCTGTCGTGTGGGACGGGTGCTTGCTGCTCCCCTTCCTTCCCAGATGGAGACAGGAGGCCGGGAGCACTCGACAGTGGCCACCACGCGTCCCTGGTGGCAAGAAGGGTGGCGTGCTGAGCTGAGCTCACCTCTGTGGATGCTTTGGAGTCACGACAGCGGGTGAAGGCGGGATGCGAAATCACCCCTCTTCCTGAGCCTGCAGCACTTGCACTTCCAGTGGTCACAGCTCCAGAGCGCGGAGATGCCACAGAGGCAGGGATCCTGCTGCAGCCACGGCTTGCTGAGGGCTGGAGTGGCTGCTCCCCTTCCCACCACCTCCGGCTCCTGTGTCCAGTGCGTCCATCCGCCCTGACGCTGACAGAGCGAGGTCCCCGCTGCTGCCTTTGCTCCACCTGCCTCTGCCTCTTCCCAGTCCCTCCAGCTTTGTTCGGTCAGTCTTTGTTCAGCACAGCCCCTGGAAGCGCCTCTGACAGTAGGAGTTCACTCGGATGCACGGGCACAGGGCAGTTCTCCTCCGCCCTGGGTCTTCCTCTTGCACCCGCGTTGCTTCTTGGCTTACCTTGGAAGCGCACCAGTCCCTTGGTTCTCTTCCACCCCCCGGTGCCTGCTCTCTCCTGGCAGCTCGTCCTCCCTGCCACGGTGCTCCAGGGGCGGGATGCAGCCGCCAGCAGCCTCCAGGAGGAACGCGAACCCTGCAGGGAGCTGGGATGGACCTCGGTCTCCTCCCAGGAGGAGCTGGAGCACTGCAGAGGATGCTGCTGCAACTTGCTTTGCTGTTTAACTTCCTTTTCCCAAATCAGAAGTGGCCAAAGCAAAGAGATGGTGAATTCAGCACGAGTTTGTTGGTTTTTTTTTTTCTTTTTTTTTTTTTTTATAATGGAAGGTACAAGCCAGGCAAGGAAGAACATCTCCTCACTGTGGCTACATTCGCTTTTAGTGGCTTTCAGAGCCGAATCTGAGAATTCCTCTTTATATCCAGTCTCTCTTAATACAATTTTAATATTCTGGTTGATCCTAAAGATGCAACGTTAACTATAGAAACAGCAGCAGAAAAGCATGGGGTACAAGACATTTTTTTATACAAAAAAAAATTCTTTTCGTCGCTTACAAAACATATGCAAAAGAAGCTAAAAAAAACAAAAGGCATTGCTATTTGTTCTACATAAAAAATCTCATAACTAATGTTCTTTTTTTTTAAAAAAGAAATATTAAGCTTAGGCACAATTTTGCTGCTGGCTGCTTGTGAACAAGCCAAGAGAACACGCCACCCCCTCCTAACTGAGTGATATGTATTGACTGTTCCGCACTTTATACTTAAGGCAATTTTTTTTGTTTTTGTTTTGTTTTTGACAAAAGTGTTTTTCCACCCCTTACGTCATGCCAGGATCCGTCCACGTGTGTCAGTATTAGCAGTACTAAAGTTTATGGTACGAGAAGGTTGCAGGTCACACCGAGGGTTTTCTTCCTACAGATCTCTGTATCCAGAGGAACAAAAAGATCTACAAACAAAACAAGTAAAAGCCACAAATGAGAAAAACCCAAGTGAGAATAAAACGGGGCCACTGTACCGCAGCCTCATCTCTGCAGAAGTCAGCCCCGAGGGCCTGACGTGGCCGAGCAGAGCTGAGACATGAGCTTGCTGTTTTGCTGGGCTGCCAGCTTTTGACTTTTTAAACATTATTTTTGGTTTTGCACAGCAGCACCATGCCCCCAGGGGATGTGGGGCCACTACAGGGGGACTGCAGGCTGCTGGGTTAGCCCTGCCCCATCTCTCCTGGACGTGTTCAACCCCACATCAGCCCCCCTGTACTGCTCAGACTAGAACCAGGGACAGCAGAACCCAGCAGAACCTGCGCCTGCCACGGCCTCGCTTGGGATTTTCACTTTCTCTGCTTTCCCCAGTGTTTCTGGGACCTGCCCTCTCCCTCCTGTGGGACCACCAGCAGTCACTGGTTTCCAGTAGCTGACTGGAGCAGGGCTGGGAAGCACAGCACAGAGCTGAGCTTGCTCGGGGTGGTGAGTGCCCAAACCCCCTGTGCCAGCTACGGGATGGTGTCTCTCCTCAGGCAGAGGCTTTGGGTGTGCATGGACGAGCAAATGGCACACACGTGTGGCTCATCCCCCAGAGGTAAATTAAGGAGGATGCCGGCTGCAGCCCAACAAGGGGTGCTGAGCTGCTGAAGAGGAGCAGCACATGTCTGGACCTGGCTGGGATCACGGGGCAGGGAACAATACCTTTACATGTGTCCGACAGGGTTGTGACCATCTCCTAGACCGGGATGTGAAGCTGAAAGCGTCATCTGGGGATCTCCTACCACTCCGGACACTTTCTCCTCTTCCCGACGTTTCAAGCAGGCTGCTTTAGGGTTCAGATTGCGCTCTATGCCAAAAACAGCAAGGGAGGAAAGGAAGCAACCTCAGTCTGGGCAACAGCATCGTGCACAGCAGCAGCATCCGAAAGCGAGAGGACAGGGTCCCGGGACAGACGCACGGGACATGCGAGGAAAGGAGCTCGGTGAGAGCTGCTCTGTGCCTGCTGCTCCCAGCAGTGGCTGCAGTAACGTGGCCGGACCCTGCTAGAGCAAAACCCCGTGCCCGGCCGAGCCACCGTGCCAACCGAAACGTGTGCTTGCTTTCAGAAACCCCCACGTGCCCCAGCCAGCTAACGGAGCCGAAGACTGAGTTTTCCAAAGCTGCTTAATGGGATCCAGGTGCCAAATTCCCATTAAGCACGACAGGAAAAGGGACGGAGAGGCTCTGAATCCACCCCGGGGCCGTGGCTTTGGAGAGCTCAGCGCGGCGCACCCGAGGCAGACACACAAGGAAGCAGGAGCCGCACAGAGCCGCACGCGCACGCAGAGCCGTGGGGGGAGAGGCCCCGAAATGCACCTGCCAGCTGTTACCATACCTCGTACTTGCTGCTCCAGGCCCAGAATGACCTGCACCGCTTGCTGTAGGATGATCAGTTTGGTCTGTGCTTTGTCCGTTTTTAAGTGCATCTGACACATGCGTCCCAGTTCCTTAAAGGCCTCGTTAATGTCCCGCACGCGCACCCTCTCCCTGGCGTTATTGGCCATTCTCCTCTCCCGGTCCCTCAGATCTTTGTCCTCCAGTGACAAGGCCTCGTCTGTACTGCTGGGTTCATAGCACCACAGGGGTTAGTCAGGGGGGTGGTACCAGGAGGGGGGCTAGACGTTGCCGTGCTGGTAGTGCTTCTGGTGTCCGCTGCCAACGGCCCAAGCGGCCTCCCTCTGGGTGCCAATTCGCCCCGGGTGCGTTCTGGGGGCGGCCCAGGCCACTCGGGCCATCGGCCACCCCTGCGAGCCGCGGGAAGGTGCTGCCAGCGCGGGGCTGGGGGGCTGCGGATGCAGCAGCAGCACCGACAGCTTCCCCCCCCTGCAAAATTTCACCATTCTGCTTGGTTTCCAAAGTTTGGGAGGCGTAGGGGGTGTCCCAGCCAAAAACGTTGGGTTTATCCCCCAAGACAAAGACTTGTTGGCAGAAACCAAATTCTTCTTTGCAGTTTCCTTCAGAAACCAGAGCTGCAGTCCTCCCAGTGAAGGTGTTTGTGCCCCAGCAGCGTGGGGCAGCGGGGCCCAGCACCCTCTTACGGGTGGGGGCAGCACCGGGGTGGGAGCCGAGTGCCCCCGGCTGCTGCTGGAAGTCAGTGTCGGATGCAGACACTGAACCCAGGTCTTTCCACGGGGCCAAAATCCAGCCCCAAAATCAGCCTGGAAGGGGGGAATTTTATTTTCCAGGCAGGGTTGGGAGCTCAGGAGAGCTTCCACCGCTGGTGGCATCCTGGGGGTACCCCAAACAGGCCGGTGGGTGGGGAAGGCAGCACCGTGCTGGCAGCATCTTCAACCGTGGCCTCGCCCGCAGCCCGTCCCCTCCGAGCCCCCAATTTGCTGTACAGACGACCTTCTCCCCCAGAGCAAAAATTCTTGCAGGAAAGACACCTTCCTCGGGTGAGACCTCACACCAGGGCAGACCATGGCCTTCGGCTCCAGGGGAGCCACGCGGGGACAAGCCCCCACCTAAGGTGGGTGGCAGAGGCAGAGCCTTCCTGGGTCTGCTCGGGGGTCTGGAGAGCCCCCAGGCTGTGCCTAACCACGTGGAGGGGAAGCGAGGGCTCCCCAGATGAGCTCTTGCCTGCATGGGGCTGGGGGCTGCCGCTGTCCCTGCCGCTGTCCCTGCCTCTCTTCAGCGCCTGGGGATGCTGCAGCTGGGGAGTGGAGCCTGGCAGTGACAGGGCTCGTTCCTCCCAGCTAACGCTGGTGGCTGTGGCTCCTGGCAGTGCTGCAGCTCCTCAGTGCCTTGCACACTGCAACCGAGCAGGATGGAGCCCTGTCCCTGCCAGCAGCAAGTGCTGCTGGTTTGTGGGGCCGTGCGGTGTCCTCGGGGCTGTAAGGATGTGCGGCTCCTCAGCCAATTTGTGGCACCTGCCTGCCTGGCTCCTGTAACACCTCCCTGATCTCCTTCCCCTTCCTGCCCTGTTAGCCGCTGATCGCGGCACAAAGACCCCAGCTTTGTGGCTGGGCACACGGGGGCCCCATGGCCCCACTGCAGCCCCACAGGAGGGGATGTGGGGTCGGCTTCTCTCCTGCAGAGCAGCCCGGAGACCAAAACCGCTGGAGAAGTGAGACCCTAGCTGCCTGCTCTAAAGTCTGCTGACAGCAGCACACGGGGCTTCGGCTTGCTTCCCCAGCTGCGTCCAAGAAGGGTTTAAAAAGGGACAAGCGTGGGAGACCAAAGTGACCACGGTGCCAACTCTGTCTAACCCGGCCCCACGCCACCCCTCGGCTCCTGTCTCCATCCGCAAGCAGCAAGTACAAGGTAGAGAGTGGGACCACCGAGAGGTCACGGCTGGGGACTGTCTGTAGGAGATCGGAAAGAACAGAACCAAAAAAAAAAAAACTCGAAATAAAAAAAAAATAAAAAGGAAGGGGAAATTAAAAAAGAGACAGGAAAAAATATACGTTATGAAAGGCAAAAAATTACAAACTGAAGAGAGGCACAAAGGACTCCAACATCAATGCAACAGCAGAGGCCAGCAGAGAGGAGCACAGCCAGGCACAAACCACGGATTCGTGTTACAACAGCCTCTGCAGAGAGAAAGGGGGTTAACCTGCCCGGCTCTGCGAGGCAGGAGCATGCACTGCGGGTTGCGGGAACAAAGCAGCAAAGTCTCTGGAGCGGGAAGCTGAGCCCTGCGAGCCCTGCGCCTCCCCTCCGGGCGCACACGCGTGGGGAAGGAGCGAGCCTGCCCCGGCGAGGGGGAGAGCCCGCACGTGGCCGCTGCTGGCTCCGGGCCCTGCTATGGACACGCAGAGCTCCCGGCTCGTGAGGGACAGCGGTTCTGAGGGGTGGCGAGGGCTGCCCGGTCCTGGGCTCAGCCGTGCCAACCCCTCGCATGGCGCCTGCGCTCCCCAGCGCTGTGCCGGGGAGGAAGGAGGCACCTCCTGAGCAGCCATGGGGAGGGACGGGCACTGGGCTCGGAGCTGCCCTTGGAGAGGTTTCAGGTCCTCTCAAAGATTTGCTGTTTGTTTGCTTGGGTGTTTTTTTTTTTGCTGGCCAAGCAGCTGAGCAAAGCGGCTGGCTGCAGGAAAGCGGGGACAGCCACCGGGGCTGGCGGGCGCAGGTTCCCCCTCGGGGACCAGCATGCAGCACACGCGATGGCAGGGGGGGAACAAAAGAGAGAACAGCAGGGTTGCAAAAAAATTAAAAAAAAAAAAAGGACAAAAAAAAGAAAAAAAAAAAAGGACATCAACAGCCTTGGGAATCCAAGGCCACAGGGCAGAGAGAGAGTGCAAGGCACCACAGCACATGTCACAGGAGACAGACAGACAGACAGCCCCGTGCCGATCAGATACGTAAAATATCACCACTCCGGGACCCTCACTGACCTCTAACTTGTTGCTCCAGGTTCAGTATGACTGATACGGCCTGGTGTAGGATTAGCAGTTTGGTCTGCGGTTTTTCGCTGTTTAGGTGGAGTTGGCACATGCGTCCGAGCTCTTTAAAGGCCTCGTTGATGTCACGGACCCGCAGGCGCTCACGGGCATTATTGGCGACCCTCCTTTCTCTCTCTCTCTCGGCTTTTTGCTCTGGGGGAAGAAGATCGTCCTCCTCATCCTCATCTTGACTAATGGTTTAAAATAAGAACGAGACAGGGACATTCCTCGCGTGCACTCTCAGCACTGGTCAACTCACAGAAAAGAAACACACATCGGGCACCGAGACGCTGCGCCCCGCGTGCCCCCGCTGGGACACGGGGACATGCGGTGACTTTGGAGAGAAGCAATTAAGACTTTTCTTCTTCCATCCCCTCCACCCCGCTTTTTTTTTTTAAATACAAAGCAAATAAAGAAACCACAACAATGCGATTAAGGCCTGAGTTTGTCGCTGGGAGGTCGTGTGGTGGCCCGGAGAAGGCATTCAGGGCTGACACTGGTGTCCCCAGCTACAATTTCAGGGACGGGCAGCACCTGCCTCTGGGGCAGGAGGTGGCCGCTGCCTGGCAGGAGCGGGGCCGGCACTGCCCCTCTGGGCAGCATCACCCTGCCGAGGTCCCCGAGCCGATGGCGAGGCTGCGGACAAGCCAGCACACTGGAAGGACTCCACCTGATCCGCTGCCACGTGTCTGGCTGGATGCAACGGGGGTTCAGGAGCCCCGAGGCAGACAGCAGAGCTGAACTGAAGCAGGGAGGAGGCTGAAAACTCCCCCCAGCCTCCGGCCAGGGATGCTGAGAGCCCCTTCCTGCTTCAGCACAGCCGCGATGCCCCCAGCGAGCACCCAGGCGGGCGCAGCTTGCGCGGACAAGGCACAAAGCCTCCGGCCGTGGGGATGGGGGCAGCAGGGCAGGGAGGCCAGGAGGCTGAGAGCCTTCCCCAGCACGGCACGGCCCACGCCACGCATCTGCGAGGACGGGCAGGGCTCCCGTGGTGGGTAGGGGCTGGTGGATCCACACCACGGGACGACCCCCGGCCTCACCGGGCCGAGCCAAGCACCCGGGGGTCACCGTGGCCGTGCCCCAGCCCGAATGCCTTCAGACGGGTAACGGAGTAAGTGAAGGGAGAGACCTGTTCAAAGAGCACCTTGTTCTGTTCCGGGAGGGTTTCAGCTCCTTCTTCTCCTCTTCTGAGTTATCCGCCACCGATGTGTTCTCCTCGTCCTCCTTCTCCTCCCGCTTTATTTCGCTGGTTCCCGAGGAGACGCTGCTTCGCCCCAGCCCCCCTGACAAGCCTGCCGAGGAAGCAGAGGGGGTTGGAGCGAGCTGGAGGGGGGGTCCACAGCCAGCAAAGCTGGAAGGGTCACCTGGCTCTGCCCCACAGCTGCACCCCATCCCCTTTACCCCCCATCCCACCCCTTCCAGGGTCAGAGCCCAGCCTTCCCCCAGCAGCGCAGGGCCCGGGGGCTCCTTGCACCCACAGCCGAAGGGACAGGAACACGCAGCACAAACCAGAAGCCACGTCAAGGGACCTCTGGAAAAGGCTCAGCACGGGAACCACCAGGGAGCACCAACCTCGTGAGAGCCCCCACCCCGAGCTGCCGTGGGACTGCAGCGTGCGCGCGTGCGGGGCTGCCTTACCGCTGTACGTGTCCTGCGGCCTGCTGAGGTCGGGGAGCGAGCTGGGCTGTGACGGAAGTGTGACATGGTTGTGGAGCATGCTGGGGGTGCTGGACAGCCCGTCTTCGGGGTGACCTCCTCCCACCTACAGCAGAACGAGCAGAGCAAGCCTTGAGGGGTGGAAGTGTCACGGCCAGCGCGCGCGGGTCACCCCGAGCAGAGCCACGTGCCCTCCATGCACGCTCCCACAGAGCGCTGGCATGCAGGAGAGAAAAGCCAACCCGCACCGGCTCCCCGCCAGGGACTGTGGTGAGGACACTGCAGAAAGCAGCTCTGTGCCCCACGGGAAAGCCTCTCTCTGCTGGGCTGCACGGCTCGCATGCTGCAGACACCCTGCGTGGTTGCACGCATCCTGTCTCCACCAAGCACCGATATTTCTGCAAGCCCCCCAAAGCCCCCAGAACAGCGGACATCCTGGCAGCACGGATGTCACCCTGAAGGGCTCGGGCACAAGGGACAATGGTTGGGCAGCCTTCCTGAGCCTGAACTCCCCAAGGTCACACTGCGTTGGCAGGACAGAGCCAGCCCTGCTGCAAGTGCTCATTTCTGCAGCTGGCACTGGTTTGTGGCATGGGACACACAGGTTGTCCCATGGCTTAGCTCGGGTGCAAAGCACGTCTGGTTCTCCAGAGACTGGAAATGCGTTAATGTTCACTTTAGCACGGACCCAGAGCTGCCACAAACATGCTGCTGCGGACAAGGGGGGACCCTGGGGAACCAGCACAAGACCCCGTGGGTGCTCAGAGCACCTGGGATCACCGGTGGCAGTTCAAAGCTGCCACCCAAGCTGGACAAATCGAGCTGCTCTCACACCAAAAGCAATGCCCCTCCGACTGTCGGGGGACGTTAGGCCATAGGTTCCCGATACAGCCCCTCCAGCCACCGCTGTGTGTTCCCCCACTCACCAGACTCGGGTGCCTGCTCCCCAGGGACATGACCGAGGCGGGGAAGGCCTGGCCCAGGCTGCCCACAGCGGCGCTGTGAGCTGGTGCTGAGCCCAGGAGCCCGTGCATGTCCCCGTGGCTGCTCGGCATGGCGGCTGTCTGGCCCACGGCGTGATTCCTCAGCACGTGGATGGCTTCGTCCAACCTGTCTTCCATTTTGTTTTGCTTCAGGGAGCGGGTGGAGAAATAAACCTGCGTTAACGCCCGCAAAGCCAGCAGCCCCTTGCAGCCCTCTTGCTAAGGCTGCAACCACACCTCCGCTGCTGCGAGGCGGGCTGTGGGGAGAAACAACACCCTGACCCCGGCACTGCCACCCCCAAGGACACGAGGTGTCACACCAGCAGGTCTGCTCCTGAATGGGGGGCAGAAACCAGCACGAATCTGTAAGGCTGAGCCAGCCCCGCAGTGATGTGGGTGGGCTGCAACGGGCTGAGGGTGCTGGGCTGTGTCAGCAAGGCTGTGGGCTCGGGGAATCAGGTGCCCAAATCTGCTCAGCTGCACCCAACCGTGTACCAACCACCCTCCTTCGGGTCCCAGACGCCTGGGGGAGGCGTTTACCCAGCCCACTCCCACCAGGTGCCTGGTGGAACGGAGAAGAAAAGGAGCAAGGAGAACTTTGGGCAACACTTACTAAGGTGTGGAGGCTCCCTTCGTAGCTGGGAGATAAGGCACCCTGTCCGCTCGCTCGCGACCACTGGGATGTGCCTGCGAACAAACGGTGACAGTTGGGGACCGGGCACAGCAGCCGCTAGGTGGGGCTGGAAGCTGGGCCAGCGTGGGGCCACCAGAGTGCTGCGCAGGCAACCATGGCATGCCCTGCGATGCACAGGGCCACCACGGTGCTGGTCACACCACGCACAGGGGCTGGCACATATAGGTCCAGCCATGACACGCGCAGGCACAGGTTTTGCCCCTGCTCCCCATCACCGCTCCCGAGGAGCTCCCGTGGAGCTTTGGCTCTGGGCAGGGCAGCCTCATCTCACAGAGATGCTGCCAAGGGTTGTGGTCCGGTCCCACAGCCACCCGGGGGACTTTCTGTACGGCCCCTGCTGCTCTGCTTTGTCAGGAGCCTGAGCTCAGGTCTTTGGAGCTTGAGAGGTTTTAAAATCCGTATTATCTCAGGGAAGAGGCAGGCAGGGTGCCCACGCTGCTGGACCAGGGACCAGGGCTGTGCTGCTCTCAGCACCTCTCCCAGAGCCTCCACGGCTGCTCCCATCTCGGTGCAGCAGCAGGCTGGGGGGGTCACGTCGCTCTGCACCCAGACACCCGGGAGGTGGACCTTCAGCAGGGGCTGACAACGCTTTTTGCTAGTTGGCTGCGTCCCAGTTCAAACTGGGCTCCTCCCATGGGAGACAAAAACCAGGGAAAAGCTGCCCAGGCCCCACTGAGACAGGATGCTCAGGGACGGAGCTCTCTGAATGGTGTGAGGAGTTCGAGGAGGGGGCAGAGATGCTTCAGGCTCGCTCCTCCAGCAGAGCCACCTACCAAAATACCTCTGCAGGGGCAAACCCAGGGGCACATGGGGCCATCGCCCTGCGTGCCACGCTCCCAGAGCTGTGCCATGGGACAGGAGCTGCGCTGTGCACTGCTCCACTCGGAACAGAGGGGGACATGCACCTTCCAGCTTCCCTTTCCTCCCTCTTCACTCTCCTGCTTTCAAAAATAAGGGGGATTTGGTCAGATTGCCAAAAGCATAGGGTCTGTAACGAGGGTTTGGAGCTGATCTGGGAAGCTCACTGCTTTACACCCCTGGACAGCAAACCCCACGCACCCCTTTACACGAAGAGCAACGCTTTCACCTACCTGCAAGGCCCTGAGGGGAGCCGACCGGTGTAGAGGGGTTTGATGAGAAGTTATTGCTAGAGTGATCTGGGGAATAAATCTGGAGCAAGAGAAGCAGGGCACAGTCAGCAGCGCTCACCCCGTGCTCGCTCTCCCCTTCCCAAGCACCGCCGCAGCGAGGACCAGCGCGTCCCTCCCGTCCCAGCACCAGCCCCGGAGCTACCCCCAGAATCCCGGGAGCCTTTGCCCTGCAGGTCTCCCTTTAACACTGGGGTCTCCCTTTGTCCCCCCACTGCCGCTGACCTCCCTTCTTGGGGTCCCGCTGTGGAAGGAAGCAAGAGACCCCAGAAATTATCACGGGGTGCAGCACCTTTTGCAAAAGCAAAGGTCCCTGTGCTGAACGGGACAGGGGCAACCTCACGCTCTGAGAGCCCAGAAACAAAGGACGCTGCTCCCCAGTGGAACCAGTGCCCTCCAGTTTGAAGCAGCACACAGGGACAGGGCACCAGGACCCTCAGGTCCTACCACCAGGCCAGTGTGGGGCACACGGCTGTGCAGTGCAGCGTCAGCTTGTGGGGCTGTTGTAACGCCCAGTGCCTCAGTTTCCCCATCTGCTAAGGGGCAGTTCTGTTCCTGGGGTGCACCGGCTCGCCCAAACTTCTTGTGTCTATCTTCCCCACTGCCAAGAGGGGAAAGGGGGAGGCCTATAGGGGCAGGGAGTGGGTCGGGGATCTGCCGCAGCTCTTACTGAAGCTAGTGCCTTCCCAAGCGCGTCTCCTGAGCTCCCGGCCGTGGTTCCTCTGTTACCTGTCAGGAGAGGACAAAGACATCACTGCAGGGCGCCAGAAACCCGCTGGGACGAGGCACCTTGTACCGGACCTCCTCTTCACCTGCTCTCAGATTGAAATCCCTCATTCTTACTGCTTTTCTTGAAAAATAAATGGAGACAGAGCTCAGAGCAGCCCGGACAAGGGCGTGTGTGCCCCAGTGGCTTCCCTGGGGCCGCAGAAACGTCTCGACGAGACGAGGCTGAAGGCATCGTGCCCTGACAGCAGCCAAGCGTCCCCACCACAAGACCCACTTTAGCGGGGCACTTTAGGCCTCTACAATCCCCAGCTTGTCCAGAGAAGGGGAAAGAAGGGTTTCCCTAGGAATCAAGGAGTTCTTTTCAGTAACAGGCTTTGTGACAGGTTCAGCAGAGCCTGTCACAGGCACTCAGGGCTTTAACTTGAATGCAGTGCTCTGGATTTAGACGAACGGCTTCACACGAAGCCCCTGCGCCCTCCTGCAACTTGGTGCCAACCCCCCCCACAGCTCACATAAGCTGTGGCATCCCCAGGGGGCAATTTCGCAGACCCTGGTCTCCTCCCGGACTCGCTCAGTGGGGTGCCAGCCCCTGCTGCCTCGGGAGGCCAAAACCCCACACCCGACCCCTGTTAGAGGTGGCCCAGGCATCCCGCAGGGGTGACCTGCGCATTGCGTAGCACACGAGGGACAAAGAGGACACAGGAGGGACAAAGAGCACACAGGTGTCACAGCCCGTCACTGCGTGTTGGCTCCGCGGGGTGCCCGGGGCCCTACGTACCCATCATGGTGTCCGTCCCGCTGATCGGGGGCGTGTGGCTGGAGACGCCGTACGGGGTGGAGGCTGAGGAAAAGCCCGACACGGAGGGGAGCCCGCCGTTGACCTCTCCTGAATGCAGCTGGTAGTTCTGGAGAGAGGGAGAAAGGGGTGAGGGAGGGCCCCGAAAGGCTGCAGCCGCCGGAGCTCTGCCCGCAGGGCTGTGCCGTGGCTCCCCGGGGCTGGCGGGGACGTTACCATGCGTTCGTGCTGATGTAAACTGTTGAAGCCGGCGGGCTGCGGGAGCGGGGAGGAGGAGCTGCCCAGCATGGCCCCGTAACTTGACTGGCTCATGGCACCGGGTGAACTCCACAGGTCTGGCGAGTTATGGAGCCCGTCTGCAAGGGAAGGCAGAGGTGAGCGGGGCAGAGATGCCGGCACGCGTCCTGCAGCCTGCGCTGGGGGCTGCTTCTGTTCCCTTCACCCATTGCCCACGCTGAGCATTGCCCTGTTTTGGCACATGGAGCTGTTTTGGGGCTGCATCTTGTGCTCCAGCCCCAGCCACACGCTGTGCAATCCCTCCCCGTGCAATTCCTCCATCAGCTGCAATGTGCTGGGCAGCCCCTGTGGCACCGGGGTGGTTAACAACTCACCTGCCATATAAAAGGCTCCGGGATACACAGTGCTGGGAGGTTTCGAGGGGGTATATCCAGCTGGATCCCTGCTGTAGTCATCACCTGAGTTGGATGGATACACCTGCAGGGGAGGAAAAGGGGGTGAGGAGCAGCGCTCGGCCACCCGCCAGCCCCACTTGATCCCTGGGGGTCACCCCCCAGCACGGCTTCGCTTCCCCTCATCCCAGCAGGCGACAAAAGAGGCAAAATTTGGCAAAAGAGGTGGGGGTCAAAGTAACGGGGATGGTACCAAGCAGCCTGGGAGTGGCGTGGGGTCGAGCCGACCAGCCTGCACCTTCCCGTAACAGCACCCAGGAGGCCGGCACCAGCACAAGTTTCGACTCGCTGCTCTAGTTCCCTTTTCTGTGGTTATAGCTTTTTATGGGTAACCACAAACATGATCATTTCTGCGCCCTAACCCGCACCCAAGGGCATGGGCCGGGCCGGGAGGAGATGGCGTGGGGTGGTGGGGACGGGGACCAGCGAGCCCTCGGGACCGGCTCATCCCCATGCTGTGTTCACCTGTGAACCTGTGGGCTGCAAGGTGCCACAGCTTGTTTATTTATTTTAACAATCCTTCTTCATTCCAGCAGCAGGACAGCCCCTCAAAACCCCAGCCCGTGTGTGTCCCAGGGCTGTAGGGACACACTCAGCCCCCCAGACCCCACAGGGGGAGTACTTGGCCCCAACCCCGCTCCTTGTACTTGTGCCCGGGGTCAGGCTGCAAACCACCAAAAACGGGAAGACCACAAAGCTGTGACCTGAGCAGTCCCTTGTGCGGAATGGCACACAGGAAAGGACAGCTCTTGGAGGGTTTTTGGCCAGATTTTTGCAGCTCCGCTCAGGTATGCAGTACTTGACAGTACATTAAGCAAAAAAGGATTTTTTTTTTCCCTAAATTAACCAACCGCATCCTAGAAAGCCCTCGCAGAAAACCATCATGCGCTTTGTGCAAAACCATACATTTTTAAAGCAGGAATTCAACACGCAAAGAAACCGAAATGCCACTCGAAATTACGTGAGAACCTTTGTTTCGGCCTATTTTCATCACCCCTTGATTCATTCTGAAACTGCTATTTGATTTTTTTTTTAATACCCACGAAAGCAGAGGCGGGTGCAGGGGCTGGCTGGGCACGCTCAGCCAGCTCTGCCTGGAAGATGCAGCTCTCTTTGGAAAGGAAACCGGCCTCAAGTTTCTATTTCCCCACACCCAGCCAGCCCCTCCGACCCCTTCTCCTCACCCAGCAAGGGAGGGGGGGGCAAAATTTTTCTCTATTTCTGCAATTGCCCAAAACACTGAGAATTTCTTCTTTTTAGGGGGAGTAATGGATTAAAAAAAATCTCTGAAATGCACCAGTGATTATATTTAAATGCATTGCTTCTTTTTCCCCTTGGGCCCCTGGTTCCTGCTTCTTGGACCAACTTCCCTTGAGCCCCGCGGGCAGCGCTTGCCCTGCACACAGTTCTCATCCGTGCCAGTCTCTGTCCCTGGGAGTGGGCAGCTCCGTCCAAGGCCAGCAGCCCCCCGTGGTCCCCTGCCTGCTCCCCTTTGGGTGCTGACCTCAATGGGGAGGCTTTGCCCTAAAGCAGAGCTGAAAAAACCTCCCCAGGGCCGGCGTGGGGCTTCCCCAGTGGGTGGCTGGACCCCATGGGGCACCAGGGAGCTAAAAGCAACTTGTGGGCATCAGCGCCGCTGGGGAGCCAGTGGAAAATGAAAATAAAGAGAGGGGAAGGGTAAAATCTGACAGACAGAAACCGTCCTCCATCTCTCGCTCAACAAATGAAGATTTGGGGGGGGCTTTGCCTTTGTGCCGCATTGAGTGTGGCTTTGGAGGAGCCCCACGCGTGGGCAGCGCGTGCGCACGGCGGCTGGGGAGAGCGGGGGAATGGAGGAGGCTGCGAAGAATGAGAATCCAGTAAATTGACTTTTCCTATAATTTGATTAAATAGCGGGAGCTGGGACAGGGAATCGAATGAAGCACGTCTAATAGCCCTGCGCCATCTGCCAGGGGCTGGCACCTGGCCAGCGCGCGAGGCAGCTGTGCGGCAGCGGAGCAGGGGGGCCGTGGTGAGCCTCAGCATCCATTTAATAAATCCAGAGCGAAAATAAGAAGAATAAAATAGCGGGGAAGAAGGGAACAGGGTTGCAAAGCAAGGGGGTTTCGCCTCGCTGTGAAGCTGCCCTGCTCTGACATCCCCGACCCTCTGCCTCCCATCCGATCCCGAGGGTCCCATTTCCCCACCCTAGCCCCATGGGTGCCCCCAGCCCCCCCAGATCTTTAATTTCACTTTTGGGCCCAAGGAGAGGCTTTGAAAAAGCCGTCTGAGCTCTTCCCCAGAGCAGCAGAGTGGGTGCGAGGCGCATCCCAGCCCCGCTGCGCGCGGGGGAGCCGGCCGAGCCGCGGCCGCCGGCCAAGCGCCGCAGGAAGCGGTAAATCAGCGCCAGGTCCCCGCTCCCCCCCGCGGCCCCAGCCCTCGCCGGCAGCTCCGGCGTCGGCCTCGGGGACCTCCAGGTGAGGTCATTTCCTCTGGTTAAAACTGCCAGCGCGGCGAGAGCTGGCGAGGGAGCTGCGTGAAAAGCCCCAGCGCTGGGAGTCGCAGGGATTTTTTTTTATTGTTATTATTTTTTTCCCCTCTTCCCTGTTTTTCTTGCTTAAATGCATAAACTGGGGTGGGACTCCAGGCAGACTAAAACCAAACAGAGCAGTGACCAGACTGTGAATTCTCAGGCTGAAGCAGCTCCCAGCCACCATGCTCACTGCAGCAACAAAACCCTGCAGGAACCAACTCGCAAAAAATCCCCCCCCCAGCCTCCTCCAGCAAGGCCGGCTGAGGGGCAGGGGCCTCATCCAGCCCCCGGTGCTGTGCCTGGGGACACCTGCATGTGGGGGAGTGCAGGTAGGAGCCCTGACCCTGCCATCCAGCTCTGTAACAGCTCCGTGTTGGACAGATGCAGCGGTGGAGACCCAGAGGCTCTCCGTGCCCTCCGAGGTGCCATGCGAGCCCAGCACCCGATGACCTATTTCGCAAGAACTGACCCCAAACGGGGTCGGTTCCCATGAGCCAGGGGGCACCATGGGCCTGTCTGCAGCCAGCAGCTGCCCCTCGCTTCCCTCTTGAACCATCTCACACCGCCAGTGCCCTCGGCACCATCGCTCCCACCTCAGCCACCAACTATTTCAGCCGCTGACCGCTCCCAGTTTCCAAAGCAGCTCCAGAATTACAGATTAAAGCACTTTATTTTAATAAGAGGCTTATTAACCTATTTATTTTGCACGGGGTCCAGCGATAACACAGAGCGGGCTCCTTCACAGGCAAGCCAGACACGAAAGAGCCTTTGATCTGCTGCCTTTGAGGCAGGCGAGGGCCTTTTGCCTTCCTCACCACGTAGGTGTGGATTTCTTTCTCCTGGCATGGAAGTTCAAAAACAAACCAAAAAGCCAGAGGTCACGGCAGAAGGGCAGCCTCCGCCGGGGAAAGGGGCTCGGTGGGGACGAGCCTGAAGGAGGTGGGCTTTTTTTTGGTGGGGGGGGCGAAGGCCGGGTGAAGGCACGGCCCCGGCCCACACAGCCAGGCCCGGGCTCCGCAGGCGAGGGCCCGCCGGGTCGGGAGGCAGCGCTTCCTGGGGTGGGAGAGCAGGGTGCAGGCGTCGGCGCTGACACACGCACGGGGCCGAGCTTCAGCAAACACCAACAGCTCCTCCGGGAGGGCCGGGGCCCTCCTCCGGGCACCGCCAGCGCGACAGGCGGAGGGCCCCGCCGCCTTTGATATCCGAGGCCAATAAACGGCCATTTGTCGGGAGCAATGTTTTCCCCACATGTCAGCTGCGGTTTAGAAGCTCTGAATTTCACACAAGCACGACGCAGCGACACGAATTCTGCTTTGAGCAGGTTTTCTGTTAAAACACAGACTCTCACAGCAACCCGGTGCTGCTGGCTGGAGCTGGGCTTCTGCTGGCTGCCCTCTGCCGCCTCCGCTCTGAGAGGCGATGCCAGCAAGCCCTCAGTGCCCTTCCCTTCCTCCATCCTCCCCAAACTGACAGCCGGGGGCTCGTTTCTAGAGGCAGAACCCATGGCAGAGGTTTCAGACCATGCCTTACGTTAGCAGCGACAGCACAAAAGCTCCTCATGGCTGGACACCCGTGGGCGTCCCCTCGCTCCATGCTGTGCCAGCACCAGCTATGGGTAGGGGTACGATGTGCTCTGGCAAGAGCCACGTCTGCAGCCCCCCAAACCCCAGCTCCAGACCCCCACAGGACGCAGCCCGCCTGAGCCCCTGTGAGCATGCAAACGCTCCGGCGAGGAATGTGGCCTCGGCCTCTGCACGGCCAGACAGCTCCCATATTCCTGCAAGAACCCTCCAGCCCGCCCCAATTAGCTTTCCTGCAGATCCCATTACTTCTAGCCACAAAGACATTGTTCAGTTTATTCCCTTCTAACAGCCGCAGGAGCATGGCTAACATATTCCTACAGGCTGCTCGGCTTTCTTATAAAACTGCGCAGGCAGCGCACACACCTGGAGCAGCCCCAGCTGCCTGCCTGTGTTACAACTGGTTTGGTTTCCCTTCTGGACTGAAACCTGATCGCCCCGAATATTGCATTTCACTGGGGCACTCGCGACATAACGTCAGGCTGAGGAGAGCAGCGAGGGCAGGGGGCTGGGCACAGACACCGCAGGCTGCTCCGCTCGGGGAGCACCGCCACCCCTTTGCCTTGATAGCACCCCAGCCCCGCTGCGATTCCCCATTTTCCTCCTATGAAGGAAGGCAGGGGCAGTAAAACCCTTCCTCGTCCTGCTAAACGCCAGCCCCCCCCCAGGAATGAGGATGCTTTGCTGGCCAGGTGGCTGGAGCCATGGGGACGGCAGCGCTGGCTGCAGAGGGAGCAGGGGATGGGGAGACCCGCGGGGATCTTTGGGTTATTGGACTCACCGAGGAGGGGAGTCCAGGAGGCACCTTCCGAACCTTTTTGGGCTGTCCATCTGTGTGAAAGAAAAGAAGAGAGGATCAAACTTTTGAAGGGGGTTAGCAGCAGGGAAAACAAGCTCCTGCTAAGCCAGGGACAGAAAATGCGGCCACAGATAGAGGTCAGACCTCAGATGTCCCAGAGCCAAAGGGTCAGTAGTGAGAGCGACTGAGGATGAGCCTCTCCTCCTGTCCCTGACTCCTCGTCCCATCTGCACTCTCAGGGCGGGTTTCACCTGCAAACCGAGCCCACAGGACAGCTGCAGGAAGGGATGCTCAGCAGGCACAGAAAGGCTGTGCTTGCTCCTTGGATGAGACAGAGCCCATAAATAATCCCTCGCTAGCTTTTTTGGACACAGTTTAAGTTGGTTTATGAAGAGAGGATGTAGAAAGAAAACAAATGCAGCAATGGGTTTGTATTTTCATTTGCTCCTTAGAAGATAAATATTTCAGAAAGTTTCCCCGCTGCAGGACGGCAGCCCTGGTGCTCATCTGGGCCAGTCCAGCCCCAAACAGCTGGCAGGGTGGGAGACAAATTTTTTGGGGAGGCAGTGAGGAAACATCCTGAGGAATGGCTCAAGAGGAAGTGTTGGTTAAAAGTTTGTGGAGCCAAGGACTCTGCTGGGTAGAGCTCAGGAGGAGAAATTCATCACACAGAACGAAACGGTGCAAGAAGTCATTTCCCAGGCTGACAACATAAAGCAGCACCATTTTCAAGTGGCGATACCAAAGTGAATGCCTTTTTCTGAAAAGTACTGGAAAAAATACATGTTACACTAGGTTACTTCTGGTTTCGTTTGCTGGGGAAAGCCCAAAATAGCAACAAAGAGACTTTTGGTGAGGGTGAGGGGTGGAACCATGACAAGAAACACAAGTTCTGGTGAACTGGGCCTCATCTTCACTCGAAAATTAAATTCACACCCAACCTTAACCTCCACTGGGAGCAAAATGCCCAATTTCTAGGTGGATCCAGATGTGGGCAGCTGGGCAGGGAGAGCTCTTGGAGCCAACCCCACTGCTGTGGGGTGCACAGCTCCCCAACCTTGCACCACTGCAGCTCACTTGCAGCAGGACCAGGGCTCTGCCGAGGGCCATCAGCCACAAAAACACCTCGAAGGCAGCCCAAGGTCTTCCAAGAACGACTACTGATGTGCAATGTGGCTGGAGGTGTTTTCACAAGAACCTCGAGCCATTTGCATCTTTCACCCAATCTGACATTTGCTGGAAAGAAGGAAATTCCACAGGACTGAGAGTCCAAATTCCCAGGTGGTTTTTGTATATATACTTTATTAAAAAAAAAAAAAAAAAAAAAAAAGCAAATGCCAGATTTGCACCTACGTGAACACATGGCAGCCTCTCAGCACTTTGATTTCTGAAGGCAGACCTGACCCAGGCTCAGCACAGACCGAAGCAGTGGCACCCAGGGGTGCCAGAAGCGACTTACCTATGTTGCTCTCAGCACCTCTCCTGCGAGGATTGTTGGGGTAAGAAAAATACTGAGACCCCCCTTTCACCCCGGTGGGGGAAAGCGTGCTCGGACTCGCGATTCCCATTTCGCTGGGCAGGAAACCAGTCTGCAAACAAGGAGACAGAGAAGCCCTTCCATGTGATTACGCTGGAAAACCACCGCGCTCCCTCGGATAGAACAGAGCTGCCTTGAGCCACCCTTGCACAAATTCAGCCAAGAGAAAAAAAAAACAACAAGCCAAAGGGCCAGAAGGAAATAATGTAAATACAGGGGTGGGGAGGAATACGTGTGCAGCAAGAAAAGGGTTTTTCAAGCTGTGTTTTCTCACTAGACCCCAGCGAGGAACCTCTCTACAAGCCAGGGGTGCACTCCAGCAGGTGCCGTAGCAGGGAGCATCGCAGTCCCACGCTCACCGTGCCACCTCGTTGCCCACCGGGGCAGGATGACACCCCGCCGATGGTTTTAGCATCACAATCTGCTATGATGGCCAAGAGGAGGCGACCGTCAAGCTGATGGGCTCTGTGTCTCCCTCGCCATCCTGCTGGCAAACCCAAGCAGGTGGGAAGCATCTGCCTGAGGCCACGAGCTCTGCCCATGTGGCACCCACGAGGGGCCCGTGGGTGGTGGTGTTCTGCTGGGGACCCGGCTGTGAGGTCTCATTCTGCTTGATGTGGTTTCACTGGCTTATTCTGCTGAGTAATGTACCCCATTTACTTTGGGGTAAAAGCTTTCTCCCTTTTCTCTCTCCCCATTTTCAGGAACAGCTGGGAGCTGGGGGGGACACACCGGGACAGGAACAGCGCTCACACACCAACAAACCCACGTGTTAGAGCCCCGTTCCTGGAAGAGCCCCTGCGCTGTCTCAACTCTCAGCTGTGCCTGAACATCGCCCTAAACACACGCTTTATCTCGGTTGCAAGACATGGGAGAGGTTACGCTGTCTGTGGCCCATCTGACCGCACATCTCCAAGTCCCTCCCTGCCTGTAAAACCAAGCCCACGATCCCAGTTCCTCTCCAGTCCATGGTGGCATGCAGCCAGACACATCGCAAGCAAGGCAATGGAGCTGCAATGCCTTTTCTCTTGGTGGTTTTCTCTTGTGTTTTTATCAAAGAAAGGTCAAATCTCTCTTTCGAAAAAGAGGAAACTCCTCCCTTGTGTTTATCCGAGCTGACCTTGGGGGGAGCCCGACCCCAGGGGAGCAGCACGGCTGTCGGCACTGCCCCTTGCACCTCGGGAGAAAATTATGTGTATTTACGTGGAATTTAACAGGGCTGGCAAAGGGCCTTTGAGTCCCAAGTTCAGTTTCAAGCCATCTTCAGAGGACAAGTTGAAATAAAGGAAGACTTCGAGCTTTTGAGAAACCGGAAAGAAAAATGGACTGCTGTAAAGCTCAGCCTCCTCAAAAAAGGGGTCGGGGAGGGAAAGAGTATTCATGTATTCACAGCTGGTAGAATTCCTGCAATCTGTTCCACCGGTCATATTACCTTTGCGCTGAAAACGTTATGCGCCATGGAGCAGCGTGGCCAAAAAAAGCAAGGGGCTGGAGGAGTGGCCGGTCACTGCTGCCCTGCTCCATCCGCAGGTACCTCCAGGAGAGCCACCGAGGTTTTAAGGCAACTTCCAAGAGAAAAGGGCATTTTCTTCCCCTTCCTCACCCTGGTAACGCTTCTGGAGGCAGCTAAGGGTTAAGGGAGTGGGGAGCTGCAAATCTGCCTCAGTGGGGGTGTTTTGGGAAGGAATGATGGCATTTTGGGGAGGGCATTTTGGGGAGGGCATTTTGGGGAGGGCATTTTGGGGAGGGCATTTTGGGGAGGACCGTGCTCCCAGGCATCTGCCATCGGACAATTTTCCGGCACTTCTCCAGCAAACCAGGTTCGAACCCCACACCACAAGCAGAGCCAGAAGCAACAACTGTTCTGGGGGCCACGGCGAGCAGGCAGACGGCCCCGCTCGCTGCCCGCGACAAGAGGGGTTTTGTCTCCCCTCCACATCAAACGGGCTCCGTCTCGCCCGCCGCCACCCGATCCGGCCCCGTGCGCCCGCGCCAGGGCCTCTCCCAGCCCGCGGCACCATTTGCCCACCCCACGTCTGTTACCTTATATCTCCCCCTCCTCCACGAAACCCCAGCAAAACCATAACATTAAAAAGCACGGCTTGGCATCTGTCCCGTTTTTATTTTAGCAGCTTCAGTGGTAAATTAAATCCACTCTGGCACAGACAGCCAGCACAGCTGTTTCAGCAAAGGAAACATCCTCAGTTCAGAGAAGAGGAAATTATGACAAATTTGTGTAAAATTAAAACACGTAATATGTGTGTGTGTGTACATCTATAAAATAAAAAGCTGCCCAGCCAAAAGCTGTTCCAAGAACTGGATGAAATGGTGGGACAGCTTCCTGGGGCAGCGCTCGGGCACCTGGCGCAGGGCTCCGGGGGCTCTTGCAGCAGCACATCGAAGCGGAGGTGCTCGCTCCTTCCCAAAAAACTATTTCTGGCTGCCCGTGGCAGTGGGTGAGATTATCTCAGTGCTGGTTGACTGCGCTCCCGAGGCTCTGATTTACACCCGCGGGATTCCCCACAGGAAGCCAATTTCCCCCCACTGCACAGCCCTGGTCCTGCCCCTGGGCTTCCCACGGGGCAGCTCAGCGGGGCACGGCTGCTGCTGCGAGGGGCAGCTCTCCTGAGCCCTGTTCCTCCCCTGACCAAGGAGATGAGCATCGACAGAACCAGCAGGACCCCAGCCACCACCCGATGCCCCCCAGGCAAGGCAGAGACTATCCTGCAGACTCCCTCTGGCGCATGGGGTGATGTTAGCCAGCGAGGGCTTTTGCTCCCTTTTTGTTTCAAGCACGGGCTTCTCGCAGCCCAAGCTGCTTCCAGCACGCCCGGGAGCTGCAGCGTGATGTGATGGAGGTGTCGGAGCCGGAGCTGCCCCACAGGAGATGCCGGGGGCAGGAGGGGAGCAGGGAGAGGAGGGCGAGCAGCACCAGCGGTGCTCAGCCCCCAGGCAGGCAGCCGGAGGGGGCAGCACCTCCATCACGCTGCTGGCTCTGATAGCACACAAACGAACTGCAGAACTGCACACGTACAAACCGCAGGCACCCGACAGCCCCTCCTGAGCAGAGCAGAGGCTTTTCAGGACCCTGTGCCCAGAGGCGAGATGCAAGCTGCCAGGGCGCTTCCCATTCCCCTTCCCTGGGCTCTCACGCCTCGCAGTGCAGCCGCAGAACGAAGCAAAAATCCCGATGTGTTTTATCCTTACCTGGTTTAGTCCTGGCATCCCTGTGTCTCTTCCAAACGTGGAGTAGGAGGCTCTTTCGCTGCCCTTCCCTACAGGGGAAGAAAAAACACAAGGAATGTTGGGTGTCCAAGGGAAGGGGGGGTTCTGCACATGTGCCCTCCCGCCTGAAGCGTGAAGCCCATTCCTGTAGGAGCTTCCTGCCCCCGTCTGCAGGGGCACCCGCAGCAGGTAGCAGCTTGCTGCTGGCACAGGAGCTCTTCCAAGTTCACGAGCGGCAGGGCTCGCTCGGTCCCTAAACAGCAAAACCCCAAACCGGCTGCGATGCAGGGAAGTGCTTGTGGCCATGGAAACTGGCAGTTTCAGACCAGAGCAAAAAAAAAAAAAAAAAAAAAAAAAAAAAGAAAAAACACAACAAAAACCCAACCCTCCAGACATATTAAAAAAAGCCATCCAAATTTGGCAGAGGCAGGGGCAGAGCAAACCCGAAGCCAGGCGCGACTGACCAGACTGCGCGCACTTCCCATACAATAGGAAACCCAATCTCAGCAGAACTGAGCTCCTGCTCCTCACGGATTATCTCCTTCCCCTTTCTTGGTGGATATTCAACTTTCCCAAAAAGCACGCGGCTCTGCAGAGCAGGCATTGAACAGCAAAGCGTCCCCTTCCTCCCCCAAGCCCCTGGGTTCAGTCCCTGCGATCAGGAGCAGCCCCTCGGCCAGCCAGGCCCACGCTCCCCAGCACCCCGAGCACCCCGCGGCGGCTCCTGCCAGCGCTCAACCTCACCCTGCCCACGCGCTGCTCAGAATAGTGCTTTCGAGGGGAAAAAAAAAATTAAAAAAAAATAAAAAGAAACCCAAGAGGCACGGTGAAACGTTTCCATTCTGAAATGTCCCTGCAGCCCCTTCCCTCGCAGCCACCTCCCCGGAGCACACCGTGGCCCCGGCAGGCAGCGCCCAAGGGTGCCGGGGCAGTGCCGCAGCCCCGGGGAGGGTGGGATGGGGGCGAGGAGGGACCCCCCGGCTGGGAGAAAGGCAATGGGTTTACACTGCCCCCTGACAGCCAGCTTGGGGGTTTTCCCCCATGTGAAGCAAAACAAGACGTTTTTGTAGTGGGGAGCAGCCACTTTTTCACTTTAAAAAAATAGATAGAAAACTGGACTTAAAATACTTAAAATACAGAAGGAGTTTTCCCCTGCTGTTCATTACAGCCTATTAATGGTGCTGGGGACAGGAGATGACCTTCAGAAAGGCTTTGGCCAGGGGCAGGACGTCCCTGTCCCGGTGCAGGGCAATGTGCAGGGTGGTGACGGGCTCCAGGAGCCCCCTGCAAAATCCCTTCCCCAGGTGGGGTGATTGCATCCTGCCCCTGGGCTGGCTTAGCAAGCAAAAATGTCAGGGGGGGGATTTTGCCAATCTGCTTACCCTAAAGCCTGCTGAGATGCAGGGTAACGCACTGGGGCTGCAGTGGGCAGGCAGCTACACGCGCCGTGAAGAGGTTTGGGGGAACAGCTGAAAGATGGGGAGGGGGGAGAAAACTTCCCCAAACCAGCCCCATGAAACAGGCAGAGAGGTGGGACGGGAGAGGAGGCTGCTTGGTTTTGCAACCCCTGGCACTGACTTAGTTCGGGGCCTTGAACTCAACCCCGAATTTCTGAGCGGGTCCCTCCTCTGCGGCAGCCGAACCCGAGAGCCCCAGGAGGGACTGGGTGGCTCTGGCCCCGCTGTTTCGGCATCGCTCCTCCCCGTGCTGGCATCCCGATGGCCAGGCCCCGCCGCTGTTTCGTTTCAGAGGCTTAAATGTTAAGTAAACTAAGGTCAAAATGTCAGAGGACAGATCTCTTAAATGACCTAATTTTTAAAAGCGCTTAGCGGCTATATTTGCCGCAGCGCCGGCGGCGTTACACAAATAACTCCCCAAGTTGTGTCATCAGGGAGACGGCGATCACTCCTAAACCAGAGGAAAACCAGGGTAATTCCACAATGGTTCAGCTGTTAAGCAACCACGAGCACTCTCTTCTGCAAACACGTCGCGGCTTCCACGCGCCGTGAGCCAGGGGCACAGCACCTCGTCCACCCTGACGGTCTCCAACGCCGCGCTGAAAGGCACGTCGAACAGAAATACGACTGCAGCCCAGTGTGAAGTCTGCCCAATCTTTCCCAAAAACCTGCTACTTCCATCTGACGTGATTCATGGCAGGAACAAAGCGCGCCTGGTCCCAGCGACCCGCGGCACCTTTGATCAGCAGCGCTCTGCGGGACGGGAGCAACCCCAGAGCGGGCAGGGAGCGCGGCCCCTGGTGCCTGCGTGTGCTCTGTTCCGTAAGGACATAGAAAAAGGAAAAAAGCAGCAAAAATGTCAGCAGCGGAAGTTTTAAATTCAGTTGCCTAGGAAAACAAGGCAGGAGGAGGAAGGCTGGAAGAATGGCAAACTTTTCTGGATCGTAACAAATACCGAGCTTATTTTAAAAAGAGCAGACAAAGCTGAAGTTGGCAGAAGGAGGTGATGTTTCTGGTGCCGGGGAGATGCCCAACAGCACATGCAGCAAACCAGGCTGCTCCAAGACTAGGCACAGCCCCAAAAACCGGCTAAACCCCAGCAGTGCAGCATGGACCACAATGGAAGCAGCTCTCGGTAGAGCAAATGCCAGGAATCTCCCCAAACACCACCTCCAAATGACTGAAATCCAACAGGGTGAGAAGGCAGGCAGACATCAGGCGAACTCTGGAAAAAAATCAGGATACGAAGAATAAAAGCCTTTGAGTGAGGAATCGGATTCCAAGGGAATCCCGTCCTCTGGATTTGCCCCTGCAGCTTTTAGCACGCACAGGAGAAGCACTGCGGAGAGCACCTTAAAAACAAGGTGCACCCAGAAACTGGCTGGGAGCATTTCGTATTTACGGCGTTCACTGGTTTGCTTCGCTGCGAGCCCTGCCATCCATCCCCGTTTGCCAAGCCCTTCCCTAGCCTTCAACCCTGCTCAACAAGTGCTTTCCCAATCCCTCCCCTCTCCCCGGCGTGTCCTCTCTTGCAGGATCCCGCAGCGCCGGCGCTCAGCCGAAGCCCTCCCCAGGGCAGCACCCAGGACTCCCAACTCAGTTCTCCCCTCCCTAACTCAGATTTGCTCCCGGAGCGAGGCGAAACACCAGGATAAAAACTCCTCTTTCTCCAGGCGAGCCGCGAGCTCCGCGAGGAGCAGGGTCTGGCCTCGCTGCCCCGCGTCCTGCAGCCCTTTTTGCCCCCGGGGCTGAGCGCAGGCATCTCCCCTCCAACACAAGCCGGGCAGTGCTTTCAAGCAAACCTGTGGTTTTGCCGTTTCTCTCCCCGAGACAAGCCCCACTGGCAGATGCGCAGAAGAAAAGGCGATCCACGTCGCCTACAGGTTCTGCCAGCGCCTGCCGGGAGGACGCAGGTGCCTCGCCGCCGCGCGGCCCCTTCCAGCCCGCGGGGAGTTCACACGGGCGCCCTCGCATCACCCCAGCCCCAGCTCCCACCCACAGCGCGCCTCTCCCAGCCCCGCTAATTCCATCAGAATTACGTCCTGGGGAGAAAGGGGAGGAAAAACACAGCCAGCCATTAAAAGGGAGGGGGGAAATAGGTTTGAAAAAAAAAAAAAACGAAAAAAAAAAACCAGGAGCGGCAACAAACCCCCGTCCGCAGGCAGATTAAAACCATTGTCCAGGAAGAACACAATCCACAACAGCTCACAATGCACACAAGATTAGAAACACTCCTCTGAAAAGAAGCTAATTACTAGAAATAATTACTAGAAAGAAATCTGTTATGGCTTATCAGTTTCCCTGCTGTTTAAGCAATCCCCCCCCCATCTTCCCCCTGCTGAAGATGAATGGTAAAAGAGTGACTGATTTGGAAGATTGGTGAATTAAAACAAAAAACGCTCCTCGCTCTCTGTGACAAGCTGGTTCGTCACCGTGCTGCGTCCCGGCATCCCCCCCTGGCAGACAGGGATGGCCCCCATAACCTCGTGCCACCCAGGGCCACGGGGGTCCCCGTCCCACTGCGCACCCCCAGTGCTTGGACCTCACCAGGACATCGTCACCCAGCCTTGGGGAGCGGCACTGAGGAGGCACGGGTTGGGAACTTGGAGGATGGAGCATGTGGGTGCTGTTACTGCTCCCTGCTCATCGCGGTCACCGTCCCCTGCCCGGCACCAGGGCAGGTTCTTGTTCACGGCACTGACAGCAGCTCTGTTCCAGGGCTTTTTATAACCTTAGCTCATCCAGTCCACTGCAACGCAGGCCAGGTTCCCACCCGGCCAGTCTCACAGACATTCCCTCTCGCTTTTTTCCCAGTGCTTTGCTGATTAGAAGCTGTGCCAGAGGGGACCCTGTGCTTTGGAAAGCACCTGACTGGAAACTGCCCTCGTGCCATCCCCTTCCCAATGTGCACGAGCAGGGGCCCGGGCAACCCTTGGAGCCCCGAGAGCTCCTGGGTCCTGCTGGGGGAGCAGCCCCCCGGTCTGTGTTCAGCACCTCCCAGAGCCCAGCTCCCACCGTGCTGGGTGCCGTGCGCTCACCCAAAGGCCACCGGTGAGCCCCAAACGTCACATTTGGCGTCCCAGCTGAACGGAAAGGAAAGCAGCACTTCTCCTTTCAAAGGCTGCTCTGAGAACTCAAAACCAGTCCTGGGGGAGGCGTGCGCTGCACGGGGCATCTCTGCCATCTGCAGAGCCCCCCTGCCAGCCCAGCACACCCGGGTGCCTGCAGCCAGCAGCACCCGTGCCTCCTGCCCCGGGAACCATCACCTGCTGCAGAGAACCACACGCGCTCCGTCCTTCTGGGATCAAACCTCTCCAGCACTTTGCACCAGAGCTTTGTGCCCCACCACCACCCCATGGGGGCTGTTGAAGCGTTTTTCTCCCCACGGCTGCTCAGCCATGCTGCACGTGAAGGGGAGCCCTGGGCCAAAAGGCCGTGGTTTCCAACAAGGAAACTGTTCCTCCTGAAATGTTTCTTCCAGCGGTTTCTGCTCCTCCCTGAAGAAATAGAGGCTGAGTGGGAAATGGATACAAACTCTTATTTTGGAGAAGGGTTTACGTGAGCGCATTTCATGCACCTTTTGCCCATCCGGTACCACCTGGTGTGTCTGTCCATGCTAATCTGCCCCTTCCACCGCCTTATGTTTTAAAATTCATCAATCCCACTTGACTGCCCCGTTGGCATCACCTTTCCCAGCTTGTGCCCCCTGGGGGGAACCTTTTGGGAAACCAGGGAGTGACACAGTGAAGTGACATCTCCAAAGCTCACACTTCCCTCCCACTTTGCTACTGCTATCACATGCAAAAAGATTTTTTTTCCTGCTCTCCTTTCTCTCATCTTCCATTTATGATTTCGCCACTTGAAAAGTTTTCAGTTTGGCAAAGAGGAAGAGAAAACTCCACCTGTGGTCTTCCTCCAGCCTGTCATTCTCAGCACAAGAGCACAGAGGCTAAGCAAAGCCCATTTATTTATTTTGGAACCTGCTCCAGGAGCTGGTGTTTTCTCCTTTAACCGCATTCAATTTTAGGCACAAAAGCGACTTTGAAATGTCCGGAGGTCCCTGCCCCTCCTGTCTGCACTTTCCCAGCTCCCGTTCTGGTGGTGGGGCTCCGGGTGCTGCGCCCGAGACCTGGCACAGGCAGCAGGAGGGCCGGGGACAGCGCGGGGCGCTGGGTGCCACCGCTTTGGTGGCAGCTGCTGGAAGTCACCGCCGGGGCGGGGGCAGCTCCGGCTCCACGTGCTGGGGACCGGCTGGGTTCGCAGCCCCGTCGGGGAGTGCCGCGGTGCTTGCCAAGCACCGGGAGCCCTGGCTTTGAGAGGAAGCCAAACGCGTCTTCCCTGCACACATCAAAGGGGAAACCTCCGTGTTCCTCCCCGGGCAGCTCCTTCTCGGCTGGAAGCTCTCAAGGCTGCCTCTGCCCCCGGCATGGGATGGGCTGGGAGGGGTCCTCCCCCCCGCGCACACCCCACAAAACCCTGCTGCATTACATCAAGGCTCCCCTGCCTTATTAAGGAACATCTCTTCTACTTTGCTTACATCCTCCTGGGGCAGAAAATGAGAAGGAACAACCGCCCTCGCAAAGGGAGCCACTCGGAAACGCTCTTCCACCTTTGGGAGGCGAAGGAAAGGTGAAGGACAATCGAATGGGGGAGCGGGGCTGAGGATGAGCCCCGTGCCCCAGACACGGGCCAGGAGGAGGAAGCACGCTGACAGCCACTTCCCAGTGCTGCCCCGCTCTTCTCTTCCCCTTTCTGACCAGCTCTGCAGGAGGAACCTCAGAGCGTGGTGGGGATTTTCTGCTTCAAACACAATTCCCTCTGCTAACCCCACCCGTGCAACCACGAGCGCTTGCTGGAAGGCTCGACTCACCACTGCGTGGGCAAAGGTGGGGAGGACTAACCCCAAATCCAGGCCTAATGTCATTAGAGATCTCTAAGACCTTCAATACGGCTATTTTCTGCTCTTAATCTCTCTCCTTCCACCCCCAAGCTCGGAGAAGGAACCGGGTAACTTGTGGCACACACCCCGGTCCCGCAGGATCACGGTCCCGGCACAGCGAGGCGTGCTGCCCCTTGTGCTGCCCGGCACAAGGACTTGAGGAGCTGAATGAGGGATGGAGGAGCCCTGCAGAGGGCTCTGCCCACAAAAAGAGCCCCCCCCTGAACCCCAGTGCCTCAAGGAAGGAGCACCCTGGCTCTCTGCCTACAGCAACAAGGCTGGAAGGCCGCGCGTCCTGCCACCACGAGCCTGTTGCAAGACCTTGAGCATGGGCTGTGTCTGTTTCCCCCCCTGCATGCCTTTCCACTCCCGATTACCAGCTCCTTGAGAGCAAACTCAGCCCTTCCCGTGCCAGCGCAGCAGGCATCAATCTCTGTTATTGCCCTTGGGTGCTACAGCAGAACAGGGAAAAATAATCACGCACATAAAATCCAGAGGCTGCCGCGCACATCAGGCACTGATGAGCCCCTCTGGCCAGCAGCCCCTTCAACCACAGCTCCGATAGCCCCTTCTGGAGCGGGTCTGATGGGGGAAGCAGGAGCGCTGGGCAGTGCAAACTGCTGCTGATAAGCACAAACCACTCCCTGTTAGATCCCCCCGGATTAATCCCGCACCTACGGGGCAGCGGAAGGCACTTACCCACTAGTCCAGGTCCCAGGAATGGTGATGAAGATATGCTGTTGTGCGCCGGCAGGTCCCTGTGCTCGCCGTAGTGGGGGCCTTCACCATAGCTCTGCTGAAACAACACGGACATGGTCAGGGGGTGCCCGGGGGTGCTGAGCCGAGCACGCGAGGCGTGTGTGGGTATCGACCTCCACGCGTGCCCAAACTGATGCCAGGGGGGAGGAAGGAAAAAGACCCGAGCTGCTGCTGTATGGGCAGTCACTGGAGAGACCCCAATCAGCCCCCAAGTCGCATCAAGGCACTGCACAACCCCGAGAGGCCGGGCTGTCGGGGCGCAGCGAGAAGGGTCAAAGTCAAAGGCAGCTCGTGAGCAGGGCACAGAAACGATCCCAGCCTCGCGGTGGGGAGCGGGCAGCGCAGCTGCAGCGTTTGGAGGGGACGTGGCACCAAGGCAGGGACACGGGGAGGCTTTGCCCCATGCTGGAGGCTCCTGCACAGTTTCTGCCTTCGCTCAGTGCCCTGCCAGGTGAGAGGGGGAGAGCCCCAAAGCCCCCCCGAGCCGGGGGGATTGAGGGGGAGAGAAGGTCTATAAAAATGAGAAATGATACAGCGCCTGCTCTGCCACTGACCTAAGGGAAGGGAACGGTGTCATTGCGAAAACGAATCACACAAACCCATTAAAACATGAGCATCTGTCAAAAAAACACCATTTCAATTACGTTAATGTCTTTTCTCTCTTCCCCTCCTCAGGCCCCAGTTCTGTGCTGTTGCAGCCTCGGCTGCTTCCCAACAAAATCCTCCCAGCTCTCCCCATCCTCAGCCCCATTCGGGGCCCTCCCAAGCCCCGCTGTGCTGAGCCCTCTTCTCCCCATGCCCAAACCTGAGCATGGGGAGAGGGAAGATCGCAGGCTCCAGGTCTGGGTGAGGTTTTTGGAGGAGAAGCCTTCTCCAGGGGCACCTCAAAGCAGCAAAGCCTGCAGGGATGAGGTCGGGGCCCCTCTGCTCACTGTGCCCCCTCTGGTAACAGGAACAACGCTCAAAATGGGGCAAGAAAAGTTGTTCCAGGGTTAGAGCCAGCCTGGGCACAATGCGCTGCACTGAGAGCCCATCGCAAAGCCCCCGTTTATTTTCATTTGAGCTCGGTGTTTGTGCTTTTATCCTTACCCTTCCTTGGTCAAATGTGGAGCTGTTTTGATCTCCCGTTCCCCAGGAACCTGATCCCGGTCTTTCATCCAAACCTACCGAAAAACAGGAAGAACAAAGGTTACTCTTGCTTTATCAGCAAAGCCTCAAAGGTGTTCTCGCAAAATTAACTCTTCCTTCTACAAACAAAACAATATTTTCATTAATAAACCACTTCCACTTGGCGTGACCGATCCTCCCCTCTCCATCCCCACCTTCCCACCTCAGCTGGGAGTTCAAAGCTGATCCCACCGCAGCCTGGAAAGGCTTCAAAACACGGGGCAGTGGGAAGAGGAGAAACGAGTATTTTACCCCCGCGCTACCCCGCGGTGCCGAGGAGCCTGCTCTCCTCGAAGCCTGATGTTTAAGAGGGCTGCAAATTAAGAACCGATCGTGCCCATCCCGGTGCTCCAGTGGGACCCGATTTTTGCTTGTGAGCAGCGTGCAAACAGGCTTCCCAATGCTGGATCACGGGCTAAAAAACTCTGTTCTCCATCAAAAGAGCCTCCGATGTGACGTGCTGGGGCACACCACTATGGGGCTCATGCTTTTTCATGGCTATTTTTGGTGTGAGCCCCGTGCTCCTGCAGAGGATGGTGTGTGGATGCTGCGGCTCCGATCAGAGCCCGCTCCCACCCGGGTAATTTTTAGCCCTCCGAAGCGTGTCCCGCGCAAAGGTGACTCAGCCCAGGATGGCAGCGAACCAACGGGAGGGGTTTTGCAACGTGCCTGCTCGCAGGCTGCGGTAGGAAACCGGCTCCTTTCATCGCCTGCCAGGTCCGCCCAGGCTGTGCCTCTCGGGCGACCAGCACACGAGGTGCCCGAGGGAGGTGGCCAACATCCACCGGGACACAATCGCCCCGGGAGCTGCAGCAGCCAAGCTCTGCAGTTACATCGGGCACCGCGACTGCACGGAGGAAACTTCTCCTGGCAGGCGAGGCTGGAGCCCTGGCCCGGCCGAGCAGTGGGATTTCCAACCCGGTGTTTGGTGATGTGAGCTGGCACCTGGGCCAGAGTGGACAGGATCCTGCACCCATGGGTGCCACGAGGGACCAGCACGAGGCAGAGGCCGTGCCTCCTCCACCTGCTTTCACCCTGGTGGTGCCAGAGCTGGGTCGGCTGCGGGGCTGCTGCGGAGAGCCCTGAGCCCACAGGAGGGATGGAGCCACCTCTGCCTTGAAACTGTGCACGGACCCCATTCCCATCCCCAAAACTGGGCGCTCCGTGGGCTCCCCCTGCCCCAGCCAGCTCCGTCGGGGTGCCAGCAGCCCTGGTGCCAGCAGGATTTACGGGATGTTGGGCTCCAAACAGAGCGGCCCCGACACGAGGAACTGGGGGAGCAGCGAGGGCCGGGCAGTTTCAGGGCGCACTCCGCCTGCATTTTAGCAAAGCTGATTATTATGGCAAACACGCCACGTATTTGTCTCCTCCGCTCCCCTTACTGTTCATTTAACCAGAAACTTCTTTCAAATTACATCCTTCTATTTCTGTGCCTTTGTGTTAATCATTTCCCCAGAGAATTGGTGTTTAATTGCTGTCTAATTTGCATAATTATGCATATTAATCTCTACACCTAATGAATATTCATAATTCTCATTTAGATTTTGTTTTCTAATCAAAAATTTCCAATGTGATTACTGTGCAGAGCAGGGATAAGCCTCTAATAATACCTTGGATACTAGGGAGAATTACTGCCAATTCTCCCACCTCCTACTTCCTAGAATAAACTTTTGCTTTGCTAATGTGTTTTTCTAAAGCAATTCATCTGCATACCCCGCAAACACCAGCGGAGATCGGGAGGCAGAAAGGCTCCTTTTCATTTTGCTTTCCCGGGTACTTTTGGAGCATCCCAGCAGTCGGGGTGATGAGGTGAGCAGGAACCGCAGCCTCAGCCACCCCTGGCAAAAACTCAGCCCCTCGTGCAGGCAGGACGAGGAGGGTGGCATGCCCTGGTGGCTGCAGCCAGTGAGGCCCCCCCGGTCCTTCTCCAGCCCCCCTGAACCACGAGGAGCTGCCCCAGGGGGGATGCTCAATGGGGCAGCCTCCTGGTGGGGCTCTGGTGCCTGGAAGCCCACGACAGGGGCCAGCCTGTGGACCGAAGCTCGAAACAGCTCAAAAAAATGGTCTCACATCTTCCCAAGCTACAGCAACTGGGGCAAAAGATGCCTGCAGAATGTCCCATTTTCAGCCTGGAGGTGTTTGAAGAATTCAGGCGTTTCTGGGATGAAGCCAGGACAAAAAACCCATCCTGCCCACCTTACGTTTCTGGCAACCGTCCCAATGTAGTGCCGACCTGCTCTCCCCTCCCTTTGTATCGGATCTACAACTCGGCAGCAAATGCCCCCTGCCAAACCCATGAAAACCCAAAGGCTGGCCCAAAAGCAGGTGCTTCTGGAAAACCGCCCACCCGAGGCTCAGTGGGGTTTTGCTCAGCCCACACCCCACAAGGCTGCTGCCACCACCACCCACGGCCATGCTTCTCCCAGCCTGTGATGCTCACCCCATTGCTCCCGGTGCTCCAGAGCCTTCCCCACGGCACCGAGCAGCTGGGCTGGACCCAAAAAAGAGGAGGAGGAAGGGGAAGGAGCAGGAGATGGAGATGTCCAGGCTGAGAAAGGCCCAGGGCAGTGTTTGGGGCAGGCTGCAGCAGCTCCAGCACATCCCCAGGTGCTCACCCAAGGGTGTGCAAGCCTCTCACCCGGACCCTTTGGTCACAGAGACCCAGGGAGCTGAGGCCACACACCTCGTACCCCATCCCGATGGAGGTCAGGAGTGCTTTGGGCACTGCCCATCAGTTTCCTGCCTGTGGGCACTGCTCACGTGCTGCAGGGAGAGCTGTCGGGCTCCCCCAGCTCTGCGAGCGCACCAAAAGTCACACCCAAACTCCTGGAGGGGAACTCCAAAAAATCCCCCCTGGCTCAGGGACCTGCCTGCAGGACAAAGCTGTCACCTCCTGCGTCCCCGCAATGGGACGGGGACCTGTGGGCACCTCCCTCCCTCCCCAGCCCTGCCTCGTCCCCAGAGCAGGTTTCCTGCACACGAACGTGCACAAGGTGCTGGGCAAGAACTAAAGCCAAGGCCCCAGCTGAGATCGTATCCAGCTCGCGTGGCAGGGAGCAGGACTACTTTTGCACCAGCAAGTGTAACCCTGGCATATCCCAGCTTTTGAGCTTTGCAGCGCTGAAAACGCTCTCCCAGCGCAGGGCACGCGCGCAGTTTCTGCAGACACCCACACGTGCACGCAGCTGGTCGGGGCCAGCTTTATTTTAAAATAAAACCCTCTTCCAACTAACCAAGTTAAGGCACACTTTCCAATTCAGAAAAGACAAAAATAGGAGCTACCTCCTCTCTCCATTAATACAGTTATTAAAAAACGTACAGATTAATTGTGCATTTTAATAACCCTGATCATGAATATTCATAATGCATTTCTTGCTCATGTTCTAATTAAAATGTACTAATAGAATAAGATGTAGCTGTCAGACAGTCATTTTTTTTTTCCTTACGATTTCTGTGCCACAGCTAAGAAGAGCTGATAGACAAGAACTGCTCTAAGCTCTCAGCACGGATAAAAATAATTTGCCCAAACTGAGCCCGAGTAAAAGCCCTCCGTGCGCCACGAGGCCCTGCATGCCCTCGCCACCCCAGCACACCCTCCAAGGACGCATTCAAACCACGGGGGCTTTCAGCTGTGAGTGAGAGGAATGGTGAATTTAGCATTTACTACCCCAACCTTGCATGCTACGAAGCATCCCCTGCTCTGCACCCCTTTCCGAAGGCGAGCAGGGTGCTGGTGTGTTTGCTCTCAGACACCTGCCCCATCCCACACGAGCCGTCCGGGCCCCGGGAGCAGCTCCCCACACAGGAGGGAACCTGCAGCTCTGAAACCAGCGAACTGGTTAAGGAGGCTGTGTGGTTTTCTGCCCCGTTCCCACATCCCAGCAGCAGCCACGTGCGCTCCCCTTCCCACCCCGTTCTCTGCAGGCTGCTTCAGCCCCCGCGCCAGGGATGCCTGGAGCTGAAAACTGCCACGCAGAGATGCTGGCTCTGGCTTCAGTCAATAACCAGAGCCCTGGATTCCACCTGGGAAGGTGTCCTGTCCCTTGAGCCATCGGAGAGCCCCATGGCTTCAGGAGGGGCGCTTCTCAGAGCTCTCCACTCCTCGATCCCAGCACAGCTCCGGAATGCAGCTAGCAGAGAGCAGGGCTGGGTGTTGGATGTCTCCAGCCACTGCAGGTCCTTCAACAGGAGCTCAATCCCCAGTAAGCCCTTTGCAAGCAAAACCCATGGGGCAGGCAGCGCTCCTCTGAACCCAGGGGACACGCAGGGACACTCGAAGTGGGACATCTTGCCCCCGAGACTGCTCGGTCACCATTGGTGCACCAAGACCAAGGGCTTGCTCTTAAACCCTGCACCAAGGCACACCTGGAGGAGCGCACATAAAGCTGCAAAGCTGTGGTCCAGCGTGTTCAAATGCCTTGAAGATGACTCACTTTTGGCCTCAGAAGATGGCAGTGGCAGCCCCGTGCTGGGGGACAGTGAGGGACATTGGTGGGGACGTCACCGGGGGCCGCTGTGTGGCTCAGGCTGCAGCTGAGCCGGGCTGAGCGCTTCCCTCCCCCTGATGCCTCCACCCTGCCCAGCACAATCTGTCAGCATCAAAGAGCCCTCCTTAATCTGATTCCCATCAAAATACCCTTTATTATTTTTATTTTTTTTTTAATAAATCTATTAGAAATATTAAGGCCAAGCCCCAGCTCTGGGAGCAGTCACAGCCTTGGCTTCGCTGGAGGATGGCGATGCCCAAGCACGAGCGAGGTGGCTCTGGTGGCCCTGGGTGCAGCAGGACTGGGAATAAAGAGCTGGGAATCAAAACCCCACAAGCAAAAGCCCCCCAGGGCCATGCCTGTGAACACACCAGCAGGACAGGGGGTGCCCACGCGATGCCCAGCACCCGCCTCCAGCAGAGGTGGGACACTGCGGTGACAGCCACCGGTGCCACCGTAATTTGATTTGAAAGAGAGGTGACAGAAGGCTGCTTGATAAACACTTCCAA